TTAGTATAAGAATCACTTAAATCATTCATGTATTTTTCAAGTTACGGAATTTTAAACACAACCACCGTTTTAAAGTTCTGTCCACAGATCACAAAACGCTATAAGTGTTCTTTCAGCAAAACGAAAACATATCACCTAGGGATGTCTGTGAATTGTTTTCGTTTTGCTAAAAGAACGTACACGCTGTTTACTGCGGTTGCCCAATACACCCTGTATATGGAATGCATTTCTGGAACAGCATATGTTGCTACTCAAAAGCAGTATCAGTATCGATGTCACGCCCCAACTATCGCATCGGTCCCAACTATAGTTGGGACTGTCCCAACTATAGTGCGGCAGTTGGGTCGGCCCAACTATAGTTAGGACTGGAGTTGCGCTGGATGCTTCATGCTTGGTAGATCTTGTTGGATTAAATGTTCCGCGGCGTTGGCACCGTGTATTCATCGTGCATGCATGCCGCAAGGCTGGCCGGTCACGTGGTACTGCCTAGTTGGATGAGTTGTCCAGCTGCTGGGTTGATTGTCCAGCAACATTTTGCAAAATTCAAAGATTGCCATGGCCGGCCAACTATAGATGGGCCCTACCCATAGCTAATGTCAAAGGTCCCAAGTAAAGTTAGACAGTATGTAACAGAGCTGAAGGGAATGTTTTATAGTCGTCGTACATCAATGTAAACTATAGTTGGGACCGCCAAATAAAAATATTGCTGTGGTCCAACTACAGATGGTCCCCACCCATAGATAATTTCATTGGTCCCAAGTAAAGTCAGATGTGTATTAGAGTTGTAGGGAATGTTTTATAATCGTACAACAATGTACACTATAGTTGGGACCGCAAAATAAAAAGATTGGAGTGGCCCAACTATAGATTCGCCCCATGAATAACTAATTTCAGTGGTCCCCAGTAAAGTCAGACGTGTATCAGAGCTGTAGGGAACGTTTTACAGTTGTACATCAATGTAAACTATAGTTGGGACACCGCAAAATAAAAAGATCGGAGTGGCCCAACTATAGATGGGACTGCCCAACAGTGGAACTTACAGTTGGGACCGTCCCAACTATAGTTGGGACAGGCCCAACTATAGTTGGGCCAGCCCAACTGTGGAACTACAGTTGGGACAGGCCCAACTATAGTTGGGACAGGCCCAACTATAGTTGGGACCGATGCGATAGTTGGGGCGTGACAGCGACATAGTTTTTTTTCTAATCTGGAGCTAGACGGAGCCAACGTCCTTGGGGTTTATTGAACATATGCCTACCTAAAAATAAACGTTTTATACTTTTCAGCTCTTTGCAAGGGCGTAATAAAATTCCGCTATGAACTAAGGAATCAGTGGTTCGTGAATACACTGTACGAATTCGTAAAGTTTCTTTTAGTACAAGAATCGCTCAGCTTAAATTACTCATGTATTTTTCAATTTACGGAATTTTAATTAAACACAACCACCGTTTTAAACTTCTGTCCACGGATCACAAAAAGCTAAGTGTTCTTTCAGCAAAATGAAAACATATCACTTAGGGATGTTTGTGAATTGTTTTCGTTTTGTTGAAAGAACACACGCGCTGTTTACTGTGGTTGCCCTGAAGGGACACCAAAGGTGCAACTAAAGTATTTCACGACATTGCAAAACAACAACAATTTTCCATGACCAAGCAATATTTTCCCCGACTTCTCAAAACATTGCTGGTTAAAAGGAGGACTTGTTAAATAAACTGCACATCATTGGAAACCACGACATCACCTTGCGACTTCTCAAAACATTCCACGACATAAAGTTCACGAAATGCATTGGTGCGATTTTTTTTTTGTCGCAAGTGTTTTTCACACCAACTCAGGTGGTCCTGTGATGACCTTGCACGCACTGAATATAGTGTACTATAGTGTGCTTATTTTTCTCTTGCAGTACTGGTAGTCCCTGGGATAGGGCCTTTTAATCGTAAAATTTTCTGATTAATCTTAATATTATTTTCTGTTGTAGGGTACCTTGGGACATCCGAAAAAGGTGCTCTTAAGTTGCAAAGCCGTTATTTTTGCCTTCCAGCTCCAAAATACTGCTGCTATTTTGGGAGCTAATTTTTTGAGAAACGGCTAAAATCATATTTTGGGCCTCTGCTCTCTCAAAAATGGTCCCGTCGTGACCTGTTTGCACTTTTTACCATCCTGATAGAATGGGCAACCAAGAAAAAAAAGTTGGTCCCAAGTTCATCCGTATTCGTGATCCCAGGGCATATATTGCTTTGCGGACACCCTCCCCCCCCCCCAATCCTGTGACTTTGCCCTGTTTGGGGATACCAAAGATACACACTTTCTTTATAATTTAAAAACTGCGTAAGACCACAAGCTTGAATTTAAGTAGAAGATAAGCTTTCTGTCTTGAAAATTGGGCTCACCATGGCCATTTTTGCTTCCCCTACCCCTACATCACTCAAAAGTGCTAAGTCATGCTGAATCAGCACTATTGTGTAATGCGTTTCTCGTGCAATATGGAGGCTAACATGCTTTCTGGCTTTTTTCTACACGCTTGGATGCGAAACTGGCATAAACAATGGATTTTCTTTCAATACGTCATTGAAAAAAACTTAATAATGCGAGCCAGCTGATGTCAGGCCTGGTTACACCTGCAAGAATTGTACTGCACTGTACAGCCTGTCTCAAAAAAATGGTACAATCGAAAACGATTTTTTTTTTCAATATTAAATCTCAACATAAGTAAGTCGTTTTGAGCATCAGATTAAAGAAAAAAGACCAGGCTTTCCAATACTTTTTGTTTCATCTCATTTGCTATTGTCAATCCAGAGATAACTCCAGTTTACTGCGGAACACAAAAATCGAGTTTGTGCCACATGACTCGAAACAACTCTGCCCATGCATAAAAGTGGCACAAAATCGATTTTGGTGTATCGCACTAAATTGATTATATCTCTGAATTGACAAAAGCAAATAAGATCAAACAAACACTATTGGAAAGCCCAGTCCTTTTTTCTGTAATATTATGCCAAGTGAGAATGACTTATTTTGAAATTTCATATTTAACCAATTTTCTTTTAGACAGGCTGTAATGTAGAATACATATGTCCCAGGGACTATGGTGGATTATTTTGGATTATAATTATACAAAGTGTACGGGTTAGAGTGCGGTTGCAGGGGCGTAGCAAGGTCATTTATTAGGGGGGGGGGAACGTTGGTGAAAAGGACATTCGCACATCCATGCTGAAATAAATGTAGACAGGGCTTTTTCTCCGGTAATTTGGCCTCCGTAAAATAAAGGGGGGGGGGGGGGTAGGGGCGGTACTATCTTTTATAGGGGACATGTTAAAAAAAGGATGATTTTGGTCGCTTTAGCCAATAGGTGGCGCTTTTCAGGGCAGCACAATTGCCAAAGGTCGCGCCAAAGTAAAGGGGAATCAGCGTAAAGAGGCCGCTGGTTAAAGGGGGGACTTGTTAAATAAACTGCACGTTTTGTTGTTTGATCATTTCTTATTTTTGTGTGTCAACATTTTTTTGAATTGTTGGCTCGGCTCGGCTCGGCTCGGCTCAGTCGTCCGCGGGCACAAACAAAATCAATGTGTCATTGGAAAGAGGATCCATTGGCATTTCACATGATCTTTCACATATTTCAAAATATGTATTACATTTGTATAAGTTACATTCACATCTGGGTTTCCTTTTTTGATAGACCCTGTATATGAAATGCATTTCTGGAACAGCATATGTTGCTACTCAAAAGCAGTATCACTATCAGTATCGACATTTTTTCCTAATGTGGAGCTAGACGGAGCCAACGTCCTTGGAGTTTATGCCTATCTAAAAATAAACGTTTTATACTTTTCAGCTATTCGCCAGGGCGTAATAAAATTCACTGAACGAATTCAGTGTTCTTTCAGCAAAATGAAAACACATCACATAGGATGTTTGTGAATTGTTTTCGTTTTGTTGGAAGAACGCACATGCACGCTGTTTACTGTGGTTGCCCTGAAGGGACATCAAAGGCGTAACTAAAGTATTTCACGACATTGCAAAACAACAATTTTCCATGACCAAGCAATATTTTCCCCGACTTCTCAAAAACATTGCTGGTTAAAAGGGGGGCTTGTTAAATAAATTGCACATTATTGGAAACCACGACACCACCTTACAACTGCTAAGAATTCCTCGAGACATTATAAACTATTTATATCATTTGTAGTTTTCTCACTCAGTGCACTCGGTCTAAACTTGGCTCAACATTTACTCTGTCGTGCGGTGGGCCATAGGGTACAACATTTGCTAACATAACATAAAAACTACCAAATTATTATGAAAAACCTTGCTGGAGTCAATGACAGTCAGTAAAGCATCCAATAATATCGTGGTACCTGGTATGCTGTCATACAAGGAAAGTGGTATTTTTGCGTCCATTTTCAATGCTAGTCGGCCGAAAGAACAGAGAGATACAGGAAATCAACTATTCCACAACTCGTCAAAATCCTCCAATAACTTATCCGTCTCTCTTTGGCTTCTAAGTTTGTCCAAGACTATGGTAGTATTTACATGTTTATCTTAATTATTCGTTTTGTATTTGAACTGTTTTCTATTTTGTTATTTTTTTTCCAGTATGTTTTGCCCATCTGCAGTAATCAGACTTTTTAAGCCTTTGAACTTTTTCGACGTTTTATGGACTTGATTTTGATTTTTCTACTGCATGGAGTGTGCAGTCATTACAGACTTCCAACCCACGCTGATGCTACCTTGTACTAGGTATGAATGCTTACAAAAATATCGTGTTTTGCATCGTTGTAAATACAGATCACAAGTCAGGACAAGCCTTCAAAAAATTGTTTCCGAATATATCTTGGACAACACTCAGGGACAACAGGCTAGACAGGGACACACAGCTTGAGTGCTTCCTGTGTGGTACAAGTGTACCCAGAACAAAACACATTTTTGGATGTGTGAAGACTGTAGGTAATCAGAAAAGGAAATCACACTGGTTGTTTTTTATTTGAGTTTTCAATTATGTGACAGGGCCAGAGAGACACAAACTATTATGAACAAAATAATCAATTGCATAATTTCAACATAATATTCATTTCAATAGTGATCCATCTTATGACTCGCCACATCCCTGCCCCTGCTTATTATAGGCTAGCTATCAATATACTCTCTGCCGACTGCATCATACTTTTTGGAATTAAAAGGGTTAAAAAAAACCATACACTGCACAGATCGGCGCCTTGTCTGATGAAGATTTAGCTTTCCCTTAATGTTCAAGCCAGGGAAAGATGTTTTTCAAGGAGGAAGCTCAATCATTGTAGCTCTCTCGTTTTGCTGAGGTCGAAGTGGAAATCTAAAAGAACCTACAGACCAGATAACACCCCCCCCCAAAAAAAAAAATTGGTACAGGTATGTTTCTTTTTCCCAGCTGTACTAAGTATAAAACAGCAAGCTTTCTTTTTAAATGTGCAAATTTAAAAGTCCTATATCTAGAGAACTGGGAGACAATTAAGCTTCAAGAAAGGTTTAAAGATGGGGAATTTTTTTCCAGTCATTTTTAGCTGGCAAGTGTGTGATATGCATGTGTTTTTTCCCCAGCTAAATCAGAGTTGGTGATCATGGGCGATTGGTGGGTTGAGTTGTAGTTGTGAATGTGGACAAAGTATTTGAAGTTTTATTGTCTTGCAGTGTTTTTTGATGTAGGTGTATTACTTGTGGGTTCTTTTTCTTAGGAAGAAATAAATGTTTTTGGTATTGCATATTTGCTAGTGATTTAATAGGATATTTTGTGTGTATTGTTTTGGTCTGAAAGGTGTCACCTGTGAAAATCTCAGAGAAATCATCCCGACGTGAACTCGAGTGGCTGGATATCAAAGACCGTCAGAGCAAAATCAAAATAAACTTATGGAAAAACAAAGGCAGTGCGGATGCGGCCATACGTGAGAACAAGCTCGTGACCATCAAAACCATGCGTAAAAGAGTTTCACGCAAGTTTTGTCGTATAACGAAGAAGCTGAAGAAGAAATAATGCGCTTAAGACAGCGACAAATTTATTGTGACCCAACAGTGATGAGCAGCAGCCAGCTGAGACCAGCAGGGCCTACCATCTACCCAAGCCCTCTCCATCTGGCAGAATTCGATCCCCTTGATGCCCACACTCCCGCCACAACGCCACCAAAGGCCCGCCTTCCCTGTACATATACCGCACATCAGCTGAGGGATGTACCAACGTTCAGTGGGTCGTACTCCAAGAAGCATGGGCTGAAAGTCGAGGACTGGGCTCGTGATATGAGGTATCTGCTAGAAGCGAAGGGTCCGCAACCAGAGAAAGTAAAGTTCCACGAGGTCGTTAGACACACGAAAGCTGAGGCACGAGATGTCATCCTCAACCTGGGGAGCCATGGGGAGGTTACAGCAGAGGAGGCAATTACAGAGCTTCTCGATGAGTTCGGGGAAGGTAGTGCGGCCACAGCTCCCATCGCATTATTCTTCGCAAGGAAGCAGAGACCAGAGGAGACCGCTGGGGAGTATGCAATCGCTCTGGAGGCTCTCCTAAGGCATGTGGAGAACGTGAAGAAGAGACAGGGAGGCCATGTATCTTTGGGCGAAAATAGAGATCTCCTTCTCACGACACAATTTATGACCGGGCTCCACGATAATGCAGTGCGACAGCGGCTAGCACCAATGCAACCTAGGGGCATGAACTTCAAGGCACTACGAAAGGAACTACGAGTCGTTGCTGAGGAGTTCCGCCAGGCACGAGTGGCTAGGAGAAAGTACAGGTCTTTCCAGCAAACATGTCATGAGCGGGCTTCAATGACAGCAGCACTGAAGAAAATGTGTGGCCTCTAGGAAAGAGACTGAGTTGGGACGCACAAGGAGGAAATTGTGTCTCCAAAGGGACGTAAAAAAGATGAAGATGTCACCAAGCTGGTATCTGCCTTCACGTCTGGACTGATGTCTAATCCTTTTGGCCTCAAGGAAGTTGACAGTGAGGGTTAAACAGCTTTGCCACTCACTAAACTAGCTACAGAAATGGTTTTACTTAAAGAAACATCACAACAACTTCTCAGTGTCTATGCATCTGGTCAAGAACAGACGACAGCTTTCATCTAAAAGAGATTCAACAGTAATGATGTCAGCTTCTGGACTGCCATACCGAAACTCAAGATTCAGACATTCGCATCACTGACAAAGAAAAGTAGCATAAAGACAGCAAAAGAGAAGCTCATCTCGGTTACAGGCGATCAGCAGTTGTTTGGGCGTGTTGTTGTTGATGCAAAAACAAGAGAAATCAACTTAAAGGAACTGCTTATCTTTGAGTTATAAACTGTCCCATACTCGCTTGCCCATCCTGATGGTAGCATTCGAACAACAGTCCAAAGTGTCCCGCTCACCAAGATGGAGAAGAATGTTGAGTCCATTGCAAAGAGGCCGGTACCAGACAGAGGGCTGACGGTTGGGTATTTGTTTGACGCCATGGTAAAGATGGTTATAACAGGTGGTGCATCAATTTTCGGAGCGTTGGCTTCAAAGTATTACAGTATTGTAACAGCTCCTCTCCATAACGAGGGATACAAACAGGTTGATTTGGTTTTTGATCAGTACCAAAAAAGAATCCATTAAAGGTGCTGAACATTTAAAGAGAAGTGCAACTTCGGCTTTGGAAGTGAAGATATACAGTGCCGCTGCACCAATCCCAGAACAGTGGACAAAGTGCATCACAGACCTCACCAGCAAAATCAACTTCATTGTGGAGGCACTTTGTAAGATCGGCAAGGAAAATTGGAAGTCAACCAGAAACTACTTCTAGGCGGTGAGTTCAAAAATGGAGAAGAGGCACTGATGGTCACGAGAGGAAAGATAGAAGACATTCCTACTTTAACTTGCAACCATGAAGAAGCAGACACCAGGCTCTTGCTTCATGCAACTTATGCCGCTGGAGAGCACAAGGTCACAGTTATTGAATTAGCTGATATATGTGTGTTTCACTGTTTGATCAGTTAGGTTGTCAGGAGTTATGGTTTAAGACAGGAGGACATCTCCTTCACCGATTTATGGGACAAGGTACTTTCGTGGGAAACCCCGCCTCCACCCCCTAATGTAGAGGCCCGATTAACAAAGGTGGAGGTTGGTGAGGGAGATGACTGCAGAATCAACAAGCAGTTGACACAAGGTTGAACCAGCAAGCTAGTCAGCTCAAGGCAACTCAAGAGGCCCCTAGCAAACACAAGACATTACGACAAAGTTGCCTGAAGGTTGCGGTTTCGTCATGTTACATAGAGACATACACTGTTTTGTCATGTTATATAGAGAAGTACATACAATGTTGCAACACCGGTACATGTCAATTTCCGTCTTTTTCTAGTTTTGTTGTTGTTGAAATTATTAAGTTTTGAAAATTTCTGTAAATAATGCTCAGGAAAATTCCCAGTGACCTATTGATTCTGTGCCATGTCAGGTGTGTTGAAATATTGTCCACACAAAAAAAGGGGAGACAAGAACAACATAACACACATTTGTTATTTATGTTTTTTGTAATTGTTAGGTTCATTTCAGAAGTTTCCCGCAAGACTATATCAACCTTATGCATTACTTCTTTATGGCTTTGTCAAATTACACACAAACTCTGCACAAATGATGGCTACATCACATATATTTTAAATTGTTTTTTACATGATTTGGTCAAAATGCTCACTGCTTGCCGGCTCAGGAACAGCAGTATTGGGCGAGTAGGGTTATGGGGTTAAAGATTATACCTTATGGATACAGTGAGGAAAATTACGTACGATGTAGCAGTCAGTCCGGTTAAAAGCATTGATTAAAAAAAAAGAAAACAATCAAGAGATTTAATGTTAAATTTGAGCGTTTATGCAAGGGTTACGGGGAAACCATGGCCCGCCTGACAGCGAATATTTTTTCCCAAACAACATAAGCGAATGCAGAGTACGTTATGAGGTTTTGGGATTGACCTCCATGAAAACATGAAAAAAACAAGAGAAAAAATATATAAAGAAAAAAAGAAATGAATTCGATCTTAACAAAATTCGGACATTATTTCCATTTTTAAAAAAATCCTCAAAAGCCGCAAATTACAAAAGACACAAAATTGAAAATGGAAAAAAAAATTGGTTTCGAACTCACACCCTCCGATCTTAAAACCATGCCACTATCAAGCTGAGCCATCGCAGAGCTCGAAAGTCCATGGCAGTATATACCTGCGTACGTATAATAAAAAGTATTGTAGAGGGCACTCATCAACCATCCAAACGGTGTTGTTTTAATAGGGAAAAAATAATTTGCTGCCTGGCAACATCAGTGTTACTGTAATACGAAAAACAGTAGCCATTGAAGAAATAAAATAGGAATGTGCCATCATCCAACCTTGTGAACCTGCCTGGTTACAGACAGATTGAATTAAAAAAAAAACCAATAAAATTTATAAAAACCCAATACATTCTTTTTCATCAAAATAGTATGTCTTCCCAACCTATGACATGTATCATCTTGTCTCATCTGCGACATCTTTCAAGTTGGGCTTCTTCTTGTTGACTACTTTCCGTCGCTTCGTTTTCAGAATGACATAATTTGCAAAAGAGACATGCCTTGAGGAGACAAAGGGAACATAGAACGCCCTGAGCAACCGATGGGATCTGCAAAAGAAAGAAAACATATAAGAATTTAAGAAAGTATTTGTAGTAATAATTCCATCTGTAGTCTAATCTTGCAAACAAAATCAGTCATCATTTATCATGGTAGGACCGTACTCATGCATGTGTCGCAATTTTCCTAAAGTCGTGGCATGCGTGCATTTTGAAAACCCTATTGGTGGAATTAGCATTGGGCACATACGCACGACCTGAATGCGAGCATGGTTTGGAAAGAATGTAGAATTAAGACACCACTTCTTTGGTTGAGTACAAAGTCTATGGAGAGTTGAGCACATTTTCAAACTATTTTCTAACAAAATGTTTCTCAGTCCGAGATTCATGTCTATTCAACATTTCTGCAATAACTGACCTTTATTGAGATAGTATATGATGAAAAAAAAAAGGCTTCAGGATGCAACATTCTTTCCCATGGTTCCACCTTAGTAATGGGGTCTAATTGAGGCAGCTGAATCAACAAATGGACTCCATGCATGAACTTGAGGGCACTTTTCGACCACTTTCAAACGCCCAGTGAACAGGACACATTGTAAATGTGTACTGGTTCGCAAGCATATCGCGTGATGTAATACACGTTTTAAATCTAGACCTGAATGTACACAAAGCCATAGCATCTTTGTGTGAGCGTCAGGCGCTGTCGGCAATGCCACTGAGTGTCCCTCCCAGTGGTCTCCCCCACTCTCCCTCTGTAACCATTGAGGGGGGTACTTGTGTCTTTTTACCTTTGTGAGTCTAGCTATGGCATACTTTCTATCACCTCCCATTCATCTTCCATGAGGGCATAGCGGGGCTCACGTTTTGTGTTTTTACCTTTGTGAGTCTAGCTATGGCATACTCTCTATCACCGCCCATTCATCTTCCATGAGGGCATAGCGGGGCTCACGTTTTGTGTGTTTACCTTTGTGAGTCTAGGTATGGCATACTTTCTATCACCTCCCATTCATCTTCCATGAGGGCATAGCGGGGCTCACGTTTTGTGTGTTTACCTTTGTGAGTCTAGGTATGGCATACTCTCTATCACCGCCCATTCATCTTCCATGAGGGCATAGCGGGGCTCACGTTTTGTGTGTTTACCTTTGTGAGTCTAGGTATGGCATACTCTCTATCACCGCCCATTCATCTTCCATGAGGGCATAGCGGGGCTCACGTTTTGTGTGTTTACCTTTGTGAGTCTAGGTATGGCATACTTTCTATCACCTCCCATTCATCTTCCAGGAGGGCATAGCGGGGCTCACGTTTTGTCCCCTGCGGTAGGTCCAGATCAATTAGATAATGGCACTTGTTGATGTCAAGCTGTGAGAGTTAAAGGAAGAGATGATATCAATTGTAAGAGATATGAACAAGAAAAGTTGTTGGTCTGTTTCAGGTAATTTCAGTTTCAGGGTCAATTTGGGGGTACGTCAAGTCTTCTTCAGCCCTATGAAGGCCACCTCCCAATTTGTCGATACTTATACTGAGGTATTGCTTGGCATGGTGGGAATTTAGTACCTTGGGTTTGGATAGTGGGCAAGAATGCGAGTACATGGACTAGATAAAATGAACAATTTTGAACAAAGAAAACTGACATAAGCAGGACTTAAACCTTTAACTTGCAGAAAGTTTACCCAGTGCTCTCACAATTTGGCCCTACATTGGCTGTCTAGCCATTTGCCAATGTATGTTCTAGATGGTTGGTTTTTCGTTAACACCTGAACCCATAAGCACCTGCATAACACTGTACATGTATTTGGGCCAAATGGTACAGGGAGTAGCAGGCAGGGTCATTTAGGGTTGTACGTGGAGTAACAGGCAGGGCAGTTTGGGGCAGTACAGGGAGTACTAGGCAGGGCGGTTTGGGGCGGTACAGGGAGTAACGGGCAGGGCAGTTTAGGTTGGTACAGGAAGTAACAGGCAGGGCAGTTTGGGGCAGTACAGGGAGTAACAGGCAGGGTGGTTTGGGGCAGTACAGGGAGTATTAGGCAGGGCGATGTGGGGCGGTACAGGGAGTAACAGGCAGGGCAGTTTGGGGCAGTACAGGGAGTAACAGGCAGGGTGGTTTTGGGCAGTACAGGGAGTAACAGGCAGGGTGGTTTGAAATGGTACAGGGAGTAACAGGCAGGGTGGTTTGGGGCAGTACAGGGAGTAAAAGGCAGGGTGGTTTGAGATGGTAAAGGGAGTAACAGGCAGGGTGGATTGAAATGGTACAGGGAGTAACAGGCGGGGGGGGGGGGGGGGGGCATGGAGTGATATAGGGAGTAAAAGGCAGTGTAGTTCTGGGCAGTACAGAGATGCCTTTGTCACCAACTCACATATCTTGATGTCTCCTCCAGGTTGTACTCATTCATATCCGTAGGTATGACTTTAGTAGCATCATTGCCAGATGCATAAGGCTTGGGAAGTTGACCTCTGAACTCTGACTCGATGAACTGTAACCTCCAGCTAAAGAAAGCAATACAATTCTCCATTTGTTTTAAATTCGAAAGTTTCCCTATTCCCTCCTCAAATTACTAAAAACATTGCCATCTATTGTAGGGTCTGAACACTGTTAGTTATTAGTGTTTCTCACTGTAATGCATTCAGACAGTGACATTCTGGTCACTTTACCTACCATTTGCAACATTTTTTGGAACAAATTTTGTTAACTTGTTCTAAATCAAATTAGGTTTTGCCCTTCAACGACGTATAAACACTGTAAACTCAGTGTGTTACCTCCCGAGTGAAAGTTGGAAAAAATCACTCGGGTGGGACTCGAACCCACGACCTCCTTTTTTCCCAACTTTCACTCGGGAGGTAACACACTGAGTATACAGTGTTTATACGTCGGTGAAAGACAAAACCTAATTTGATTTACATCACCCCGACGCAAAATTCCATATTATGAATAGTTTATGCGGTACCCGCTGCTATGTACATCAGATTCGAACCAGCCAATAGATCCCGTTAGCTCTGTGGTCGAACGGTAAGACGTCTGCACTAGAAAGCAGGAGGTCATGGGTTCGAGTCCCACCCGAGTGATTTTTTCCAACTTTCACTCGGGAGGTAACAAACTGAGTATACATGTACAGTGTTTATACGTCGGTGAAAGGCAAAACCTAATTTGATTTACATCACCCCGACGCAAAATTCCATATTATAAACTTGTTCTACAAGTACATTATAATGGCATCTGGCAGCTCAAAATTGACTTGTCTGACTATTTTTTTATGCCTAACGACAAAGATTAAAACTTACGACGTATAATGAACTGAACTTTGCAGGAGTAGTTCATGAGCATCAATAAAAATGTCTTTATTCCATGGAACAACACGCAAGTCAATAAGGATAAAGAAGCAACACAAGTCATGTGGAAAGAACAAGAAATTTGCCACAGTTGGTTGTGATGCAAACACCTTTTCACAAAATATTTTGATTGAGAAACAGAATATTTTCAAACTAGAAACATTTGCATACTTTTCTGGCAGGAAGAAGCTGTTAGGGAAGCGATACCACTCCTTGCCCACGCAGACATTGACGGGTCGGTCAGAGGGTAGCGTGTGGATCTCTTTGTTTTCTGCTATACCACCGAGTAGAGGGTAGAGGTCCATAGGGGTGTGGTAACCTGTGAAGAGGAGCGTGGTACCAGACAAAGAGTTGATCCAATTGTATGTCCACACCTGAATCTCATTTCCTGAATCATTGTCTATGCCTTTGTCCATCACACTTATGTGGGAACAGGCTAACAGTAGATTTGGCTGTATCTCTGGGGCCGTATTCACGAAACAACATAAGTTATCAAAACGTAAGCACCCCACTTAAAGGGAATATACATCATTTGCTTTTGCTGTAATTTTCAGAAATGGATGGAATTCGGGGGTTGGAAATATATAGCAAATATAGTTACACTGACTTTTTTGAAGTTTTGGGTTCGAAAATGCTATAAAAACCAAGAAAAACAATCATTTTCCTGTAGTCTGGTTCCCTGACTCCATATAAGAAGAAACAGAGCAGTTTACATACATTGGGGAATTGTAAGGTCAGGGAACCAGTCTAGCTGGCTTGTACCCGTTCATAGGTGTGTAATCGATTGCAAACAAGTGCGATGGTCTATTGGGGCCATTATTTGAAAAAAAGCCAGTTTTTTCCAACGCTGATCAGCCGATCAGCGTTGGAAATTGATACAAAAATAGCACTTTTCTTGAAAATGACAGTATACCAGGTGCCATGATTTTACAGGATGCTTTACACTGTCATTCACTAACAGTCCAGCAAGGTATTTCAAAATGATTTGGTAGTTTTATTTTTTGATGTTTGCAAATGTTGTATTTTCCCTTTAAATATGGGACTTAGACTAGTCTTACAATTTAAGCAGTATTCACGGAACATTTACACTAAGCGCCCTACTTATTTTTATGACTTAAGTCTTAAGCCAAGTTAAGAGGGGCACTAGGGTGTCATGGCGGCTTTACTTCTTTTAATTGGTTTGTAATTTTTAGGCACAAATTGGACTTTCTAGGGGTTGAGGGAAATCTCATAAATAAAGAACTGTTGCCAAAGGACAGCCAAGTTGAAATTAAAATGTGACAATAATGACGTACATGTTTTGCGCACGAGCAAGAAAGATTGTTTAGAACACTTAAGTTAAGTTGAGCACTAAGATAAGTAGGGTGTTTAGATCTTTCGCGAATACCAAATTAAGCGCCCCCACTTAAGTTAGCAGAGTGCTTAGATTTAGGTCTGACTTAAGTATTCTCTTAAGTTTGAGTTTTGTGAATACGTCCCCTTGATGTCTGACTTGGACACAGCCAAACGCAAGCTAGGAGTTAACCTTTCATAGAGTCAAAGATTTTGACAGACGAGGGCCAACAAACAATTCAGGGTAATACCTGACCCTTTGGTCTAATATTGAAAACATTTTGACAATTTGAACATGTTTTAACATTTTTAAGGTTTGGTTTAGGACAAAACTTTAGAGGGCTAAAACAAAGAAAGCGAATTAATTTGCTTTCTGAAAATGTGATTTTTTTTTATAATTGTTTTTAATCATTAAGTCACTGTAGCCCCCAAAACCGCCCTGCCTGTTACTCACTGTACCGCCCAAAACCGCCTGAACACTCTATGATTTTATTGATTCTTCAGTGAATAAACATGCTAATAGGTTAGAGCATTTTCATTATAATGGAAAAATAATGGCAAAATATTCTACTACAACGCTAGTGCCCTGGGTTGGAATGTGCACTCTATAGAGACTTAGTATGAATCTGCTACTGTGATCACTAGACCATGACATCCCCTGTGCCTTACCAAAGAAGAGTGCAGCCGAGCGTGACAGAGATAAGACACTGAATAGGATGGCCACCGTGGCGGCTAACCAGTTGGAAGACCACGTGTAGTGCTGAAGTCGGTACGGTGTGAAGATCCGATGGTACAATTTCTGTTGAGGCACGAGAAGGTACAAGAATGGACCAAGGTGTTATAGAGTTTTTGCACAAGTCCCTTTATGGTGACAAGAAGAGAGTTGAGTCAAATGCCATGGGCCTTATGTACGAGTCGGCCATATTGAATTGAAAGTGAGCTAAAATCTTCATTTTTGGAGCTTGCGAAGAGAAATGAAAGCAAGTAAGTTACTAATTAATTCAAGTCTGCTTCAATGAATAATTTAACATTCCCTAATGTTTTAAGCCAGGTTTAAGTAAAATATGGCTGCATAAATAGTCTGGCGCCATCCCATTCAACAGGTAAACAATTTATGAAATACATTCAGGGAGCTCAACAAACATGGCCAACTCGTGCATAAGGCCCCTTGTGACTTGCTGTGTAAATGTTTTTATCAGGTTATTTGGGATAAGTAAAGTATCTTCAAGTTTACTCCAACATTCAGAGGAAGTGGTGTACCTGTATAGAAGACATCGTGATGGCGGCAGCCAGAGTGAAGAATGGATAGATGGGAAACAAAAACCTCTCCTCCTGAAAAAAAGTGAAAAATTATAAGAAAAACACAGCAACATGTCATTAAACATTCAAACATTAAATATATCGTTTAAAAACATTCACTACCGTCTGGTTTGATTCCTTTTTACTTTTGGAGGGGGGGGGTTGGTTTTTTTTTTTAAGTACTGAAATTTACTTACAAGAAATGATTAATTAGTAAATACGTTTTGTGAGAGGATCTCTGTTTAATATTTTTAGTACATAAATTCGGTATTATTAGCTGACTGGCTCCCATGGGGAAGGATCCAGTGCACACAATATGAACAAAATATTGACATTTTAGACACATTCATGTCAAATTGTAGCAAGGATTACTGTCTGCTTTAGGTGTACATTCACGACTGTTCATGAATTTACCTTGTGTGCTTGGCCGAAGAAGACCAGGATCCAGATGTACATGGGCATGAGTGTGAGCCAGTGGGGTAGGGGCTCAGAGCTGGATACCGGTCGCCCCTTCACATACCAGTTGACTGCAAACTGAAACAGGAAGTAATTATAATAATAGATTTAGCTTTAGAGCCTGTACTATGGATTTTATGGATTAAATTAACCCAGTTATTCTATACAATTCTTACTAACTAATTAATATTGATGATCAAAAGTTTCATTGAAGTTTTCAAACTCACCGAAAAGGGAAGCGCAACCAGTGCCATGAAAAAAGCAAAATTGAAATTCAGGAATCCGTTGATGAAGTAGAAACTGAATGGCTCTGTACCTGTTAAAAAAAACCGAACAACAATAATATAGAATAAGGGGTGAATTCATTAAACCCAAACTTCCGGCTTGACAAATGTGATAAGGACTTTATAGATTCCATTACAAAATGATGAAAAATATGGCAAATGTAATCATCACAAAACAGAAATTTGTTTTTATGCAGCTGTAATATAAACATTTAGCAAAACACACTTCATATTGAAACCCTCCCTCTCTGGCTGGCAAATTCAACAAAGCCAATCCAGCAGTCAAAATCAATCAGATGACTGTACCTTCAAAAAGCAGGATTGACTGGTTTTGAATGTTATAAAACTAGATACAGCTATGATCTGACTGCAGGAGATTGATAAGCCAGCTGTGCCTACCAGTTGCCTGCTTTTGTCTGTTGACTTAATTTGACTAGTCACTGTGATCTGACTGTTTGTGACTAGCCTGCCTAAAAGGCATGGAAGGGGAAGTGGAATGGATTTTTGACTGTCTGTGACTGAATTAAACAAAAGGACGGTTTAAAATGTCTCCTGAAATTGAAGTTCTGTGCCAATTAAATGGAGCTGCTGAACAGAAATTGCTACATGCAAAATGTATGTGCTCAAACCAGCCAGGGAACCAGCCACACTCAATATACTTTGCATGAAACTTTGGTTGGTAACCTGTTTTGCTCACAAAATATGTACTTTACTTGGCAAATGCTGCGCTCTGGAGCGTGAATAACAGGTATGATATATTCCCTGTGTGGTGCCACTATGTCATCTCAACATGTATACAGGTTCAACTTTGACCAACAATCATCAAGTTTCTTCAAAATGGCATCTGGTATGTAAGACAGTTTTAAATCATTTCTTTGCTTAACTTTGCCTAAGATTTAGTCTCAATAATTTGATAGGTCGGTTTTTGTTTTCAAACCAATTGCAAAATGGGGCGTCAGTATTTGATTGAACTTTTCATGGTTTTTTGACTCACCATACAGATTAGCTCCATGATCGGTGAAGACATTGTACATGACGATGTTGAGGGGTGCAATGACGAGCTTACCAAACATCTGAGAATCAATCCACACCAAGGGGAGCTTGAGGAAGACAAAAACACATACAAACACTATAAATGTGCTTAAAAGAAAGGTATACATTAGGCCTAAAAAAAAAAAAAGTTATGTTGGCGTAACGAGCCAGAAAAAATAGGGTAGGTAGGTCGTTTTTTTTTGTTTTTTTTTTAAATCCCAGCAACCAAAATGACATTAAGCCGGTAGTGGTACACGATAATTAAAGAAAACAAGGCTCATCATCAACCTTTCTAAAGGTACATATCAAAAAGCGGAATCCAAAATCAGACAAAATGTTAGCCGTTTCATCTGCATCGACATCTTTATATGGACCCGATTCTTCCTTTGAAGTTTGTATTTTTAGCACGGTGTAACCGGCTTTTACACCATCGGCACAGCTCTGGGCGATTACCCCCAGCTCTAGACTCAAATTTATCCGCATTAAACGGTCGAAAATGACCGAAGAACCCCATTTGCCCTTGATGGAAACACTGTACGCTTCGGTACCGGGCGCCATGATGCGACGGCGTACGCGCGTAACCACGGGCCGAGGGCCGGCCGGGTCGCGTCGGCCGCCGGGGTTATAGAATAGTTTACCATTTTTAGAATAAATATATATCAATTGTTATCGTGTAAAATAGTGGAAAATTAATTAAAATAATTTATATTATAATGAACTATTTTTTTTAACATGGAATAAATAGCGAAGTATTTTCAATAGTGTATGTAGCAGTTCGCGCCGTGCAACAGTCTGGACGAGGCTATATATATGTACTGTACATGTACATATGTGCATCTATCATGCATGCATGGTGCATCAATCTCCGCACGCGCACTGCCTGTAGGCCTGCGCGATCTTCTGTCATGGAGAGGAAGGTGCAAAACATTGTGCACTCCAAAGTTCCACGCGCGCTATCGTCAACGGTCAGAAATGGTTTCAAAACGTATTTAAAATTCATTTCTATAGATTTTAATTATATTTCTTCCCTTCAAAAAAAAATAAAATTTCCAGGGTCGGCCGCATTTTTAGGGTCGGTCGGGTTACGCCAACATAACACTTTTTTTTAGGCCTTACTCCGTTTCTGGCAAATTCTGTAATATAATATTTTCTATGAAAAAAACAGGCTGTCAATTATTTTGACGAGTGGGGGATGATGAAAAAAATCCTTACATTTTCCACACCTTGAAATACATGTATTTGGAAAAGGAAAGGGGGGGGGGCGAGGGCTGGGGAATGACACCATTTGACACTACACTGTCAGTGGCACTGTTCATGATTGAAACTAGTACGATTTAAATAGAAATATCTATTAACCCTAACTCCTTGGGTTTCTTTACTAGAAAGTATCCTGAATCCGCCAAAATCCACCAATTATGTCACGCCAAAAATGTTGGTGTTGGTGACTGCTCAATATGGAGGTATCCTGAATCCATCAAAATCCCGCTGGGCTTACAATCTTCAATCCATCAAAATTCCCCCGTTTTCAATTGAAGAGATCCTGAATCTGCCAAATACTCCAAAACAGGGGTATGCATTTTGATGGATTTTGTTGGATTCAGGGCGGTTAGTGTCAAACGTAAACACTATTTTTCAATAAGAAGTAAATATCTCAGTGGTTACAACTCACCAACACAAAGACAAAGGCTAGCAAGCACCACTTGATAAACAGAGTAGCTCTCTTCTCCCGAAGGATGATGTCAATTGCAATGGGGATGCTATAAACAAGACAAGAATAGTAAACATCAGAGTTACAGTCACGACCTTTTCCAATACCTCACATGACATGCTTATATAATGGAGCATCGACTCAAGTCCTGGCTATCACTGTTTCTTCCCAGTCATTCAAAGATAGAATGCCAATACAAAATACATAATACAAGTCGTGTTGCATAAGTCCTTGACCAGTTGCTCTACTACTGTTTTATGGTAGCGCTTGTAGCAGTCTTAAGTATACTTCGTCATAGTACAGGTAACTAAAGAAAATTTTCTCAGGCCTCTACACACGGAAGTTGAAGTTTAAATTCATATTTGAACAAAACTATTTTCTTGTTTTTCTTACCCTAATGCTCCAGCAAACGGCCACCCCACAAATGCACTGACTGCTGTGCTCATTATTGCAACCTGAACAATTGTAAAAAAAATATTGTCAATTGTAAACATTTATTTTTTAAGTTTTGGTTCCTGAACTTTTCAGCCAGCATGAAGCATTCACGAAACTTGGTACTGAGGATTTCGATAGAAAGTCCAAATCACTTGGTTTGTGCCTGCAATTTCACATGCATATTTACGAAAGTGGCTAAGGTCAAAGTTCTACAGTAACTTGGACGTGACCTAAATTTAGATTTAATTTTAATGGCAATGAAACATGCATGAAGTTTATGTGTCAATTCATGACATTGGCATCAATCATCAAATTAACTCTAACAAGTCAGGTGTGTTTACAAACACAAATGCCCCGCAACCGTGACTGTTTCCATGACATAACACCACTCTAACATCAACTTACATGTACCTTGGTCACATGGAACGTTCATTGACAGCATTAGTGTCTTCTGTAGGTTTTATATGAATTAATCCCTAATCCCTATGATCTCAAAATAAATACAAGATTTCTATTGTTTTAGCCACTGTGAACTTGACCCTTAACCTTTTGGCCCCAAATGCAATAGGCTTCTTAGGATTACCAAGAACAATCCACAAACCAAATTTGAAGTTCACATGTTAAGTATTTCTCAAGTTATCGCGCTGACAAGATTTCTATTGTTTTAGCCACTGTGAACTTGACCCTTGACCTTTTGGCCCCAAATGCAATAGGCTTCTTAGGATTGCCAAGAACAATCCACAAACCAAATTTGAAGTTCACATGTAAAGTATTTCTCAAGTTATCGCGCTGACAAGATTTCTATTGTTTTAGCCACTGTGAACTTGACACTTGACCTTTTGGCCCCAAATGCAATAGGCTTCTTAGGATTGCCAAGAACAATCCACAAACCAAATTTGAAGTTCACATGTAAAGTATTTCTCAAGTTATCGCGCTGACAAGATTTCTATTGTTTTAGCCACTGTGAACTTGACCCTTGACCTTTTGGCCCGAAATGCAATAGGCTTCTTAGGATTACCAAGAACAATCCACAAACCAAATTTGAAGTTCATATGTTAAGTATTTCTCAAGTTATCGCGCTGACAAGATTTATCCGGACACACACACCCACCCACACACCCACCCACCCACACACCCACGGAACGACAAGGCGGAAACGACAAGGCGGAAACAGTATGCCCCTTCGGCTTCGCCGCGGGGCATAATAAAAATGGAACTTACTGGATAGTTGCCGAGATACCATCCTGCCATGGATACCATGGTCATGTACATGGAAAAACTGCTGGGTAGGAAAGCTGGTAAAATGAAACAGATACAAGATATTCAATCTATGGATTCAACGCAGGGACTGCTAATAGTACTGTGTGATGTGGTGTACTTATGACAAATTATGCTCCAATTTCAAGAAGCTTCCAAGGGAGAAATATTGCTCAACCAATTTCTTGAAATGTACAGTCCGTCCTGAGCAAATATGGCACATCAGACCGACAGTTATTTACTGTTTCCATACATGTATCATGAAACAACTGAGGATAGTTCTATCCCCTCCCCCAGGATGGGATACCAGTCCATTGCAGGTTACTCCCCAGATAATGCTGGTACCCACTTAATAATAACGAGTACTTATACAGTACTTTTAACTAAGATCAAAGCACTTAAACATTAATATTACCCATGATAATCCTGAGTGGACAGTGGCAAGTACAGGTAAAGTGACTTGCCGAAGGACAAAACATAAGTGGATTTGAACCCCTGGCCCTATGGATCACGAGTCACAAACCTTAACCACTAGGCCACACAGTCCCCAGCAGATTCATGTACTATTATCAATTTGGGATTATCTCACACAAAAAGTTGTCATAATGAGGGTAGATATGTTGCACAAGCCACTCACCAGCACTTGATATGAACATTCCTGTACTGAACAGTAAGAAGCATAGAGTCAAACGTCCAACGCTTGCTCCAAAATTCTTGCATACACCCCTTCGGGAGAAAGGAAAAACAAAAAATTAGTATTTCACTTAAATCTCTCTTGAAATTAACTAAACAATAATACCTGTTGTACCAGAACGGTTTAAAGAAATATTTTTCAATGGGCTCTTTATATTCTTAAATGCTTAAAAATCTTCCAAACCTCATTGTGACTACTGAAGGATCTGGGAGAGTTACAATTTAAACTTTGAAATAAAAAGGTGTATGTGTCGTCTCTAATCGATACCTGTTGGATCTGTAGCATTGTTGAGGTGACTTGCATCTTGATTACAGCTGTAATCCATTTGGGGTTTTTATGGTTTACATATCTTGATGTTCCCAAAGAACTATGACATTACTGAGCAACTGCAAACAACAGTTTAGTGGGCAGAACCTCAGTATAATATTTCAGAGGTTTCTGGTTTGAATCCTCCTCCAGACATTTTTGTTTAGCTTTTATTGAAAATGATAAAAAATTACTTTCTCACCTATAAAAATAGAGCTCACATAATGCACAGGTTAATCCCAGAAGGCATCGTGTGAAGTAGAAAACTAAGATCTGTAATGAAATAATCACAAACACAAAATGGTTTTAATGTGCATTAAAATCTCTTCAACAGTACCAACAACCTGACTCCCTATGTAAAGGATTTATGAATCAAATAGCTAGATCACACTTTGGTAAAACAGTTCCTCAAAATCTGCCCTTTGGTAGAGTTTTGATTTGAACGTTGCCATGTAAGAGACACCACATGTGAACCGTAATGGACCTGCCTGTCACACCAACAGTGGACATCGATTCGATCACAACATAGTCACAAGCACTCGGGGAGTCAGGTTGGTGTAGCGGTACTTTCCTTGTCTTCCACCGCTGTGACCCGGGTTCGAATCCTGCCTACGGCTAACATGTGGATTGGGTTTTCAGTCCCTACTTGATTCCGTGGGTTTTCCTCAGAATATTCTTCTGGGCTTTTCCTCCCACCTCTAAAACTGTAATTTCTTCACATTGTCTTCTCTTTACTGGGCCCCATGGGAGACTAGTGGATTCCACTGAATGGGCTACCCAGTTAAAATAAGAATTAAATAAATAAATAAATAAATAAATAAGCACTGTGAGAAGTGCACACAAACCAAACGTAGGCAGGACATATAGTAAAATGCCAAATGCTCCAATGGATATGGATACTTACCTTATTTGCAGCTAGAAGGTAGGAGTGAAGTCTACCAGGCAAGGCATGGAGGAAGATGTATGCGTAGGAACGGAGGGCGTAGGCTGGGGAGTATTCCCAGGTTTGAAAACCTTCTCCATAGATCAGGTAATGGGTCTAGGACATGGTGGGAAATAATATAAGACACTGTCAGTTCATTTCTGTAAGCAGAGGATCATGCTTTGAGTTTAATTTTTAATTAATCCATTTGTCCCTGAACAACTCCAAACTGCCCCTCCCTGTTTTAAACTGCCCGAGCATTCTTAGTCCGAAAATTTGGGACTCTCAATACTATGTATGAGAGTCCCAAAACTTAAGTTATTGAAAACATGCAATACCAGAAAATAGACTTGCACCTGAAACAACCAGTCCAACACTTGGCACCACCCTTTTAGTACTGCATCAATCAACTGCGTTAAAAGAAACGTCTGGCACCCAGTCTCTATTTCTACACATTCTCCATCGTCATGCCACCAGACTACTTAAGGGTCAATCTTTGCAAAATGTTGGACAAGCACCAGTCTAGTCTTTAGTTTCAAACTGAAATCACTCGTTTCGCTCTCACGTGCAAAATGTTAAAGAATGGTCTCCTTCAAAAATTGAATTAAGACCTCAAACTTGGCTGGTGAAATACTGAGGACCTCGTCTTTGCTCCATGAAAATTGTGGAGAACTTAGTTTGCTAAAGAGTGAGTAAAGTTGGCGTGATCTTGTTTTGCATGTTTTTCTGCACTCAGGGTCCCAGTCTGGCGCACTCTATTGTTTTATGGATTCATCAGGGAATAAACACAATGTTCAATGCAGCACAGGTGCTAATGGGTTAACTCTGGGGTGATTTGAAGCTACAACCAACAAATTGTAAATAGAGTATTTTCAATAATCTACTTACAGGCTCCCAATAGTTAAAAGTCTCATCACAGTCAGAGATGTTGCTGAGAAGAGCGGCACAGAAACGGGCTGAGATGAGAATCTTGAGGGCCGTGGATGCTTGAGGAGTCCAACACTGGAGGTTGTCGGCATGCTCGGTGGGTACTCGGACATGACGGGACATACTAGGAATGGAAAAAAAAGGAGAATGGTTACTAACATTTTCAAAACCATGAGAAATTGTTGCATTATATTTTATTCATAAATACCTTAACAGTTTACCCATTCCTATTAGTCGAGAGCCCGTCACGTGGCCGGTCTTAAACGGATGATAAAGACATGGCTTGCTGGTCTTAAACACTTTTCCAGTGTCACATGAAATTTGGACTCCTAAAAATCCAGTGCCTATTAACATTTTATTGGTTGAACGTTCACAATCCTCACGTAGGCATGCGCAATACTACCAGTGAGTCAGAATTTTATAGTCCTAAATTCACAACGCAACGCTCCAGGTGCATTCTGCGTGACATAGCGCAATACGCGCGCCAATCTCCATAAAAGGAGTTGTTCACATCTTACTCACCAGCTGGACACTCAATTATTTAGCTAGAGGGATGTTTAAAAAAACATGAAGTGAACTTGTTGAACAAAATCGGGTTTATTTTGACCGAAAAGTTTTGATTTGTTTGACCGAAAAGGTATTTATGCATGGTAATAAATATGTGCTCGGTCGGTGTTAATCACTCTGTTTAAAACCTTGGAGTCTGGCATGTGTGGGTGCTGATAATTATCCTCGCCTCCGGCTTGGGTAATTACCACAACCCAGACTCCAAGCGGTCTTAAACAGAGTGATTAATACCGACCAAGCACACATTTATTCCCTTAATAATGAAACCAGAGGAGTGAAGGAGAATGTGTTTCAATCACAGTTTTAGTTTACTCATCCCCTTGGGCCTTGCGCTTAAGGCCACGTAAAACTAATAGTAATACACCTGTTTCTCGTCCCCACCCATTTTTTTCTTCTTGCCCACCTCCTTTTTTCTTTCTTCTTTTTTAATTCACGTTTCTGATATATTTTGCAAATTTAATGTCCGAAAAAATATTGCAACCTGACGCCACTTTTTTCTTCTTAATACATGTATCATCACAATAAAGGTAATTCATTGCAAAAATGATGATAAGACATAAATCTAGGACTGAGAGACATTTCTAATTTTTTTTTAGGAAATACTGACTCTCCAACTCCAAGGACTTTGTACCATTGTACACAATCACAGGATTGTGATTTCCTTTTGTTTGTGATCACAATCACAAACAAAAGGGAGGGGAACGGCCCTTGAGGTAAATCCCCCACTCCATGCTTCTCCCCCGCCCCCCCCCCCCCCCCCCCCCCCCCCCGATAGACTGTCATGACTGTTCGATCAGCCATCGACTGGGTCCTCGAAAGTCATGAAAGTCAAAAGTGGTCGAAAAGCGCCATCTATTGTTCGTAAACGGAGTCCATTTCAATACATTCATGACACTGACATTTGATTTATATTCGTTCGCGTGTTGAAATTTGTCCGAAAATTAGGCAACAATTTTTGCGACCAAAAATCAATTTACCTTTCGTGTGTTTCAGCACCTTTTGTCTCCTTCTTTGCTGGTAAGTGCCGCCCCTTACCTCTGGAACTAATCGACCTCATTTTACAGCACCAATATATCCTAAATTTCGAGTATTTTTGCGACACTTTCCAGCGGACAGAACGGGCAACGGCGTGACCATGAACTAACTGAATGCAAACTCTTGAGGGCGTCGCTGCAAGGCGTCAGTCGTGTCGTCTGCACTGCATGCACCGCGCGTCATCATAATTATTGTTTGATATTTGGGTACTAATACTATTAGTTCCTAAATAACTTAACTTTAAAACTTTAAAGTAAACGCATCTGATAAAGCCGCCAATTTGGACCCAATATTGATTGTTCTTGTATAGCTGGAGTTACCCAGCCCTGAGTTTTATAAAACTCAGGGCTGGGTAACTCCAGCTAGTTCTTGTATATTTATTGTGCCAGTATTGGATGCTCTTTCGTGTATTCGCAGTATCCCTAGTACTAGTACACACAATTTCAGACTGATTAACATTTTTTTTAATAGTTAGAATTGTGAACAATTCTCCATAAAATGTGCACAGAGTCCAAAAAGCACAAGATTATAATGCACAGCTCCTTGTTTATTAATCTCAAAATCATTGGATATGAACTTTGTTTTGATTTACATTGTACGTCATACACGTGTGATACTAAAACAAAATGAAAACACAAAACTGAAAAAATTGAACAATCTACAAGATAATGAGTTGTGCTTTTTAAATTACATATCTACATACTGCACTTTAACAAAAAGACTAGCCCCCAAAGTTTTTAATTCATAATTATTAACAGTTATTAGTTTATACATGTGTATGATTTACTCTGATCGATCTGTGTTTACTTAGACACTGGGAATGATTGCTAAATCTTTTTCTTTTTTATTTTGAGCATGGAATGATTTACTTCCGAATGACCCGGATATTCCACTTTTCATCCACAAACATCCCACACAAACCTTTGTTTTTAGTTGGTTTATTTAGTGTAATTTACATTCTTTGTTTCTTGTTATTGTTTCTTGATTCTTGTTTCTTGTCTGCCTACGCATGTGTTACTGTACATAATGATTGTTAAAATCCTGCTATATCAATGTTGACTGTCAATTTTGAGGAACAAATGTCTATAGGAACTTTTCATTTTGTTTTATCAGTTTACAGAATTAATTGGGAAAAAAGTTGCAAATCTGCACCATTTACAGAGCAAGTAATAGTTAAGTAATCACATTATATAGGCACAAGTTTTTATTTGAGTAATAAATATTTTACACATTAACGGTTAGTAGAAAGCCCACAATGCACTGGTTTGATTCAAAATTGAAATCCTGTATGTCCCCCGATTGAACAATTAACAAATGTTCATAACTTGGAATAATATTTCATTATAATTTTGTGTGCAAAAAGCAAAAGAAAGTCAATACAATTTCTTTGCCAAATCTACATGACAACAAACACGGTGCAGATTTTCATGATTGTATTTACATGTGTTTGAGCCACAAGTAATTTCCTTTTTAAAATGATCTCCAGTATAAAAACTCATCTTAATAATAGTCATCACTGACTGAATTTGACACTTAGTCGTCAAATGTCAAGTCTGACAAGTCTGGTGCAATTTAAAAACAAGACACCAAAAACTGACCATTCTTTTCAACAACAAACGGCGACCTTTTGTCAGCACACATTCTGTAATACTGCCACCCTGTCACAATATGATTTAATTTATACAAGTATGACAATTGTTTTAGATTACATTCAAATGCACCACCGTCCTGTTTATATAACACACTTTTACCTTTTGTAAAGAAATTTAAAAAAATTAAAATGAGGAAATAAATAAAAACAGTTCAACTGAAAAGTCTGTCAACTGTCCCCTCTACTTATTAAGGTATTTAACAAATGCTAAATGTTGTCATGGTTTCATCATATAAAATTGATATACTCTTTAAACAAAACGTAGAAAAAAATACAAAAATTAAAATAAAATAATACATAGACAAATTTTCATTAAAAAAAAAAAAAAAAATCAAAAATGGTAGTTTTGGGGATATAAATATTAACATTTACTGAACAGCACTATATACAAAAGACCCATTGAGCCAGATATGTACATAACAGGTCCTGCTGTTTAACTTCTGTATGTTTTATGGACTTTCAATGCTGACACGCACACACATTCACAGGATTTTCTACCAAAACACATCCCAAATTATACGGACAAATTCACAGTCTTTTCAAACGTGATGGCCAGTTTGATTGAGCTACAAAGCTTGGATAAATGTTTAGGTCAAGAAATTATTTATTTAGCAAAAACAGGCTATCAGCTCAAATAGTCAGGTAAAGTATAATGTGAGCAGATTTCTGCTCAGCATGAAGCATTTGCTGAAAACTAGAAGTTTATTTTCAAAAGCAATATATCCATTTGAATGAAGTCAAAAGTTTTCATGGTTAAGAACTTTAAAGACTAAACACAGTCCAAGTGCTGTTTCTAAACTTCATTTTTCACTTCACTGTATTCTTTAAATGTCAGAGATGAAACTGGCATATGGCAACAAAATTGGAAAATAGGGCGAACAAAAATACGTGTCCGAAATCTGGGCCACGCTGCAGTCACATATACAATTGTACGTGTACATGCATGTACAATACACTCCATGCCCAATTTCCAGACACCGACTCCTGCTTTATTTTCGATTCAAACAAAATTTTGTTTCATAGCATAAAACGCCTGAATTACGGTTAGAGTAATGGAGTCATCAACAAAGAAGTTCACTTCTTACTTGAGAAATTTAAAATGTGCTTAACTATATAACAGCCGTCAAAACTAGCCTTGGGCAGCCAGGAGAGAGCGAGATTCTAAGAGGTAACAAAATGGCTTCTATCGCATCTTGGAAACATACTCTTCTATTCTTCTCGCTTTATACACGTATGTAGCAGTTTCATGTAATTAGGACAATGTCTAAATGGCTCACTCTAAACACTTCTGCCATACCATATGTGTTTCAGTTGAGATAATATGCGACTACTCTGTGAAAATACGAAAAAATGTCGTAGTGTAGTAGTGTAACATTTTGAAGAACAATTATTTTTTAAAACGTGTCTGTGACACATGAAATTATGTATTCTTTTAAATGGTGAAGTTGGAAGTTTGTGAAAGTGAACAATATGGCTACATGATGGAAGAGTCAGAAACCACTATTAAATGTCAGATTTTTTGAAGAATTAACAGAGAGACTTTCTACATAGTTAGGATACTGGCATACACCAACGGAGCAAGATTCAGTCTACGTAGGCCTCTGTGGTTTTTAACTGCTTCTAAGTCTACAATATATAATGTGTTATTTTTCTTGCCCTTGGGTTTATCATACAGGGCTATTTTTAAAAAAAATCTCTTACAGTATTTCTTTACCCAAAATGTTCAAAATATAAAAGAAATGGTACAAAGGTACATTGGCAGCTATAAAAAAATGTAACTTTTCAAATATCGATTTGGCAAAATGCAAGTTCATCGGGAAAAAAGGTACAAAATGTTTGTAATAACTTAATTCAAAATAAAACAATAATGCCCCATCCTTCATGCCTAAGCAATGACTGATAAGCTAGCGGTGTGCAAACCCGTCTGATTATCATTGTACAAAGCCTGAAGTTGTCAAGTTGCAGCAAGTTAAAGTAGTATTTAAAAAAAAGCTACAACATGAACTGCAAACTCAAAATGAAACCCTGTTCAAAATTTGCTTTTATTTTTGTTGTTGCCATAACCTAATCACTGTTTCTTTCTTCAGAACCTCAAGGTTATTTTACATTTTTTACTTTTATGATGACTGTTTCATCTTTTCAAACAGCTCCAGAAGATATATACATACATGTACAGAGCATAAAAACCCACTGCTCTGGCTGACAACGCAACGTCAAGCTGAAATTACACAGAGGCAACATCTCCTTAAACAACAGAAAAAATCCTGCACTTCTTAGTTGTTTTTTTTTAACTGGAATGATAAACTTACATAATGACCAGTTTTAATTTAAACACACTGTTCAAATCAAGTCAGAGTCTACAATGAGACTACGTCATACCAACGATGCATGGTTGTCCATAGTATACTATTTACAAACTATTGGGGGCGAAAGTTGACAACTTATGAACTTTCACAGTCGCACAGATTTTTCTTATTTGACTTCATGAGGACTTTCAGTGCATTTTTTTCCTAGATTTGACGTTCCCCTCATGGCTTGAAACGAAAAAGACAGCTATAATCATGATGGAGAATGGTGTGTAGTCAGGTGATGTGTGATCACATGACTGGTCACATGCGTGTTTCTTCTGATTTGGTGCTGTGCGTGCCCAGGGACTCCCTGCTCCTTGATTTGTTCTTCCCAGTCCCAGCAAAGTGGAAGTCTGTCGGCATCTCCACGTTCTCCTGGGAGATATCAGGCGAGATTTGTCCCATGAGCGCGATGGTCTCACCGTCCTCAATGTGCACTGAGTCATGCTTGTCGTTCTGGAGGTGGTCTAAGCCGTTCAGATGGATCTCAGGTAGCACCGTGGTGTCTGGTACGGTGCTTGGCGTACCGTTGCCCACGTGGGCATCTGAGTCCAGACTACCGTCCATTGGCAGACCGTCGTGGGTTGTCTCAGCTAAATCGTAGACTTCTGGACCCTGGGCGTCATCTGGTGGCGTGTTCACTTCCAGCGCGTTGGCGTTTGTGACGCTTGGGTTGGTGGGCTTGCGTTTCTCTGATTTGGTCCGGCGATGCCAGAACTTAGACGGCCGCTGATTGCGCTGTGTGCCCGTGCTGGCTACAGTCTGGCTGCGGGCCCGGTACCAGTTGTCACTGTCCAGGGAGCTGTTCCGGGCCGAGTCCGACATCTGACGCAGGTTGCTGCTGTCTGGTAACGCTGTCAGGTAGCGTGTCTTGTGCCAATCTTTGTTCCTTTCAGAATCGTGACGATTCAGCGACTGCACCTTCAAGTTTTTAATCTGCTGCTCCGCAGTGTACACACTATGGAGGGCTAGGTACAGGAAGTGGTATTCATCCTAGAAAAGAATCAAAGAAATCAGTTAATCACCTCAACAACCCTAGATCAAATTCTACCTAGGCTGATTTTTTCCCTTTTTTTTCAGTTCCTGTGGTTTCCCCAATTTTGGGTTTTATCTCATCTCCAAAACGAGTATTTCTCATTTTGAGTGTCTTCAGGCTCCTAAGCGACAGTGAATTTGCATTTTTGAGGAACCTATTATTTGAACCAGAAGGAATTGAAAAATACAAAAAAACAAAAAATCGAATGAGCAAATGTTTCTAGGGAATAAATATATAAGGTCTCTTTAACACCCAGAATAAAATCTCAATAATTGTATCATCAACAATAAAAACAAACCAACAACCGAAATTTGAAATCATCATTTCGTGTGGAAAGAAAAAATTGAAACTACCCCAAAGACCAAACTGTGGGACAGCTAAAAACAAGAGAATCTCACCTTTGTTCCAAACATGCCTGGCCTCTTGTTGGCGTAGAGTTTGACCACTTTGTAGACGTCGACGCTGTTCTCCATCGCAAGCTGCTGATGCAAGGTGGAGAGTGCACAGAACGTGCCTGCTTGCCGCCCCCCAAACCTGCAGATATGAACGACCAGAACCATTGAAATGTCAGGTACACAAATATCAGGCTAAGCACAAATACATGGTTTAGCAGATTTTATTTGCTAAGCAACAAAACAAAAATAAACGAATATTGCAATCGAGTTTTAATTTCAAATGGAATATTGTGTTCATTCACACAATCTCCAGGGCCCTATGTCATAGAGCTGCTAAGCACCAAATATTGCTTAGGTAATTTGATTTGCTTAGTATAAATCAGCTAAGAACCTGCAAAATATTAAGCAGGCTTCAACATTCAGGTACAAAATCCTTAAAACCCAAGGCTGCCTAACAAAAAAATAGTAATGGGGAAATTTACGTGTTAAGTCAAAAAAAAAGCAACCCTCCCAAACAACAGTAAAGAACTATAAAGAAAGTATGCCAATTTAGGCACTACCAATCTTTTCACAAAGCAACAATTCTAAATACAATAACAAGGAAGTACGATCCTTGTGAATGGATGACTTACCTATCATGGACCGTGATTGGTCCAACCACATCTTTGTTGACCACCGCCAGCATACGACTTCTCTCCTCCAACGCGTAGATGAGGTCAAATGCTGTGTGGAGAGGTGAGCAGCTATCTGGCCAGTAGCTACAGTGGTACTGCTTGACTGTCAACTGGTCATCGTCCTGAGCAAAGTGACAACAATGACAAAGTGACATCCAGTAATTGTAGTGAAACTGGATGATTTGTGGTGATGGGAACAAGAGAAATAACAAACTACTTCCTGAAAAAGAGGTGTAAACTTTTCCGGAGGAAGTTAACATGGAAAGTACTGAAATACAACTTTCTCCATTCTACTCTTTTCCCCAAATGTTTCTTTAACCCTAATGTTCCAGGGTATTTTGTCTAAAAACCCTACCCAACGCAATAACTGATAACATGAAACAATTGTCAAAGTGAGAGGCATGACCAGTGTAGCATGATCAAACAGGTAAAAAATACCAAGGCTAAACTACCTCAGAGTTTGTGGTTGCCAACTGCAGCAGGACAAGGTCCTGTGGTACTGGTCAATGAGACTAGCTCCCATCGTCTCACAATTGGCAATTAATTCAATTGTGTTGATGGCCCAATCCAGCAAGGTCCCACAGACTACACCTGTTGCATCTGGCAGGTCAGGGGTTAAGATTGCGTGTTTTACCTGTGAGCAGCAGAGAAGGAACTCCCTAGTGATGTAAGACATATTGGAATGTTCTTCCTCACACAGCGTGACCTTGATGGTCCCAAAGGTCAACGACTCATCCTTGTTGGTCGGCCAATAGATGGGGCTATCATCCTGAAGGACAAACACACAGTATCAACATTGAGTTGTTTGAGGAATAAATGAGAAATGTATCATTCCTAAAGAAATGCAAAAAGTGCCAACTGATTTCAAGACTGAACTTGTAGGGTTCCCACCACTTTATGAAAACCAAATTCACAAATTCCCATGGAATTTTAACAAGGTTGCTGGGAAGTCAAGAGGTGGTGTAGCGCAGCCAATTGTTATTGTCTGGAGAGGTGTGTAGTATTCACACTGCATAAACACTCAAAAGCCACCATAGCCAGTCAGTCAATGAACACAACGTGGACACATGGCACAAGACACACACACACACACACACCCAGTCGTTTTTTGCTATGCTTCCGAGGATTGGCTTTGTGTTTTCCTTTGTCCCTGTAATATAACACTCTCCCATAGACTAAGCACACAAACCTGCGTTCGAGGACAATAGGCACCTTCCTTCGAGGATCAATGGCCCCTTTGTGCTCCTTTTGTTGTCTGTCCTCAGGCGTAATGCCATGCAGGAACACACACCCAGACTTACGTTACATACCTTGTGTGGACATTGCTTTGTTTTCGTGTAGTTAAGAAAATTCGGTACAAAAAATAACTTTACTTAAACTGTGAAAACTCTTTTAACCCAATTTTTTTTCTATGATTCCCTATAGTGTTTCTCTTCATTCTGCTACGGATAAACCTAACCCAAAAATGCCTCTAAACCTGTTTTCCAGAAAGGGCAAAACCTTATGTGGACACGGCTTAGTCCACATAAGGTTAACACAACCTGCATTATGTGGACCTCTTTTGTTCACAAGTCCACATAGGGTATGTAACACAAACTCACCCAACCTTTCCCTTCTGAGTCACTGTCAAATTCCCTGAGTTTTCCCTGATATTTGGTGTTTTCCACAAATTCCCTGAGTTTTCTCCCGACTGGAGAAATGGAAACTCATTTTCAAGGTTTTCCCGATTTCCCGAGTGGTTGGGAATACTGACATACCGGCAAAGGAATTCAGTGGCCAATATTCCCCCCCCCCCTTTTTGAGTGAAAACATTCATGAGATTTTGTGTGTTATTGCACATTTACAAATAAGAATGAATAACGAACTGCAGGATAGCGTCAACTGTCAATTTAAAAGAAGTGTCTTGGAGGCAAAGCCTAGTCTTACCTCCTCCTTGTCCGTTAGCATGACGATGGTCGTTGAGTTGCTCTCCCACAGCATACGCCAAAACTCTGTCATGGTGTCCTTCAGCGGGTACTGGGTCACTATGAACTCCTTGTTCCTACGGTAACCCTGTCCAATTAAATGATGGCAGTTTAGTTAAGTTGGCAAAACATGAAAAGAATGACAAACAACAAAGGTCCAGTTGACCCAAAGCAGCAACATCAGACCCAATGGGATGGAACATGTACATTAATAAAGAAAAAGAAGGCAAAGTTTTGAAAGGAAAATTTTGACCCATCAGCACAAAACCAGCCAGAAGTCGCACGGCCGTATTTTGAGATACAGTCCGTGATACAATGAACCGGCCAAACTTATCGAAATTCCGATTTAGGAATTAGAAGATAGAATTCATTTCACTTTCAATGAAGTTTATTTATTTTCCTAAGCAGTTCATTTGGAAACTTAATCTGCAAATTTCTTGAATTTTTTTTTTTACTTTCCAAGGCCTGAAAAAAATTGGAAACTGATAATACGTATAACTCCATCTGATTGTGTCCGATTCCAATATTCTATATATCATAGGAAAGCTTGTTCAATGTCCTTTCCAAAGAGCCCAAAATCCAAATTTTTTTGGGGGGTGGGGGGCCCTGTCCATAAAGAATGTACGCATGAATAGGAGGGTGGGGTTGTTAATATTGCATCCACCATGCATAAGGGATGGAGAGGGTCCCAGCGACACTTTGCTTTTAATAATTATTGTAATGAAAAAAAATCAATGTACTTTCTCATAATATATAATACCTAAATGTACCAGGACCAGCTTTTATGCATTGAAAATTGTCTAAAAAGTTGACTTTTTGTGCGTACAATGTAAGTACTTTATGGACAGCCCCTTGGGGAAAGTGTAGCAGACAATTTTGCTCTTACGGTTAGCATATGTAACAGGTTAGCCAGGATTTTAAGCCTGTGCCCACGCCTACATCCCATAACTTAGGATTCTGTATTGAAACGGTTAGCACATAATTTATTTGCTGGTGTGAAAAACACAGAACAGTGATCTTAAGCGCAAGGACTCTGTGGTTAGCAGAGCCATGAAAATGGGCCCAGAAAAGAACCCAGGCCCTACACAGAATGAATACCTGTAGGAACGATGCGTTGATGTAGTCAGAACTGTCCTGCCCAGCCACGCCCGAGATGGACACTCGGTTCCTCTCGATGGGGAGGAGTTTACTTCGGTTCTTGCTGCGATTCAGAGCATGGCGGGCCTTGGAGAACTCGTACTCCCGGATCTTTTGAGTAGCGATGAACTGTGGAGCACAAAAAAATATATTATTGGAAATTGTGAGATTTGAGTACAACTTGGAAGAATTACCAGTTACACCATTCCGAGTCCCTGTCCAGGCAATTCCAGCGTTATGTAATGTCCGTAACGGAGCTTTTCAGAGCTCAGTGAAAACACCTGAACATGTATTTTCAAATCTTATTCATGTACATCCATTCTCTTATAATGGTCAAGGAGATTACAGACTAGGAGTTTTGGATCATTCCTCTGAATCATTTATTAGTTGTCATGGTTAATTGGCTTGTCATGGATATTACACGTCCTTTCTTACTGCTGAAATCTGTAAAAGAGATTTGGTTTTGAGAAATCACTGAATGAACGTAAATTGTCACAGAAAATTTACAATGTGCATGGATGGAAAAGTATAAAAAAAAAAAAACCTGTCACAACTGTTTAAAGAACACACAGGGCACTTAAAATCTTACGAAACATCTTTGTTATGGCAGTTGAGTCTTCTAATCAAAATGGTGATTAAAAATGTCCTCAGGTAAGACACATGTACATTACAGTAATCCTGGCTCCCAACCCACCAGTTGGGAGGCAAAATGTTTTTGAAAGTGTAGTGTACATGCAAGGGCGGATCCAGAACACAATTTTGGGGGGGGGCCAAAAAAATTTTTGGTTCCCCCCAAAAAGTGGGTCAAAAAAATTACGGCGTGGGGTTCGGGGCCCGCTTAAGGGCCCCGAAAAATTTTTGGATTCTAGATGCTCTGTGGTGTGATCTGAGGCGATTTCTGACCACTTTAACCAATGTTTTTTTTGAGGAAAAGATGGTGGTGTACTCATTGCCTGCCTTTATTGCGATGTCAAAAAGTGGGTCAAAAAAATTACGGCGTGGGGTTCGGGGCCCGCTTAAGGGCCCCGAAATTTTTTTGGGATTCTAGATGCTCTGTGGTGCGATCTGAGGCAATTTCTGACCACTTTAACCAATGTTTTTTTTTAGGAAAAGATGGTGGTGTACTCATTGCCTGCCGTTATTGCGATGTCACATAAAAAAAAAAAAATTGATTTCGTTTTGGGGGGGGCCATGGCCCCCTTTGGCCCCCCCTGGATCCGCCCTTGTGTACATGTGGGATCTGTAAAGGTTTCTTATGTCTTTCTTGGTCATTTAATACCACATAAGTAATTTTGAATTACAGCATGACTTTGGGTTGAAGGAGTCCTTTTCACTATGTATAAATTCTTAAAAATTAACTTTTATTATGTTTATGAATTAAAGTAATCACATCTTTGCTTTAGCTTTTTTAATACATAGAATGAGTACATCATTTAGTCTGATTTATAAGATTGACATTTGTTGCTTGTTCAAGTGTCTTTTGTTTACTATCATCTCGATAGTTAGAAAATAATAGATGACCAGTTTAATTGGTTAAAGGCCTGTTGATGTTATGCTTTGTCAACTACCCAAACGGTTAAATTCAAGTAATTATTGTCATTAGTTTTATCCATAATATCTTAGTTTATCTTTATCAATCGTTCACTTAAATCTCATACTTAATGCAACTCGATTAATCAACTTTAATCTTTCTAACCTTTCTTCTCTCTACTCTGCTACTTGTTATAAATCTAAACCTTGTTGACTGCTTCAGATCTCCTACCCCGGGTGGTGCTGATTATAATAGCTTTTGTGAGTGGAAGGTGAGGAGGCAGCGGTGAAACTTTGATTCTGTCAAGCAGAAAATGGCTGTTGCCTTGATGCAGGCACAAGGATCAATATAGCTGTACAGTGCCAGGAACAGTTCACAACTCCTGTGGGTTGTCATGCACTAAATCAAATGACCAATCATCCAGAAATTTAAATAAGTGTTACTTAATTTATGTAATATTTCAGTAAGGACTTACGTTTAAGTATTAGATGCTAAAAAAAAAAAACCTTTCAAAATATGTTTTTAAAGATACATTAAATTTATTAGCTATTGTAAGGCAAATGCTCAACAGTCTCAGAATATTAGAACACTACCTATGAACAAGAATAATGTTATTAATAATGTATTTGTTACTGTCAGGTTGAGTCAGGTTGGCGTAGAGGTACTTTCCTCGCCTTCCACCGCTGTGACCTGGGTTCGATTCCCGCCTGGGCCAATATGTGGATTGGGTTTTCAGTCCCTACCTGATTCCGTGGGTTTTCCCCAGAATACTCTTCTGGGCTTTTCCTCCCACCTCTAAAACTGTAATTTCTTCACATTGTCTTCTCTTTACTGGGAACCATGGGAGATCAGTGGATTCCACTGAATGGGCTACCCAGTTAAAATAAGAAATAAATAAATAAATAAATAAATTAATAAATAAATAAATAAATAAATACTGTGACGGTCTAAGAACCACCCCCCCCCATTTTCTTTAAATATTCATTAGGTTCTTTTATTATTCAAATTATGCGGATTATTACACAATCCGTCTTGGCCCACAGCCCGCTGCACTCTCACTTCTGTATTCGAGGAGACACCAGCTCATGACATCATCTCCTCTCATTTCAGGTAAATAAGCACCACTTTCTCTTTTTATCCATTAGTTTTACAAATAATTGCATTGACTGTTTTATTTCTACCTTACCAGTTGATTCACATTATCCTGAGTCAGTTTTCTGTTCCAATGTGCATTTTTTTGGATAAGAAATGTTTCGTTTCCAAGAGTAATTTTGATGACACAGATTGTTAAGAATTATACACCTAATTTATTCCCCTTTTACTGACAATCCTGCTTCAATCCTCTTTGTAGTTATTCAGTAAGGAAGCACTAGTGTTACTCTTTTAATTTAGAAGTTGCAATACTTTATTTGTCCGATTTTCTGTATTTTTCCGTTAATATGGCCTTGCTGCTACATGGCGGCAATCCTTTTGGTTAGGTTACGTTCATAAACGCTTTGTGTGCTTTAGCCACTTAGTTATTTTTGACTTTTACAATGATTGTTTGACATTAACTTTATAATGATTAATTAGCAACAGCTAGACAAGTTTTATTTAAACATTTTTATTTATTGACCACTGCACTCTCACTTCTGTATTCGAGGAGACGCCAGCTCATGACATCTTCTCCTTTCATTTCAGGTAAATTAGCACCACTTTCTCTTTTTATCCATTAGTTTTACAAATAATTGCATTGACTGTTTTATTTCTACCTTACCAGTTGATTCACATTATCCTGAGTCAGTTTTCTGTTCCAATGTGCATTTTTTTTTGGATAAGAAATGTTTCGTTTCCAAGAGTAATTTTGATGACGCAGATTGTTAAGAATTATACACCTAATTTATTCCCCTTTTACTGACAATCCTGTTTCAATCCTCTTTGTAGTTATTCAGTAAGGAAGCACTAGTGTTACTCTTTTAATTTAGAAGTTGCAATACTTTATTTGTCCGATTTTCTGTATTTTTTTGTTAATATGGCCTTGCTGCTACATGGCGGCAATCCTGTTGGTTAGGTTACGTTCATAAACACTTTGTTTGCTTTAGCCACTTAGTTATTTTTGACTTTTACAATGATTGTTTGACATTAACTTTATAATTATTAATTAGCAACAGCTAGACAAGTTTTATTTAAACATTTTTATTTATTGACCACTGCACTCTCACTTCTGTATTCGAGGAGACACCAGCTCATGACATCTTCTCCTCTCATTTCAGGAATGAAATAAATCATTTGAGAGGAGCTACAGGACGTTTCCTCTATCTCTTTTATTGACTCCTACCCCCGGGTGTCACATTACTATAAAGTTTTTTTTTTAAAACGAGCATTTTTCATCCCCTCGAAGGAATATGTTTGTGTCTATTTTTTTTACCCCTTCTGTGGTTGCCATGGTGATCTAGCAAGTGTAGACTACGCGGTGCATTGTTTCAAGGAGATCGATACAACTACCGGTACCGATGCATTTTTGTCCATCACCATGGCAATTGCTAACAATAGAAGAGGCAGCTATGTGACGCAGAAGGCTTTTAAAATGACCAGCATATGTTGTTTGGGCCACGGTTACGTTGCAATAGACTTTTCCAGATTTTTCCTTAAGCTCCGCCCACCTGTGGTCACCTGACCAAAATGTGTGATGTCATTGGTCTCATGTGATGTCATTGCGCACCGTTTGATGGAAGACAGGAAGGGTCCATATGTGTAACTGTTTAGTAATGAAGAGAAATTTTTCACTTTACGAGATGTTGTTCATTTCATATCCAAACACCAAGTGGGGAAGATGCAAGGGTCCGCTATCTCTATTTTGGGTTTGGCTAGCCTCTGCCTTGCAACTTATTGCCCTGTGCTGTGCAGTGCAAGCTGCGTGGCCTCCATTGGGTGGGTCTGTCCTCCGACCTGGAGCCTGTGGGGGGCCGGATGCTACAAACTCCTTGACGATGCTATGAGTTGGAGCAACGCACAGGAGGCTTGCGAGGAGTTGGGCAGTGAGCTGGCTTTGCCATGGTCTGAAGAGGAAACTGCTTTCCTTGCGACCATGGCACAGACAAATTTCTGGATCAACTGCAACGATCTTGACAGCGAAGGTAGGCCCTTGTTCTGTATGCTCTTCAAATCACTAATTACGCCAACAATTACTAGCTGAGTTTTCCGTTTGCAATTCTGTATCTTTAAAACCTAATCGTGAGAACGGTGAGATGCAATTTGTCCCTGAAAACGTACTGGCATCAACTTGTCAGGAAAGTTCAAAAGCCATTATATTTTGTGATATTTCAGCCAGTAACATCAAACCAATACCAACTCAACAAATCTTTGTGAGGCTCATGGATAATTCTGTATAACTTTTTTTTTATTAAAACTGTGAAGCTCCTTATTAGATTCATGTACTTCATGGAGAGGCCAAAAAACCAAATCAGAAATGACTACATTTAGACTAGAACTCACATATAAAAGAAATGCTTTATTTTGCACACCAAATGCATTGTTTATAAATACTTTATGCTTGGAGCTTTTGGACAGTTCAGGCTGGATGACAGGAAAACAGCTATTTGACCATTTTCAATTTCCATCGCAAATTTGTTACTTTCACACATCTTTTGACCTTTTTCTTTTCCTATTTTAAAGGTTACTGGGACTGTCTGGACTACATCACTGGAGTAGACACCATACCCTGGGCACCGGATCAGCCAGACAATGACTACAGATACGGGACTGGTGAACACTGCGCTCTAGTCTGGCCGTCAGGCCTTTGGAATGATGCACCATGCTTTCACCACAACATGGCAATATGCCAGCGTTCCGCACTGCCACAATTGCACTTGTAAACAGTGATTTTTTAACAACTTTTCTAAAAGCCTTTTCGCATTCTACAACTTTTAAAAGAATGAGAGAATTTTACTCCTTAAGTGAACTAACTTAAGCCAAATCAGTGAAGTGGACAACTAACATGTCAAGAATTTTCTGAATGCTTTTTCTCACTTATGACTAAAGCCTTATCATCCATAAGACAATTTACTTTTTCTCACTTATGACTAAAGCCTTATCATCCATAAGACAATTTACTTTTTCTCACTTATGACTAAAGCCTTATCATCCATAAGACAATTTACATGTAGATGATGCCAAGAGAAAACTTTCATTCCAAGCTATGTGACACAGATCTTTTGAACATCTACCTTATGCACTTACACGCTATTTCATTTATAATATTCTCAAACTTTATTTTGTGATTTGTTTGTTTTTGTGGTGTACGTGAAAATGCCCCACCCCAACCAATGCTTTCTAATTTTGCATAATTTGCCCTTAGAAATAGAACACATCACAGATCATCTCTGGGGCCTAGTTTTACTACACCACTTGAAGCTGTCAATGTTTGTATTTATTTTATAATATTGGATGGCTTTGAGATGGATACAAGAATATATTGCACGAGCTGTCACAATATTGCACGAGTCGAAGATAAATGCAATATTGTTATAGCTTGTGCAATATAGACTTGTATCCCTCGAAGAAAAGCCATCTGATATTATTATTATTTAGATTAGGTTAAAATGATTTAAAAGACTTTCAGGAAACTGTCTTGATTTCTCAAATTTTATGGAATTAAATATTTTTCGCTACCGAAGCACATTTCGCGCCACTGCAGTGCAGTGAACGTATACCTTAGTGATGCGTGCTGTGTCCGCGTGCAGGCGCAATGGTACCCCGCCCTACGTTCTGATGACTGGTTGAAAACAGTGCTTTCTACGCTCTAGATCGTGCGGGAACCAGCGAAATTGCACAGATGAGGACAATATCAAAAGTAATATTGTCCTCACCTGGGTTCTTTACTGACATCATAATGCAGTCATCCTGGTACTTTTTAGGAAAGCACACGATAGGCTGATTTTTTTACCATTGGAAGCCTGGTATAAATAATAATACACTTTATGCATAGATCATCATCTCAAAAGTTGAATATTTCAAGGCTGCATGGAATCAGAAATTTCAAGGCATGAGTTATTTTACAGCAACACTCGTGGCAATTAACAAAAAATGTGTTAAAATGTTCTCCTGTTGTCTGTGTGCAATTAAACAAGGAAGAGAAGAAGGGGTTTATTACTAACCATGGCAACTCATTAGCCTTCATTAGCAACATGCCTGGTATTATTCACTGCACAATAAACAATGACAGGCTGTTGACCAAGCTACAGCAGACAAAAGGAATTTGTGAATCTAATAACAATGAAATAAATAATCAGAATTATGCTCTTATTTATTGAAACTCAAAAATAACACTTACAAAGACCAACAAAAACAAAATATATAAATAATCAGAAATAAAATTGCACCGGCCGTACAAAATAGAAGACAAGGGAAGCCTTGTAACGCTGGTCCCAGAGTGCATACAAATTCTATTCAATTGATTCAGAACGGCTACTCGCAGGAAATCTTTTCATGCGTTTTGTCTAGACAGTGCAGGCTGGATTTCGTCACACATTGGCTTACAGGGTAATCCTATATGATAGTACTGCCCGGCTCACAAGTATCAGTTAGTCAGTCAGTCAGTCGTCGAAGAATTTACAAAGAAAACTCTAGCCTAGCCCTCTGGGACCAGAAAATATATTGAAACGTCTTTGAGAGAGAGAGAGGAATGCAACTAGGAATTTAGAAAAAAAAGAGGAAATTCCAAACCCCACAAGACTTTGTACAGTGTTTCTCAATTTGTGATGGCATTCATGAGAAGTAAAAAAAACAAGGAAATCAGCGGATCCGAGGAAAAGTTGCATGCTTGGAGAGAGATGATATTGAGTGACATACCTTGTAGTGTTCATCCAGTAGGACCTTGCCTTGCTCATCAGGTAGCGTCATCCTGTCCGTGTACTGTCTCAGGTCTGCCCCCTGCACGGTGGTGTTGCCTGCCTTCAGCCACTCCAGGAGAACATCATGGATGAACACGTACTGCTCCTGATGGTCACAACAATTCAAAAATTCAAAAATTGGTGACAGAAAATCTGATGTTCATTGCAACTACCCTCGGCGAAAGCTGATCTGTTTTTTTTCGTAATCACGTTACAGTGCAAAATCACTAAACTCGCATTATTCATAGATCTTAAAATTGCATGACTTTGTAGAAAATCCCTTCGCAAGTCCTCAAAAGTTCATCACAAGTCATCCTGTCTCAAGTCAAGTCACAAGCTATTCAAATGAACCGTGAGAAAAACATTCGGTTTTTATTGTTCACACCCTGTTACTTGTGACTGAACTTGTTACTTGTGGATCGAATTGTTAACCCAAACAGTCGTGCATTGTCCAGTTTTAACAATTTTTTTCACACATACTATGGGTGAGGGTTAATGGACTTGTGATGGACTCAAAGACAACACTAAGAGATGAAACTGGCCTTAGCAAAATAAATCGGAAATTTTGCCTAACTAAAATTTGGTCTGTCTTACCTCTGTCTGCACGAGGTAATTCCGCTGCGTCCGGATTCGCTTCAGGAAGCCAAAGACATTGACCTTGTTCTCAGCTTGCATCTGTTTCAGCATGCTGTCAATCACAACGTATGTGCCTGTACGACCTACTCCAGCACTGTGGATGTAGACAACATGGACAATGATAAAGATGCATGGAGTTGATAAATATGCATGGAGTCATTTCAGTGCAAAGTTATTTGCTTCACTTTAAAGGTCAATTTATGCAACTTTGTCGCGTGACAATGTGGCACGTCTTTCAAAGTACGTACAATTCAATGAGCATGTTCACAATAACTGACTAAGTTGTGCATCTTTTCTCTCATTCATTTGTGTGCATTTATAAAAACGCACGACATTGTCGCGAGACGATGTTGTGTATGTGTAAATTGGCCTCAACCCTTTCAGGGTATTTTGGCTGGTAAACCCTGCCCAATGTAACAACAGGCAACACTTGCTAAAGTTGGGAGTCTGCCCAGTGCAATAAGATCCATCAGATCAACTGTCCCGAGGCCAAACTGCCTCAGAGTCTGTGGTCACCAACTGCAGCAGGATACAACTGTGGCATTGTTCTCATTGTCTCAGAATTGGCAGCTAGTGCACTGATGTGATTGGCTCAATGCAGCAAGAGTGGAGTGTCATGGCCTAGCGGTTAAGAACACCGGACTCATGCTCTGGTGTTTCAGAGGCAACAGTGGCATGGGTTCGAGCCCGCCGGGTGGACAATTGTGCCCTTGAGCAAGGCACTTAACCATTATTGCTTTGTCCTTCGGATGGGACGTAAAGCCGTAGGTCCAGTGTGTTGAGTAATCCAATGCACGTTAAAGAACCCAGTGACACTTATCGCTAAGAGAAGGGGTTTGCCCCGGTGCTTCTGGCCTCCTGTATAAACTCCCACGCGGAGCATTTAGGAGGTGAACCAACCAAGAAACCAACCAAAGTAGAGTTTTACACTTGTTGCACTGTGTTGCATCTGTCAGGGCTAGGGTTAATGGATCTCTTCTGGGAACCTGTCGCTGGTAAATTACCCTAACCTCCTAGAGAGATTTTCTGGGAACCTTCCTCACTCGGGCAAATTCCAACACCATATGGTAAACTCTACACCCAAACTGTTGGCCTCTGATTATTGGTGGTATGCCTAACCCCATGTAAAGCATAATCAGTTTACTGGTGCAGTACTCACTCCAACAGATTCCAACAAACCCTGGTGTTGCAGTTTGACAGGATGGGGATTGTTAGGATAAAGCAAATTTGAACCTCCTTGCGGGAACTGTCAAGTATCTCCACAATATTTATTCCCCACTGCGTATCATGAGAATCATACCTGCAATGGACCACCATCGGCCCAGCATCCTCAGGATTAGCCGCCGTCGATTTCTGGACAAATGCCAACACCGGTAACGTGTAGGCTGGTACTCCGTGGTCTGGCCAATCAGTGAAGTGGAACTGCACCACTCTGCGTTCAGGAGCTTTACCATGCTATAGGTTGTGAAACAAATATGGAACAAAATAACCACATTCAATACTTTAACTCTTTCTGAGATCAAAACTTTTCATAAATCTAGTTGATATTCTGAGTAAAAAATACTGATGATGTGCGACATGCATTAAGCCATGACGGCAGAAAGTTCTGTTACTATAGTGATCTGACAGTGGAAGACATCTGCAGAGAAAAAAAAAGCTCTCATGCCAATATTGATAAAAAAGGGAGACAGAGAACAAGATTCTCCATCTGTATAGCCACTTAAAGGAAAGAAACACAAAGGAGTGTAGCCAAGGCTTTTGAATTGAAGAGAGGAACTCATGTCAGAAAAAAATTGTTGCCCTGCCCAAATATTGAACATCATTTTGGGGGGAAAGTTTCAGTGGAAAGAGCACACATGCTCCCTTTAGTAAACCAACTATCATCTGAAATTTAGAATTTATCCATGTAATCTGACTTGAAACAACATGTTTGCATATGTAAGGAAAGATGTCAAAAAGGAAAAACAAACTGAGAGCGTAAAAGACAATTTCACAAACTGAAACATAAAACACCACAGTGAAAAAAATACTATGTATGGGGAGTCAGGTTGGCGTAGTGGTACTCTCCTCGCCTTCCACCACCGTGACCTGGGTTCGAATCCCGCCTGGGCCAACATGTGGATTGGGTTTTCAGTCCCTACCTGATTCCATGGGTTTCCCTAGAATACACTTCTTCTGGGGTTTTCCTCCCACCTCTAAAACTGCAATTTTTTTCTCATTGTCTTCCCTACACAAGCATTTCCAGGCTTGCGAGCTACAGTGCCTTGGGCGCTTTTGAGGAATCGTTGGTTTCATTACCAGACATATTAAACCAAAATAAAACATATAAAATAATGAAATGTGTAATGTATGATTATTCCAGAAAAAGGCACTTGAGACAACAAATTATCTTCAAGCAAACTTGATTTGCAAAACACAAGCTACGGATTCAGGGGCGTCGCCAGACCAATTTGAAGGGGGGGGGGGTGTGACAAGAAAATTGCTGACAGACCACTGAAAGGTAGCCTACATTAATTCAGACTGTGTTGAATACTATCAAATAATAGGTAGTATTATATATTAGCATTACAAACCCCTCTAGCAACACCCCTGTACAGAGCATTGATAGCTGATTGATAGCAATACCAACTAAAAATAAAATTGACACAGCCATAAAATTACTTTATTTTCACAGAAATACTCAACAGTGTCATGCATTTAACTAATCAGTCTTCACATTTACACATTTCTACACAAAACTTCACATTGTAAATGAGAGAGTGAACATTATCTTCAACATCAATGTGCATATGAACACAGTCAAAGATGAAAGTATATCATGCTCGATGTGAAAATAAGACTAATCAAGTGTAGCCAACACTAACAGTGAGTCTGCCCCAATAAGCCAGATTGGTATTTCAACTGTGCATGTGTACAATGATATGGGACACGGGTCATTCAAGATAATCAAACGCTCATCGAAGGCACATGAACGTGCAGGGCGTATGACGCTCATGTGGCTTGGGGGGAAAAAACAGTCTCCGGTTTCTGGTATGCGCATGCGTCGCCGTAGCCATGCGCGTCGGCAAAATGAAAAAGTTTTTTTTTTCAATAAAAGATGATGTCTCAAAACCGCCAAACTCACTGGTTTGACTGGAATCCTGCTGCTGCACAATTTTAACGTGTTTTTAGATTGGGTTATGGTCGAGAATAAGCTTTATGTGGCCTCTCTGGACTCCCATATATTAGCACTAAGTTTAGTCGGGCACCATTTGCAGTCATCAGCCGACATTTGAAGCAAAAAAATCAGGTAAAAAAAAAAAAAAGCCGCGTCGCCGCACCACTTTTTGGGCAAGCTCCATACCAGAAACCGGAGTCTTTTTTTTTTTGGCCTTACGGGCAGACTGGGCATTAACGTAACATCAGCGATTTTATCTTGAATGACCTTTGACCTGGAGTACTTCATCGAGATACCGAACTGGCTTATTCAAACGACAAGCACTACCTAGGTCATTAACATCTGTGTGCATTGAGATAATAGAGGCCACAGACTGAAGGAAAATAATACTTTCCCCTTCTTTGAGAGAAAAACGAAAGACGGAAGGTACACATCTTTTTCTTGATTATTCATTTGCAAAATTAAGGACGGTAGAGCCCAACACTATGTATTTAATTTGGGCTTAATCCAAACTGTATAAAATATTCTTGAGGACACTTGTTTTGACACCTACTGTATTGTTTATATCCTGGTGAAAGGAAATAAGCAGCAAGGACGAAAAAAAGAAAGAAAAAACCAAAGTAAGGAACTATCGGGGAATTACGAGAAACTTTGAAGAATTCTCTTGGCAAGTTCAACAGGTATATTGAAGTTACATCCCTGGCTTTGGGAAGAAAGGTGGTATTTTCAAGCAAAAAAATTAAAAAAGGACAGAAGATACACCAAGATTGAAACCTTGGTTTTCTCTCCAAAAGGTAAAAAAGTCAACAATCATACTGTGCAGGGAATTTGGTTCCCTTTGTAATAACAGTTTCATGCAAATTCTATAAACTGCGCATGCCATTTCAGATTTGGAGTGAAAAAAGAAGAAGACAAATCTGTGTTAAAAAAAATTAACATTAAAACCAATTTGGCAATTGATCAAGAAATATTATAAAATACATGAACAGACAAGAATATTAACCCCAAAGCGGAATTTCTTCTACACTTATATTATCATATTGTGCACCATACAATTGGAAATATTCATTGCGTTTTGTGTAGACTGGCTGGATTAAAAAACACAACTGGCTTGCATTTCAAACGAGTGATTTGTTATTTCTGACTCATGCGTGTTTTATCTGAAAAAAAGAAGTGAAAATAAGTGAGACACTGAAAAGTAAATTAGATGATAGACATTTCTGGGCTCAAGACAAAGTTTTTTGAAACATCAACAATTATTGAAAAAGAGGAAACCTACTGTTTGAGCTTCCTGTGTGGAATAGAAATGGGGATGAAGAGATGAAATGAAATTGTTAAATGTACAAATAAAGTAACCATGGCAACTGGCATTTGGAGTTTAATATCCAGTTCGTTAGTGTGACATCACTTCAGTTTAAACCACGCCCACTGCCCATTAAGTAGCATTGGAACCATTGGAACCGGAAGTCAACGCAACTTACTGTACGTGTTTATCCAATCGGCGCTAGTAATCAGTGGTGCACGCGCGTGTATGACGTTTTACTAACGAACCGGATTGTAGCAGGGACCTAACTGTAGCACACAGCCAGAAACATTTCCTTCAAGATTGATCTCTCACCAACAATTTTTTTTTTTGGACACATTTTTTTAAATGTTCTGCATCTATGTGTTAGCAGTTGTTGGTTTCAGAATTTTACCGTGACATAAAAAACCCAGTTAATGGACATAATGTATCTAAGTTTTGAGAACTAGTGAAAGCAGCGTCCAATTGAAAAGGATGATGAAAAATGATATCCTGCTCAAGATTGAAATGCTGAACACAAAAAAACTGAAACTGAATGATAAAACCGTAATAGAACAAGTCTTTTGATGTCCACACTTCAGTTTGAGAGTGTTTTGGTGGATTTAGGACTATAAGTAGTGCTTAGCCACTTTGACCTTGCACAAAAAAATGTACCGGTAGCAGGGGATAAATGGCTGATATTGGAATTTGGAAGATTCTGGAAGATTTGTAGTCCTCGGGCAAGTATTAATCAATTTGTTTTTGTCAACCAAAAGCTTCTTCAGGTACTTTGTCGAAATTTTTATTTCGACAAATGGGCTGTTGCTGGTGGTGACAAATGAAAACAGTTCCAATGTACGTCACTGGCAAATCTCAAAAGGAAGGGGTGTAATTGATGAAGGTACGTCATCGTTGCCGCAAGACCCATGCTGACAACACGGGAAAAAGGTGGGTTTGGGGGGGGTTTATTTTGAGTTAAGGTTTCGATGACGTGATTGAAACAACATGCCGGCCCAGACACCAAGTCTGGTTGATTTTTTGGGCCCGTGGAAAGCCTCTGGTAATAGTACCACTGAATGTTGTGAGGAGACACGAAATCAGACATGAATGATCATAACAACCTGACTGCCCCGGACAAAATGTCAGAATACTCACTTGAGATTTATACCAAATGTAGGATGAAAAATGACAAAAAAATACGAAATATTTTCATTTAGGCTCTCCATATCTTATGTTGAAGGATACCTAAAGGTTTACGGATGGGCTTTAGAATCTATTTCTGCTATAAATTGAATGGCATTTTAGAGAATTTTCTTTTTCTGGGGGAAGTTGAAAATGAAAAGTCTCAAAGTTGGTCTAATTTTAAAAAAAGAAAAGAAAAAATTGCCCACACCTGTATGAACGCCCTTCACGACTTCAAAACCGCAGTGAAATTTGATTTGATTTCTGTTCACAAAAGAAGCTAACATGCATAAGGCCGAACCAAAAAAAAATACTTCTGCTTCCGGTTACCTGACCAACCGGTACCCTAATCTGTGCGGGACCTAAATTCTCTGTTATTTTTTTTTAAATCATCGACCTTAAATGTATTTTTACATTAAGTGAGGCAAGGTTTTCTCAATTTTGAGGGTCACTTTCGATATCTTTCCTGGCACAAGTGAAAATAATTCAGACCCAATATACACATATAATTGAATACTCCATTCAATCATCACCCAAAAAAATTGGCAAAATGATAAGATTTTCTGACCTACTGACCCTATGTTTGAAAGGAATGTAATTGGAAGCAGAACTGATTTTGTTCGGCCTTAACTGTAACACTTTGTTTTTTTTACCCGTCAAATGCTACAATAAAAACTGAGGCCAGAATCCTCTGGTGCTCATATATATTTACATAAGGGGCATATTTTAGTTTCCATTTCGATGACTACAGCAGGAATTCTTTTTCAACGCGACTCTTCTCGAAACTACATATGACTCACTCAAGAAATTGTTTATCGAATATCACTGTGAACTTCCAGTGACCTCCTCATGCACATTTGCAAATCTAACTGATTTCTTTGTCTTAAGTAAAACTTTCAGCCAATCTACTAATGATTCAGCTCATATTTCTTGCTTGCTATTACCTTCCTGTGTTTGTGCTTGAGTAGGAAGTAACGGACCATGTGACTAGCGTACTTCTCCTTGGATTCCAGTGTGACTTCAAATTCCCCGTAGCGCTCAGGCATTCCTTTAGCTGGCCAGTAGCGATCACATTTCCGCTGCAAAGGGAGACAAATCACATCATGACATTAATGTATTTTTTTTCACAATCAAAAAAAAATTATTAAATTTTGGCAACAGTGCCAATGCATCAAGAAATCGGATTATTTTGTCTATCCTGTTTATTACTTCAATACACAAACAAAGGTAAAATTTCACTACAAAATAAATTGAATGCCTGTGTGTGTACGTTTCCTTCTTTTTCCCAATCAAATATTCAAGTTTTTCTTTAAGCCTAACCTGCCCACATTGTGCAGAATCCTTTTTGCCTACGTGGAGGATTGTGAAGGATTGATGCTGTATGGCTTAATGCATGGCTGTTTATGTAAAGGTCTTAAGCCAGACCTTGTGTTGTTTATGCTTAGCTATGCATAAATTTAGGCCTATTTGCCCCACTGCTTCAGGATATCATTTGCACTGCCTCAACGTATTAACCGTGACTGCTGGAGAATATTGCAAGATAATATCAGGATTGAGGCAGTGGTATGATTGAGGCTGTATGCAACTGAGAATTCAGAAAAAACGAGGAAACTCCAAACCACACAAGACTTTGTACAGTGTTTTTCAATTTGTAATGGCATTCATGAGAAGTAAAAAACGAGGAAATCAGCGGATCCGAGGAAATGTTGCATGCCTGAATTTTTACATGGAGGCAGTTGGAGGATTTTGCAGAATTGAGGTTGCATCCGAGCAAAAAGCCTCGGGGTTCGGGTTAAGAGATAAGATCATACTGGTGAAAGCAAGTCAGCAACAACTTGTTTACGCTAGTTTTACCCATCATGCAGTCAATATACCACAAGTGAGTCATTTTTGAACCGCTAGATGTAAATGGCATTTTTATCAATGCAAAATTAACATATACACCTGTATCTAAAAATATCACATTCTGGTCGGACCACTGTGTTGAACCTTTCCCTCTTTCCATTCATAACTAGTGCATCCTTTCCATAATAGACATCTCCACAAATTTAGAAATTTTTGACAACTTTGCGGCTTACAAAGATACATTTTTCAAGTGATTTTGACTCAGATTTATTCTAAAAATATAACGTTTATTTTTGTTAACCACTCCTGCCACAGCAAAACAGGAAACCCATCACTCACCCTTCCTCTTTCCTCTAGCTTGGTGATCATAACAATCACCATCGTGTGCTGCTCCCAAACCATCCGCCAAAAATCCTCAAACGTGGACTTCAGTGGGCCCTGGGCGGCGATGAAGGCCTTCTGTCGGCCGTAACCCTGCAAATATTCAATGCAGAATGGCATTTTTAAGAAACTGAAAATATCATAAAATTTCATTACATTATGCATTACTGTCAACACAGTTACATTTAAGAATGTAGAAATGGGGAAACATTTTAGAAGTTATAGTCTCATTTTCACCCCTTAAGTACAAATGAACACAATTCTTTGCTGCAAGAACTATTAGCTTTTTGTAAAGGAAATCCCTAAGAACCCAAATCTTGCTTAAAATTAAATTCAGGGTCACACATAATTTAATTTCAGCTAGCCTAAAAGGACTTTTAGGTGTCCTGAAGGCTAAATCTTGGATAACTTAAGAGCCGAGGTGTACCACTGTAAAGTGCATAGGCTTTTAGAAATGCATCACGAGTAGAGTACTTACATCGATGTAGCTGGCATTGATGTAGTCTGATAAGGGCTGGTTTGGCAAGACACTCAGTTTCACCCTTGTGTGGTCATCTGGGAAAAAATCATTTAAAGCTAGAGTCAATCATTTGCAGCCATCCGAAAAGTAACTGGCGTAATTATTGTTGAAAAACAAACTTGGTTGAAAGATAGTAAGGGGACTAAACTCCCTGTGAAATTATATCAACGATAGAAGGCATTTCCAACGGTGATTCTTAAGAAGCACCGTAGGAAAATTTAAATTAGTAGTTCGTTTTGTTATTCAGCGCAGCGCGCACAAGTATTGGAACGACGCACACGCGCGCGCGGTTGTTATAATTCATCGGATCAGTGCGCGACGTCGCGTATAGCTGCAATTCAAAACAATTCAAAACATGATTCAGTAACTTTTGATTTGAAATTGAGATCTTAGAATGCTGTTTTTCTCGGAATGTACAGCTGAAGCTTAGCTGAAACTTCATCAGGTTAGTTGTTCAGTACCCTTCTTTAGATTTTGAGCACTTTTGTTGCTTCAAACGAACAAAATGCACAAATTACAAATGATGGACTATACCTTTAAAGTGAGCAGGGACCAAATAAGACAGAGTAGATCTATACATTGCTATCTCAGCAACTGTGATGATGGTTAGCATATTGCACAGGTTAGCACACCTCCAAACAATTTTTTTTAATTAAAAATTGTTCCCCCCCCCCAATTTTTTAAATTCTATTTAAAGTGACCAATGGTCAACGGATTTAACAGAAATTGGGCGCCCCCACTCGCCCCCTCCCTATGGTGAGAACCCTTGCTACTGCTGCTGGTCCCAGAGGGCCAGTCTGGTGTCCTCTTTGTACCTACATGTACATGTATCTCACTGACTGACTGACTGACAGACTTACTGACCGTCACTTGTGCTGGGCGGTGCTATCGTATAGGAGTATCCCATAACTCAAAAGAATGGGCTAAATCTGCATGAAGACTTCCAGTGAATAGCCATTCTGAAGCAATTGAATAGAATTTTGAGCACCCAGGGATCATTTTGACTAGGCTTGCCTTGTTCTTGTAAACACATGACAATATTTTAAGAATGATGACTTACAAGCCACAATGTTGGTGTATCGGTTCTTGTATTTGAGATTGGGGTCTGTGCTGGATAGAGCGGGGTAACTGGTGCTTACACGCTGAATATCCTGTTGCAAAAAAAGAAGATGATTTCCGATATCAATAATGGTTCTTAAGAAGGTTATCGATGTCTACAAGTAAGTGCGTCTCCAGGCAGCTCCAAATATATCTTCTTGTCTCCCATGACATCTCCCATGACTGACATTATAAGACAAGACTACCTGAGATCAAGTGAGATATCCATAATGCTTGACTAAACTAAACCCCTTTGCAAAGACATTTTTGGTTAGGAGGCATTCTATATGCTCCAAAAATCCTAGCAAACTGTTTTTTGTTAGGTTAATTATTCCTGTACATGAGATTTGCCCCGTTTTTATAGAAGGCGTTCTGGTAAAATGAGATGGAACCAGGCACAGGCAAAAGTGGAGACAAATGCAACAAAGTGAATGGGGTATTTTTTCCCCTCAAGTTTCAGGTTTATTGACATTTGTATTCTTTGATATATCTACTACACATATTTTAAAGAAATTTAATAAAAATCAGAATACAAATGTTTTTACGGAAAACAATTGGTGGATTTCATTTAGACGACTACAAAACAAAACTTCAAAGGCCATTTTCTCAATATTTCACTTTTGGCATGTTGATAAAAGCAAACTTTAAACAGTCATAACTTGTCAATGGAATGTCTGATTGAAATATGACAAACAGTATTGTCAGGAGAATTGTATTCTATTTTCTTTCCTAATACCTGCAAACCCTCATTTCAACCTCTGCCCAGTTCTGTCTCATTTGGCCTGAACGCCTCACATATGTTCAATATCACACATACCTCATACTCTGTTGCAAAGCCCCCATCGCTGTCAGCGTGATTAGCGATAACATGAGCCTCAAACTTACTGACTGGTATGGGAGGCTCTTCCAGCTCATCTACATCAATGTCAAGAAAAGAAATTGGCAGATTAAATCATTGTCATCCATGTTAACCCTAACCTCCCCTGTTACCCCGTCCATTTTGGTGGATTTTTGGGGACTTGTTCCTGCAGGCCTGGTTTGACTAAATATTTGATCGAGTATGATGGACTTTGGCCTGGAGGCCTGAAGCAGTGCTTGGAGAATCTGATTGATTTTGCCTAGCATCCTGTACTGCTGTTGTCATCAGTGGCGCACTCAGGATTTGGCTGGGGGGGGGGGGGGCGGGCTCACAATTTTTGTAAATTTTTTTTGGAAGTTTAATTTTTTGAACAAAATGTTGTTGAAATTTTTTTGGGGGGGGGGACTATTTTGGTGGCGCCACTTACACCACTATTACACATGTACTAATCGAAAACAGGCAACATACACTCACCAAGGTCAAATCGTGGGACTAAATAAAAACAAATTACCCAAAAAAATATTAACAAAAATTGACAACCTCTTGGGGGTAGCTCAAGCCCCGAGGGCCCTGCCCCCCCCCCCAATTGGGTGCGCCACTGGTTTTCATATAAGCCATGTGTATTAAGCCCATCAATGTCAACCATTACCTCAGTGGTGGATTCCATTATATCACGTATTGTTAGCAGAGTGATTGATGGATGTTGGTGGACTTCGTCCAGTACTTAGTAAAAGACAGTAGGCAGTTAGGGTTAATTTATCTAGCAAGAACCAGTCAGCCAGTTAAGTAGCTACACATATAGCAAGTGACCAGAATTTTTCCAGCTGTTTGAGGCACAAACGACTGGCCACCAAAATAGCCAGTCGTCAAGTAAGCCAAATAATCTTAAGCTCATCTCACCTGGTTTGGCAAAGGCAGGTGGCACCCCATTTTCCTGCTTTTCAAATACAAGACGGTCCTTCTTTCGCATCCTAAAAGGAGAAAAAAAGAAAGAAAAGACAGAAACCATCTCAGTGTTTATACAAAAAATAATAATACAATCGACATTTATGTAATTCATTTACTTGTTTTGTGATGCAATTATCACTCAAGATTATTATCAACATCACATTAAAACCTAAAAAAAAAATCCTTTAACTTCAGAAGAGATATATACATACACATGTGTGTATAGCAAGAGAAATAATTGTTGTAAAGTATCCTCCTCATGGACATTAAACCTCTGGAGACCTTATAAGCCAAACTGTATCTCCCTGTATGTAGATTTTTCAATGTGGGACAACAAAGAATATGAAACACTTTTTTCATTGCCAAGAAAGCACAAATCAATTATAATTTGGGCAATTCACAATGCAGTGCACCACCAAGAGTTTGCCATGGGGAGTCCACCCTTCAAGTTTACAGTTGACAAAACATGGCACATTTGAATGAGTATCAGTAGACAACTTGAGCTAATTTGTTATAGATTGGGGCATAGCGTTCTGCCCCCTTATACAAAAAACACTATATTGATAAAAAGAAAAGAAAAGGACACATATATACTCGAATCATACATTACAAAACTACTGGCCGGAAAAACTAACAATTTCAAATGTCCCGTGCTGCGAATTTGTTGACCATCTCCCACAATGCACTAGGAAAAATGAACTATCCGTGGCAAACTCTTGGTGGCGCACTGCATTGTGAATCGCCCAAATTACTACCAGCCTCTTGAAAAAGCAAACTGTTATAGCTACAACAATACATGTATTATCTTATGAATATGTTCCTGGTCACTTTACCATTTCAAACTGTAACAAATCCTTCAACACTCATGAGGCGTGTTTCTGAAGATTTAGAAGGAAAAAAGAATGAGCTCATTTATTTTCCAAAGTGCTCATCGCCAGTCTCAAGAACCACAATTTTGTCGTCTGTTCATAGTGAGCACTTCCGTGCTTAATGATCACCATACATACTTTTATGTATGTACTATTGAGTGGACGAGCACGCAGTAACAAGACCATTTTCTGGATACAAACATTCTAGAAAAATCCATTTGCAAGCTGTTTAGTAATTTTTGAATTCTAGCAACATTTAGACTTATCTGCGTCAGTAACCTTGTACACAAGTCTATTTAACCCCCACTTACATCGCACTCATTTGCTCAAGAAAATGGCCATTTACAATGTTCACTATTAAAAGTACATCTAGCAAGGAGCCAAGGACCAACATCACACTTGCAACATGTCATATTTGTCAGCCTTTTCTGTCACTTTCCTGGGATCCACTGGCATGCTCCCGTTCACCAGAGGATATAGAATATTAGAAGGTAATTATCCATTTCCCTGTGAGTTAATATTATCATTAGTGGTTGATGAGGCTTGTAGAGCCTGAGGGGTTTAACCATGGGGAAAGGGGGGGGGGGGGGGGGTGGTAGGGGGTAGGAGGGGGGCAAGGAAAGGGGGACTACGACAACAGCTGTCAAGCTAATGTCATCGCCATAACCAGCCCCCATGAAGCAAAAAATCTGCACATAAGATATTAAAGAGTTGCAGAAATACCAACCAAATGCAGGAAATTTGTAATTCACTTGATTTGTGATAAAAAGCCGTTTCCTCTCCCAGTGATCCCCAAGAGTCTGTTCCTGAGTTTGTGGCATTACTAATGTTTCTAGAGTTGTGGCCACATGACATATACCGGTACACGTACTGGTTCATGGCTTATTCCTTTACACTGGCTCTGATACCCCTCAAGACTTAACATACTAAGAATGGCCATTAGTTTTCCGCAAAGTGGTAGATATTGGAGGATTCAGGAACATTCCTATTAAAAAGAAAACCAAGGAATTTAGGTCTAATATCGTAATACTTTCATTGGGAGAATAAGACCATGATGAGAAACATCGAATTTTCTTTCAAACTCCCCAAGCAGTCACAACTTTCCATCGAAATAGCATTTAGCACAAACTATTGCTCAGTACCGTAGCTGAATGCAAGCTAAAAAAAAAAGCCAACACATAGGTATTAACTGAACTCCCGGTTTACCCTACTTTGCGGAAATTCCCAAGTCACACCCACCCACTGCAAATCAAGACCTGCTTGGCAAGCTTCCAATGCCACAGATCCAAAATAGAACCTCCCTCCCACCTTCGCAGAGAGGCTATTTTTGAAAGTCTTGTAATAGTTATCTTGGATGCTATCCAAGGCAGTGGCCTTCCTTGTCATGGCTTGGATGATGGAATGCTAGGCCCTGCTCCCAATGGAAAAAGGGCCTTTTATCTGTGTCCCATGCGGAATCCCACAAATGTTCCTTCATTTTCTGATGTGGATCTGTGGTTTCAAATAAGTCTTTTAATTTTGGTTAATGATTTTTCACATACAGGTACATGTACAGGCATTTTTTTTGACAGTGTGCAGTTGATGTGGCTGATAACGTCAAAGTTAAAGGTTAACATTTGTCTCTCAATGCCGTTATTTAAACCAATTGACCATTGTCTAGAAAAGAACTGAACATTTTTTGAGAAATCTTGGCGAAATCTTTTGGGTGTATTAAGCCCTGAATAAACTGATCCAAATTTGGTCATCAGCCCCACCCACCTTAGCAATGGCACGGCAATGCCATAAGCTCGGTCGAAGTAAACACACACACACATGTGCACGGTACATGTACATGCATAGGCATATCATAACCATGTACATAATAATGGCGACGATGAAAGTGGCCGCGATAGATATAAATTATTTCAGAGAGGAAACAATTGGAAACGGGAAGTTAAAGGGTACAACGTCTACAAGAGTGGGCATGTGCACAAAGTTTCATTTGAAGTTTGGGAGGATGGTCAGATTGCAGTGCTGCAGGAGAAATGCTACAAAAGTATGCGAAAGACGAAGCAGCAAGGTTGCATCTCGTTGATCAACCACATAGACCTAGGCCTACTGACACACAATGTAGCCTAATAGGCTTAGTCTGCATTGAATTTTTAGCTGGGTAATGTTTGGAACAAATTGCTTGTTTATGACCATGACAAACGTAAAGCATAATCAAGAAGATGTCATGTCCTCCACACTAGCTTCAGATCCCTCAAAAGTGCCCGGTGAAACACATACATGTACTAACTATGCCTGGCTGAACGTGATCATGCTGATATGCCTAGACCTACTTTTATTTTGATAAATCAATGACAATAAATATCCTGTCACTTGTCAAAGACAATGCTATTTATGCTAAAACATATCCGTGTATGACGTGCAAATCCTTGTTTATGCACGCTTTGATCTACAGTATGTAACTTTTTTCAAGGTTTGTTTTATTTGCAGTTTTGAAAATGGGAAAAAAATAGTTTCATTCAGTAAATCTCGATAGGCCTACCTGGTGTCTGATTTCCATATTGGGTAGCAGCATATATTGTCCATTTTATTAAGAATCGTACACAGATGGGGCTCACAAAGACACCTTTTATGTCGAAAAACATCGTACACTGCTCCACAAATCCCATTAGTTTATGTCCACTGTTTACAGCGCATTTGACTGAGTTTGACCAAGCTAATGGTGGACACGCCTAGAGCAACTGTTGTGTGAAGTCAGGCCAGATCGTTCCATTTCACATTGAACTGTGCTGCATGATATGAAAATGTTTATCAATCAAATATAGAAACCAACTTATTATCTGTAGGACTCTTGCCAAACCATCCGAACTTGACATACCGAAGGCTGCAGTTACTTGCTTACGTCCAATCCATATAGAAACAAGAAGTGAAAGAGCACTTCAAAGAAAACATAAACCTTTGAACAGAATCTCCGTCCCTTGTTGTTGAAAGATATCTCAACATTTAATTGGTTGTTTCCCCCCATGTGACAGTTTACGCACATGTAGTTTACAAACACGCATTCATGTACGTACAGAGTTGGTCGAGTGCTCTCTGTTTACACTCAAATGATATTGAAACACAATTTTTTAAAACTGAAAAACTGAAAGGGTTTGCAATTGTTTACATCAGAAATTTCTTGATGAAATGGATTCCAATTAATTGTCAAGTACAAATTGCCAAAGCTTCACATCACTGCCATAATATCACTGCACACATTTTTTAAAAAGAAACCTCAAAAATAGTTACTTTTTTTTGGATATGTTCTCAGAACAATGTTAATGAAGCGACACATGATACTGTCGTAAACTGAATTTGCTGTCAAGTTAGAATTTTGATCATGTCATGAAAGAGAATCAGAGCTGTGATGTCCCTTCAGGGCCACCGTTATTTCAGGATTTACATATCAGCAGCCACCATACAGCCATTTTAATACCAGTTGACATTGAGAGGAAATTCTCCATGATCATAGGACCCACCCCGGGGCCAAATTCCTAGAGCTGTTTAAAATGCTGAGCAGGAAAATGGTGTAAAATGGCCAAAACACGTTTTCAGTGGCATAACTTGGATCCAATTTCTAGTCACTTTGCAGTCTAGGTCCAGCCTCCTTTTACATGTAGATTCAATAATAAGGGGACCAGGAGCCAGTCTACTTGCAAGGCGGATCTGATACCAGGCAAAAACACCTAAAAATAAAAGCATTTTCTTCAATGAGCTGCAGACACCAAATTGGATTAAAACACTTTTTGGTTAAAATAAAACACTCCAAGGAGAATTAAATCAAATTTGTTGAAGAGCATGAATACTACCTTATCAAACTCAACCCTTCAAAACCCAACTACATATTTTGTTGGAATCTGTTGGAGTGAGGACTGCACTAGTAAACTGATTATGCTTTACATGGGGTCATGCATACCATCATAATCAGAGTCCAACAGTTTGGGTGTTGAGTTTACCATATGGTGTTGGATCCTAGTAAATCACTCAAGGGGATTAGGGTTAGTGATAATGAACAGTCCTGCTATTAAATGAAAACATTACACAAACTGGGGTCAGAGAATAAAACTAGGGCTCAGATTGTTGACCCTATTTCTCAAGAGCAGAAATTCCTGTAATCTAGACAGAAGCTCTGGCCTATCCCATCCTGATAGCCCGGATCAGATCACAGCTATTTTCAGACAGCAGACCTGGTATTTAGCCGGAGACGGGATGCAGAGCTTGACTGCTATTTGGCTCCCAGGCCCTTGCTGGTTCTGTTTTCCTCTTTGAGATGCTGGATTTCCTAGACGTGTGGGGACTGAAGGAAGGGTGTCTGGTCTTGGGGATTAAAATTGTTGCCTGGTGATAAGTGATGAGGGAGTTGAAGAAGGAAGGGGCAACAACGAAGGCAGGCTGAATGGCACTGACTGTACAAGAAGGTTGACACGAAACTAGTGCTTACAAAAATATCCAGAACAAAAGAAAAATACACCAACAAAAATACACGAAACAAAAAACAACAACACCACAAACAGAACACCCACTCTTGTTTTAATATACTCCCAAAGACAATGCTTTGTGTTTTCCTTGGTCCTTGTAATAACACTCTCCCATAGACTAAGCACACAAACCTACTACAGAGGACCGTTTTGAACAAAAGACCCAACGCCCGAGGACTGAAAGGATCTGTTGTTCTCCCTTTGTGTGTCGGTCCTCGGGGGGTTATGTAGAACAAGTCCATAAATAACATGACCCAAAAACTCCCCACACACCACTTCTCCAAAAAGGGGAGTCTTTGTATTTTCTATTTTGTTTTGATGTGTAATAATTTATGGGCTTGAAGTTTGAGTTGTACCACTTTCAAAGCACAATGCTACAACAGATATTTTTTTAACTGCATACTGCACATACTGTAGCATGTCAAGCTCCTCAAAATTTACAGAAAAGTTTTCCATTCTTAAGATGCCATTTTGATTTCCCCCCCATCCTGGTTAAAAAATGCCTGTAGAAATTGTTGGGCCTGTACAAATCCCTCAATCGCCATTTACTGAGGTGGTGTAAAGCTTACACGCATGTCCCACACATTCTTGAAAACTCTACTGGTTGAGTGAGCACGTATTGCCTTCAAGCAAGCATGACGCAACTTTAGATATTGCCTAGTAAAATGAGGTTGTCAATCTACAGCATTAATTGTCTCCCTTACCTGACGAAGAGGAAGGTGAGCCCCACTATCAGCAGAGCCAGCACGTATGCCATGGCAAACACCACGCCAACTATCGTCCCTACGTTGGAGCCAGCGGGCTGGGTACCTAACCCCTCCGTGCTGTTGGGTGCAGCTGTGGAGCCTGGGACCTCCGTCGTGTTAGCACCTGGACAAAAAAACAAAAACAAAAAAAGTGATGATAGTAATTCTATTTATCATAAACAGTAACAGCATTAGACTAACACATTTTGAAACTGGTGTTCTAGAGATCTGAACCAAATTTGAATTTAGTGGATGAGTGTTTTGAAGTTTGGAATAGCAAGGAGTGACTACATTGAAGGATTGACTGGTGTGGTCACTCAGGACAACTTCAGAGTCTAGTCAGAGGAAGATAACAGCTATTAAAAAAATTGCCTGTCTGAATCCAAAAACTCAAATAAGAGTCACTCTGAATACAATTTGGTCAGGCATGACTCTGGAAACGCCAATCTGAAATCAGTTAACATTGGCAAAACTGGCAACAACATGCTTGTTACATGTACATGTATGAAACAAAATACATTTTTTACCCTTAAGTGATGTACTCATACATGAATAACAAATCTGGGCAAATTGACGAAAATCAAAAACATGACAATCACTGTTCTGTTTATCGGACTTAATTTCAGCATTAGACATACACACTTTTAGACTAGATTCCAAACTAAACTAAATTACTCTGAAGATTTGAATAAAATGTATAAAACATTTCATGTTTGAAACAACGAAGAGCATCAACAAATTGCAGTCATTCAGAATGTTATCAAATCTGTTAATCATCCCTGAGCCCACTATACATAAGTGATGCATTGTGTATAACAAGTCTCTGCAAAAGCTTGATTCAGTTGTGAATGAAAAAAAAAAGACACTGAAAGACTAAACACAAGTCTACTGTGAACCGATAATGTCTTAAACCTGAAAGGATTTAAGGTCTTATGTCTGTGCTCTGACTAAACCAGATCCTCTAAGGGTGATCCTTTATCCAACATTATTTCAAGGGGATAAATATAGCTTTCTTAAATCGTCTTAAAATACTGTTTGAATGACGAAAAGGAGAACTTTAAGTCTGTCTCAGTTAAAGGTCCAAACTAAAAGAACTCAACTTTACAGTGTCTTGAAAAGAGGTCACAGTTTGAATTGGTTTTTATCTGCGTACAAGCAATCTGCTTTAATTCCATAAAACATGAGTAACTTGACATTCCACATGAAAATGGAACCATTGGAAAGGGATCTTTGCTTCATTTCCTGTACAAACGCACCAAGAGGAAGAATCAGGAAACAAAAACAAACGTTCAAATCATTGGACAAAAAGCTGTAGTCATGCATATGAAGTCCATTTTAATTGCTGCTTGCTCTCTACATTGTGACTCATTAAGCCAATAAATGACAAGAATCTCAACGAACCCAAAACTCTTAAATCCATAATCCTACACGAGAGTAAAATTAATTTCAAAAGAACTTTTTTTCCAAGGTTCATTTAAAACTAAAACGCTAAATCTCACTATACATGTTCTTTCCAGGCATTATAACATATGTTCTTAGTGCCTATGAAATGTCACAGGCCAAGAGTTGGCAAAGTTGCCATGGTATTACAGATAGATGTTTTTACCGCCAATATTAACAAAAAAGGGTACAAGGAGTTCAGCAAATGAGCAAATATTTATTTATTTATAACACTGTTTGCCTGCGTATGGTTTGCATGGGTTAATATATCGTGTTCATCTAGAAATGTGTGAAAATACTACATGTATAAGAAGCACATGTACCAACATGTATTCTGTTCTCAGAGTAATAAAAACCCAAGATAACATCAAATCACAGGTTTGCTATTTCAACTTTGGATAGAAATGAATCAGCAAACACTGCTTGATGATCAATTTGTAAACTGTTTATGTTGAAGAAAAAAAAGAGAAGTTTTACTTCCTGATATTCATACGTAAATGCCCATAGACACCGGGGGACCCATTAGAATTACCCTAAACGGCCCATGAATTTCTGGATTTCTTGTTGTCACAAGTAACATTTCTGCTTTTAATTTTTTTTGGGTTTTAATTTTTTAGTTTTGTTAGGCCATCTATGCCAGCTTCAGGCTGAGGGGGTAGGAATTTAAGTAATTTCCAAAATAGGCAAACTGCCATTGGAGTTGTCACTTGTTTTTTTATTCCAGGACCTTTTTTTTTTTTAAAATAAATTGTTTAATTTATTCTTAACAAGTTGTTTTACTGGGTTTTTTTTTTGATGCATGACTTAATTTGTATAAATTTTACAAACTTTAATTAAACTTAATTTAGTTTATTTCAATTTTACCAAATTTATTTTCCTTTCTTTAATTCAAAAGAATTCAATTCAATTCAATTTATATAAGCAATATTTTGTTTTTAAATATCGTGGTAAGTGTTTATAGTATACTTTTAAAGGTACAGTGGTCCATTTGCAGCTAACCAAAAAGTAACTGACCAAATTATTGTTGAAAAGCTTACTTGGTTTAAAGTTATTAGAGGCACTAAACTCCCTCAGAAATTATTCTTTCTGGCATGCTATCATTTTGAAGAAAACAGTTAAAGAAGGTAATTTCCCAAGTGTGTAAAGTGACATTTTTTTGAAATTTTCCGTTTGTAGTTGGTTTGTAATTGGGCCAATTCGTGAATGGGTGGAAGCATTGACACAACGCACATGTATTATTCGTCCGTTTAGTGTGTGACATCACGTACATGTAGCTACAATTGGCTGAATGAGAATTTTGTCCCGAATGCTGATTTCGGGTCACGAGAGGGCAAAATTCAAAAGAAGACTCAGCAACTTTTATACTGAAGTCGAGATCCACAATATTGTGTTTTCTCAAAATATACAGTATTCATAGAGCTAAAACTTCAACAGTTATCTTAATTTTTATTGAAATAATTTACTGTTTTATTGTTTATAAAACAGGGCCTCAATGGAAACCAGCTTGCTATTCAGGCTTACTCTGTGTACATATATGAAATAAACATACATGTGTAAATAAATAAATATAAAGCCCTTCCTGAAACCTCCAAAACTGCACTACGTAGGAAACAAATGACACAGTCTGTGTACATAATTTTAAAGGGGCATCAAGCCTAATTCATAGTAAGGCCAAAAAAAAAAGGCTCCAGTTTCTGGTCTGCACGCGCGTCACCGTAGCCATGCACGTCGCCAAAATTAAAAAGGTTTTTTTTTCTATGTAACATGATGTCTCAAAACCACCAAACTCACTAGTTTGACTGGCATCTTGCTGCTGCACAATTTTAATGTGTTTTTAGACGGGGTTACGATCAAGTATAAGCTTCATGTGGCCTCTCTCGGCTCCCATACATGTACATGTTGCACTAAATTTAGTCAGGCACCATTTGCAGTCATCAGCCGACATTTGAAGGAAAAAAAGTAAAAAAAATAAATAAAATAAAAAACACCGCGTCGCTGCACCACTTTAGCAGCAAGCTGCATACCAGAAACCGAAGACTTTTTTGGGGGCCTAATAGCAATTGAGCTCTTCGGGTACACGAGTACCGCTGTTGTCAGGAACCGGTTAAAGATTAAAGGATCGGGTACCCGTAACCAACTTTACACATTACTTTAAAATCCTCCAAAACCGAAGGGGATTTAGACAAAGCTTGACGCTCACGCAAAGACGTTATGGCTTTGTGCACATTCAAAACAAAATAAGCCCTGCGTACTTTGCACTATACACGTGTGAACCAGTACGCGCAGACGGTGCGCTACTTCTTTCGGGCTTTCATAAGTAAAAACAAAGTTTGTTTTACTCTTGTTGGTGCATGGAGCCCATAGGCTGATCCACTTAGCCCTGCCCAATGACGCTTTGACCAATCACAGCCAAGATTAATATCCGACATGTGTGCAGAAAAGTCTGACGTGTGCATGCACGTATATGCGTGCGGCTGGAAAAGCAGTGTGGAATTGGAAATGTGCACATGTTGGTGCACATGTTGGTGCACATGTTGGTGAGCATGTTGGTGCACATGTTGGTGCACATGTTGGTGACCATGTTGGTGCACATGTTGGTGCGCATGTTGGTGTGCATGTTGATGCGCATGTTGGTGCGCATGTTGGTGCACATGTTGGTGCACATGTTGGTGCACATGTTGGTGCACATGTTGGCGCACATGTGTACAGTGGATGGGGCTTAATGGGTCACATATGGGTCAATGTGTACCGTCTGATTGACAGACAGTAGGGGGTGATATCATACCTGGTTTTTCGATGGTAAAGAAGACAGATTGGGAGGCTTCCCCTTGCTTGACTTTGGACGTGAGGCTGGTGGTAGCGGCTTGGACTACCACTACGTACTGGACACCGCCTTCAAGGTTATCCAAGATCCGCCACAGTCTGTCAACCTGAGAGGATTGGGAAAGAGAATGAAGACATGACAACATGAGCCTTACAATATGTAAATTGGCTCGCAAATATATACCTGGAGAAATATGAGCAGATAGAATTTTTGCATTCGGCAGATGTAAACTCAAATATAGACCTTTATCATGCTGCCACCATTTCAGTCATGTTCCCTGTATCCAATAACAGTACGTAAATGATAACGTTTTTTGTGTGCAAAAAGGAACCAGACTATTTTTCCTTCCAGCCTTGCTTTCATTATATGGGATAAAATAACGATGGCCGAATCATGATAATTAAATTTGTCCTTCAAAGTTGTTATTTTACAACCATTGTATATTCAGTGCTGTTCGGGGCCTGCAGGGGAAAAAATTATATGATGAAAATGAAAACTACGGGTTAAACATGAAGGAAGTAAAAAAAAAATACTAGGTATTTTAAATCCAATAATACCGCTGAGAGTGTGTACTTGCCTTGGTAAAGATATGGTAAGTTATTGGTCAACTATTTCAAGATATTCTCAGTTAACTGCCTGAACAGATTCAATATTAAAAACCAGCCTTAATGGTAATGTACGTGTACCATTACACATTTGCAAACATCAAAAAACGAAACTACCAATTTATTATGAAACACCTAACTTGACTGCAAGTGAATAATAGTCTCAAGCATCCTGTGAAATCATGGCAGCTGGTGTGCTGTCATTTCCAAGAAAAGTGGAATTTTTGTGTCAATTTTCAATGATTGTCGGCCGACCATCGTTGGAAAAAACTGAATCTTTTCAAATGCAACTAACCGCAATTCACCAAATTTAGTTAGTCCGCATTTTGTTTTAATACAAACGGTTAGGCCAAATAAAAAAAAAAAACATGTTTAGCGTCCTGCCTTTTTTTTTGTTAAAAGGAGGAGGCCCCCCCCCCCTAAAAAATTGCCGCCCGACCCATTTTCCAAAACGACCGGCCGGGCTATTTTTCAAGATGGCCGACAGCTTTTTTATGTTAAATTTCCGCCACTTGGACTCAGGAAATGACATCCCAGCTTTTAGAGCCTAAAAGTATGACTCCTCCCCCCCCCCCCCCGAAAAAGATCATTAAATTTATCATTTTTTTCCAGGTTTTTTTATCAATTACAAAAAAACAAAAAAAGGAAGCGGGCCTCAAAAAAGGAAGCGGGCGGGGACGCTGATGTTTCTTTTATTTCGCCTTGCACATCCGTGAGTAGGTGCACGCCAGCTAGTCTGGTTCCCTGACCTGACACTTTCCTGACATCTGTAAAGCGCTCTGTTTCATCTCAAGTAGGGACAGGGAAACAGACTACAAGAACAACATCTTTTTGTTGGTTTTTCCAGCATCCAAGAACACAACACTTTAAACAGGTCAATGTAACAATATTTGCTGTAAAAGTACTAACCCCCAAATCCATCCATATCTGAAAATTACGGCAAAAGCAAATGTTGTATATTACCTTTAAATATGTATCTAACCATAGATACAGTTCTTATAAATTAATTTCAGACGAAATTCAGAAATATTTTAAAACTGTAAATGTAGCAGCACATCAGTGTCTCATATTCATATCATTAATCAGTAACGTACATGTACCGGTATACGTGTAGATGCTGGCACGTGGCCATGGAATGCAAGTGTACTTTCACTAAGCACATACAATGGAATTCGTCATATTGACTACACACCCATGTAAACTGCCTGTCATTGTGCGCAAAACTGTCACGCCCAGGCTCAATGACAGATTAACAGTACAATGCACTCCAGATCGAAATTTCAAGTGTACGCATATGTATCACACATGCGTGTATATACTGACTGACAACTGAATTACATCGACCAAATTTAACAAAACTCAAATCTAAAACGTACCTTTGGTGACAGACACTACAGCAGCTTGTATCGAAGGTCACAACGACTACAATATTTTCATAAATAATTTCTTCAATGCTACAGAAACTGCCTACAATTGCAAATTACACGTGTCTATTCTATACCACAGCGACCCAGCAGATTTGCGCAGTTTTCACTGATTGAATACCAATTTGCTTCAGTGGTTTTTGGCACCGACACATCTGTGTCTCTTGCAGTATGCCCACTCAAGCCCAACAACGAATTGGGTCAAAAAATCAGAATGAATGACTAAATCCATATACCATTTCCCTGTACAATAGTTGTTTTTCGTTTTAGTTCCTTTTGTTAGAGGAATTGAGCTGGGTTTTTCTTGGTCATAGTTACATGAGGTAACTTCCGTTAGCAACCACAAACTAGTGTTTGATTAGCCATGTAATTGATCTGAGTGTTGAGAGGAAATTAACATTTTTCACAAAAAGCAAAGATTTTATGAGCTGTGACTGAACTCGGCATTTTCTCTGAATGATTTATGTTAGAATGTATATTTTTTTTCAGGTATTTTTAAAAGTACATTAAAACAAGTAATTCCTTTTCATTTCAAATATGGTGGAAAATTATTTTTATAAAATAAATGAATAAAAAAAAAAAGCAACTTCATGTTTCAATGTTCAAAACATTTGCCGGGGCACATCTGCTTTTGTTTGGATAAACACAGTCAATAGTGGGAACATGTCCAATTTCTGACAATTTTCCCCCATTAGGCACTCTAATATCACAAATATAGACATAAAATCTAGTGCTGACATTTCCACGTGTAAGAAGCTTGTCTGAACTGCTCATTTTAAAAACAGCACCGCTCAGCAACTCATATCAGTTCTATAAATAGCTTGACATTACATAGTACCTTGGCAACTTGGTACATCATGTGAATTTCTGTTAATCCCCCTACATGTATAACATAACCCGACTCACACACGTTTGTTTATGGTGTAATTTAAGGATTTTCTATTGTTCCTCTTCCCTTTTCCTTTGTTTATACTCGCAAATTTTTTGCAACAGCCCTCATTGGTTTTGTACACGTTTTCTAATCGAGGTCGTCCTCAAATTGGTTCCTGTCCTCAATTCATCGATGATGTTGCACGTGTGTGTCCTCGATTCATACCATAAACACACACATGTACGTAGTGTGTACATTTATGTGCATGTAAATATAAAATGTATGTGTGGGCAGGCCGTCACCGCATTATGGGAAGTTTGTTATTGTTAGGCAAATTAGGACTTTTAGGAGTTGTGGGGACTTTCCGCTGTCCCAACAGCATCTTCGGTCCCCATTGCACATTTTGTACATCGGAAAACTCGTGTGTAGTCCCCACAACAATGGAACAAGAATGTGTATACATGCCCTACAATGTACTCCCCCAGGACAGACAGACAAATGGAGAACAACAGATTCTTTGTTGTCCTCAAGCATCTTTTGTTGGAAACGGTCCTGGATCATGAGTGTGTGTTCTCAGTCTATGGGAGAGTGTATATTGTTGGGACAAAAGGTAACACAAAGCCTTGTCCTCGAGAGTATAGTAAAACACAATTGTGTAGACGTGCTTGTGAGTAGCTAGTCGCTTCTTTCTTGTTCGACCCGTTGCCATCCAAATACAACTTTCACGAATGAAATAAGGCAAGACCAAAATCGGTTCTAAATTCTCAGTGAATTTGATAAATTCATGTTCTAGTGAAAACATCTAAATTCAGCGTAACAGAACATTTATCAATTTAAGTGCAAGTTAATATCCATACTCAATGACCACATACATGCCATATATGCCTGGTGGATACTGCCTGGTAGAAAAGCAGCAAATTTACCTAATTTTATCTTAAAATAAACACATTGTACACTGTAAACTCAACAATATTCCTTTCCATTTTTCAAATGATATGCTTACAGGGTACAGAAAAGCGATTCAAGCTTTTCCCAATTCAAGGTGAGGTCACAGGACCATAAACACACAATATTACAAACAGGGGCCACGTAAAACTACAGCCTTCTTCAAACCTGCGTCGGTATACCGCAAGCTAGTTTGTACATACTCCAGACCTCAACCGGCCAAAACTTGAAAACCTAGACACTTGGAATGACTCACTGAACTCACGTGTACCGTCTTGTGTCACTCCATGCTGCCAGTGGAAATACGCCATCAGGTTATAGCCACAAGGTATTGCAAGTTCACTCTCAGCTTAATGCTCAACCAAAATTAGAAGAAAAAAAAATCACCAATGGATGCTCCCCGTTGAACAAAAAAAATCAGTTGTGTTGAATGAATCCAGACGAGACAACAGCTTGTGCTTTTGTATGCTGATATTCACTCCTCACTAGAACTGAACGTCGAGAAAAAAAAAAACTTGCAACACTTTGACATTTGAAGTCTAACTCCCAATTCCCCAATGTCTCACACACACTTGTGTATAGAAAAACCTTGCAGGCCTTTTCTGTCTAATCTATTCTTCCGTAGCAGAAGGGGTTGACCAGAATAACGAAAATGAAACTGACGGGATCGCACAAAAATTGAAAACCGAGACTGGGGCGAACAAATCAAACACTGACACTGAAATACAAATGGCAGAAATATACAATCCGTTTGAATATCATTTTAGGTAATATACAATGTTTGCTTTCGCTGTACTTTTAAATAAACGGATGGATTTTAGGGTTAATATTTATTGTGTTCATACATGTAGATGCTGGAATAAACAAATCAAATTAGGTTTCGCCCTTCACCGACGTTTAAACATATACTCAGTGTGTTACCTCCCGAGTGAAAGTTGGAAAAAAATCACTCGGTTGGGACTCGAACCCATGACCTCCTGCTTTCTAGTGCAGATGTCTTACCACTCGACCACCGAGCTAACGAGATCGGTTGGCTGGTTTGAATCTGATGTACATAGCAGCGGGTACCGTATAAACTATTATTGGAATAAACAAGAAAAGAATGCTTTTTTTGTAGTCTTGTTCCCTGACCCAACTTCAGACAAAAACGGAGAAATGTATAGACGTTGGGATATTTGCAAGGTCAGGGCTTGCACCCTTTCAGGAATCTGTAACTGATTGCAAACAAAATATGGACAACATACATGTGGTAAATTGGGGGCAGTATTTGAAGGAAAAAAAAGCGGGGGGTTTCCCCTCAATTTCTTTCTGATGTTATTTCCTGATCAGCATGATCAGAGAAAGTTGCAGTTTCATTACATTGTACATTACTTGATCACTGACCTTGGTTAAATTTTCACAAATTTGTTTGTAAACTTCATCTCATATTGCACATACACCTTATATGTATTTGTAGCAAGTTTTTTCTTCTGTGCACAGTTCATGTAGATGTTACAAACAAATACATTTTAAATGTTTGAAGTGCGATGCAATTTTTAAATGATATCCTTCACAATTATCCAAAGACAATTAATACACGTATACGTGTACATGTACATGTGTACAATGCCCAACACATGTAGGTGTGCCACATGTACCAGCTTGTGTAATTATGCACAGATTTGGTACAAAACGAAAGTAATAAAACAGGAAGCAACTTAACAACACTTGTACTCATTAAATTTTACATCATGACATAATGCATTGCTTTCAAGTACTTATGCTTGATAGTAAAAGTTAGGTCACACGAGGCGAGAAAAACCTGGCATAAAAAAGACAAACAAGCAAGCAAACAAACAAACCAAAACAGAAAATGAATGATTTACATGTATACATACACACACTGTTTACATTGTTTACACTGTGTAATTCTAAACTACATGTTTTTGTTTCATGTGGCATATGTTTTGTGAGTTGGACTGCTTACATGTATGTCGCTTTCATTAATATACAAAACCCAGTGTAGTAAATGTGAAAGTTGGCAATAGACCCCGTGGGCAAACTGTTACAGTACTACATGTAGATGGCGCTTTTTTAACCACTTTCGAGAGCTCCAATGGAGGTAGACACGGTAGGCGTATACTGGTTCACGTGCATATGACGCAAAGCATTTTATTTCCTCCAAATGTGCACAAAACAGTGGCGTCCTTGCGTGAGCACCAGATGCCGTCGGCAATACACTCGAACAACCCTCCCAATGGTCTCCCACAACTCTCTCTTTCTAACCGTTGAGGGGGTACTTGTACACGGAGTCCATCCACATACTGGTACCATCAATGATTGGTCAATGTCAGGTACAAAATAACAACAATGCTTAATTCATGAAGTTGCTGAACCAATAAAAAATAACACCATGTGGAAAGTAATGTCTTCTTGGAAGAAGTGTGGTTCTGAAAAGAATCGGTTGGTTGAGTGTAGAACTTGATGTTTAAGACAGTGTGCTCTGTCCGTCCTTAGGAGGGTGAGTAAGTGTGTTAATTACGGTACCTACAATCTTTCTACTTTTTCTCATCCGCCATGCAGATCTTCCAGTAAGATAACAAAAATCTTGCTCAGCATCATTTTTTGCTTAAGTAGCATAAACCGACTGGGAGCCAATTAACATTCAACAACATTTTGACTGGTAAACATTTTTGCTGAGCGAATATTTTTTGGACCCAGGTGCAGTTACAATCTTGAGCCTCGCCGTGTGACAGATTCTGAGAGACACATGTGGAGTGGACAGAGGTTCTCTCTGCTACACAGTTTTCACTGTGTCTATAAGGATCACTCTTAATTCTCTTCATTGTAAGTATGACCCTTTTCCTGTCCCATGTTGCTTGATACTTTGTAATTTGCCATTCAAGTATCATTAAGAATGACTTCAAATGATTGTTTTATTTGTTGGGTAGGTAGTTAGCTATTCATAATCACTCTTGGAGGACGACTGCATTAAGGAGTGCATCAGAATTATAATATCATAGATGTCAGAAGGAAACAAATTTATAGACATTTATATAATGACCCTTGAAGCCTTTTGCTACTGTCCAAACCATGCCTTGTGTGGAACTATAGGTGCACCATACACAACTGATGCTTGCCTTAAACTGTAAGTAAACATGGAGGTAGCATACGCTGTGTGCTTGTCTCCCCAAGGGAAATTTGGATAATTCTGTTTGCCTAGAAGCAAGAATTTCCACAAAGGTATAGAATTACAGAAAAATGAATGTGGATAATTCGCTGACTTATGAATTAATTCAGGATTTTTCCAAGAGAAGCGCAATGCTGGGCCATATTCAAGCACGGCATTCAATGGTGTCAGCAGCCACTTTTACTTTTACTGTACAGGGTGAGTAAAAAAAAAGGAAACCTAAATATCAGGACCACTTTTATAATGAAGTTCTGCATGAAGCACTTTTAAAATCTAGGAAATGAAAGTCTAATTAATAAGCTTTCTTTTAGTACAAGAATCATTCAAATCACTCATGTACTTTTCACGTTAAGGAATTTTAAGTTCAAACACTGTTTTAAAGTTCTGTCCACAGATCACAAAAAAAGAAAGTGTTCTTTCAGCAAAACTAATTCACGTACATCCCTATGTAAATTGTTTTTGTTTTGCTCAAAAAATATTTACTTTTTTGTGATCCGTGGACAGAACATTAAAACGGTGGTTGTGTTTGAAATCTTGTAACTTGAAAAGTACATGAGTGATTCGAATGATTCTTGTACTAACAGAAAGCTTATTAATTGGACTTTCACAACCTAGATTTCAAAAGTGCTACAATGTACATGCAGAACTTCATTAAAAAAATGGTCCTGCCATTTGGGTTTCCTCTTTTTTTGACTCACCAAGTATGTTGCCAGATTTTTTGGTGAAATAATTTCAGAGAGTTTCTCTGAAATGAGCAACCCTGGTGAACGCCAAAACATTTACAAACATTTGTGGGAATCTTTTACCAGAACCTCAAAACGTATGAAAATATATCAAAAAGTATCTTAAGGTACCTCTCCCCAACAAAATATAATCCAATCAATTAGAAACACCTGTTTCAGACTCGTATTACATTAGTTTGCCAAATTAACATGTATTCTGAGATCTTCATGATGACCCAAATAAAATTTGGTTCAAATAGACGAACTTCATGTTTTAATTTTCCATGGACTGTTGCTAAGGAGTTGTTTCCATCTTTCACATGTAGTTGATCCTAATTGTTTGAAATGTCGAAATTAATTCTAATCTTCGGAATAATTTAGTTTGACATGACTCAAGAACGCTGGTCTGAGATCAGTGTAGATAAGATTGGTTCTAGAACTGTACAGTTTCTTACCTCGACAGCATTCATGGTGACATTTTTGCCGGCCTCCCAGTAGGTGACTGTGTAGCTATCCACACTCTTGTAGAAGACCTCAGGTTGCATCCAGGATACCTTGGCACGTCCCATGCCGATGTCTTGCACCGTGATGTTCATGGGTGGGCCCGGAGCTGGGAAAGGAAATGGAGAACAGACAGCCTTGAAACTTGTCTAATAGACTGGCATTATACAGTCACACAGAATAGTATAAGGATGGGGGGATTAAATATTCAGTAAAATCCCGCTTTTGGATTTGGAAAAATGAGGGAGGGTTAAATTATTCTTCGAACCAGAGAGATATAAAGACATTATCTAAATATTTCTAAAAGGTTTATTACAAATAAAATTAATTAATTTAATACAAACAGAGAACCAAAGTGAATCAAAACAAAATATGCCTTGACGAGACACCCAAGTCGCAGTGTCTGCTCTCTGGGGTAGGTCACACCATGCCATGTTTTGTTCCTGCACGAGGTCCACACCATTGTACAATATGTTAATATATGTACATCAATATACTCCACATCTTGAATGGAATTGCCCTCCCAGACCAATCCATGATTCTGCCTCTGAAATTTGTGACGTCATTTTCCTTGTGCTTTCGGTATTAAAAAATATTAACGCGACCACTCACTGGTCATTCTAGCATTGCTCCTCCCTCCATGCTTCAATGCACACCGTATCTGCAAGACGCACAGACTCAAGAACATCAAGTAGAAGCATATCTCCCAACCCCCTATCAGCTGGACACAGAAATCTAGAAGCGCAAGGCCGATCATCGCGACAAGGACATCGCCGTTTATCCACCCACAGTTAACGGCATGTGCTTGATAAGATCATGTGACGATTTATCACGCTGGGTTTTATACTACTACGATACGCTTTCCAGTTTTGCTTAAAAAATCAAAAACATCATCAGTTGGAAAAGAGTTGTTCAAATGTGCAGCGCTGATTATTTCTTAAATAATCTTTAGCATCAAGAGCTAGTGCTCCAAAACACCAAGAAATCCAAATCGACATAAGCATTCATCCACATCGACGAAATACCAACAATATCCTGTGTTAAATAACACATCCTGAGCAAGCTTAGGAAATATCAACCGCAAAGTTTTTGACAATTCCAAGGACGTAGAGCCGTGCACGCAGAAAAAAACAACATGATTCACACAAGCCGTCTCCAAGAAGCAGTAACGAGCTGGCACTATTCCTCCCAACGGACTTACTGATACTGTATATCATCTCTAGAGCTGCCAGAGTTTCCCAGGCCTGTGTTCATGAATCAAGTTGAGGGAAGGGTAAGAGTACATTGCCGCTACGGCTGGATGCTCATGTCAATTACCAGCATTCCAAGCGGTCCCTCGATGACTCCTTTGACAAGCTGAGACTATCCTGCAAATTTCACAAATTCCCAACTCAATTACGTTTTCAGCTATCAGCGAAGACAAGCGTCGACACTGCATAATCCAGTTGTGTTTACATCCAAGTCTTAAAAAAAAAGACGGCTTAACTTAACGGGCCAAGTTTTTTTTAAAAATAACATCCCTGGGACTTAGCAGTCCGCCCTCCTGTCAAACATCTAAGCACTGGTTGAACATCGAAAGCCACGTGTGGGTTAACCCCTCCCAGTTCTAGAGGAAGTGAGAAGGGTCGAGGGGCGACAGTGTACATGTATGTGAGGGTGAATCATCCATTTGGATCCCATGGATCGGCCTTCATACAGTGACTGTATACCCACATGTACAATGTACATGCCAAAAACTTGCCTTGGAATAAAGTGCTGGAATATATTTCATAATCTGTATGCTTATAAAAGTGTCTTGTGTAGAATTTCATAATTTCGGAACTTCAGAAAAACTCAACGTAAATGAATATGTGGTAGGTGAAAAATATGCTCTTTTAATACGGATAGACATAACGTTGAATATTCGTATTTATACTCCAGTCCATTATATTTTATACTCAAAAACATCAAAACTAAATATTCCTGACTTTTTTGTTTGTTCTTTTGGGGGTTTTATTGTTTTTGTTTAGATTTCTGTTCTTTATCCCTTCTCGAATTTCAGGACAACACATCAAGAACATGAAGATGAGCATTATTTCAGGCATGCTCATGATCTATTTTCGACTGCAGGACCTCGACAACAATTACATGCGTAATCTTCCTGTGATCTTAGATACCTGGATAATGCAGATCATGGGCTGAGAATCAAATAGATATTGACAGGAGCTTTTCAAAAATAGGGCACAGGGTCGACAAACAAATGAGTTGAATAACAAATGAGTCACTTTGACCATAGTATTTGGGGTCCTTGCTGGTCAGTTGTGGTCATCCTCACTTTTCGATGCCCTTGGACAAGCTTTAAAGCTATAGTCCATCATTTGCAGCCATCCGAAAAGTAGCTGGCGTAATTATTGTTGAAAAACAAACTTGGTTGAAAGATAGTAAGGGAACTAAACTCCCTGTGAAATTATTCTTTCTGGGAAGCTGTCATTTTGAAGAAATCAACGAAAGAAGGCATTTCCAACGGTGATTCTTAAGAAGCACTGTAGGAAAATTTAAATTAGTAGTTCGTTTTGTTATTCAGCGCAGCGCGCACAAGTATTGAAACGACGCACACGCGCGCGCGGTTGTTGTAATTCGTCGGATCAGTGCGCGACGTCGCGTATAGCTGCAATTCAAAACAATTCAAAACATGATTTAGTAACTTTTGATTTGAAATTGAGATCTTAGAATGCTGTTTTTCTCGGAATGTACAGCTGAAGCTTAGCTGAAACTTCATCAGGTTAGTTGCTCAGTATCCTTCATTAGATTTTGAACTCTTTTGTTGCTTCAAACGAACAAAATGCACAAATTACAAATGATGGACTGTAGCTTTAAACAAAAATAAGGTTGTCTGGGATAACTGTATGTTACTTTACTAATATCTTACTACTTGAATTTTAATCATTTTATCATATATGTATTATATTGATTTATGATGCCTGTAACTGACGGTTAAGTGCTGCTAGTTATCAGTATATAAATATTGGGTTTTGCCCTTCCCCGACATATTATTTTTTATAAATACTGTATAATTAGTGTTGTCCTGTGTAACTGTATCTTCACTCTAACTAACGCTACTCAACCACAGCTACACTAGTCGACTGGTCCGGACAGGGTTCCCACAGAAATCGGAAAACCAAATTCCATGACTTTTCCTGGACTTTCCAGGACTAAAATTATGACAATTTCCATGAAACTTAACACAATTTTGCAGAGAAAATGTTTTGTATGATTCTGATGAACCGCTGATGTTAGGCTAATCATTTGTTAGGGTTTTTTAAATAAGTTTTTAAATTAATGATGGCCTCCTCCTCCCCTTACAGCCATCCTTAAAGCCGCCCATCAAAAATAACCCTAACATGATCTAACATTTCCATGACTTTTCAAAGACTTTTTAATTTTGTCCAATTTTCCATGACTTTTCCATGACTTTTCCATGACTTTTCCATGACTTTTCCGTGACTTTTCCATGACTTTTCCATGACTTTTCCGTGACTTTTCCATGACTTTTCCATGACTTTCCAGGACAACTTTTTTCCAGGACTTTCCATTATTTTTCCATGACTGTGGGAACCCTGCATCACTGGTTACAATATCTGCATGCATCATAATGCACAGCAGGGAACCAGGACTAAGACATTTCATGATGACATTTGAATCATTACTTGACTTACGTAGGCACAAATGAAGTCATGCTTTAGAATAAACACAGGCATTTTAACCTAACAAAGGTGTCCACTGGAAATTTTTAACATCAGCATGACATGAATGAAATGCTCCGGCTTATTACAGCTCGAATAAAATAATGCCACTAGCTGGTCTATAGAGGGCGCCATTTCCTTCCTACAGCAAAGGCTTAGGCAACACCGCAGTGGGAGGGGGTATGTCTCAAATCGAGGAAAGACAAGTGTAACTTGGCACTGATCCCAGTGTAAGAGTCATTTCCTTATCTGACGACATTCTTCTTCATGACACCTCACTGTACCAAGCACCGACAATGAGTTGTCAACAGTCAACATAGGAAATCCAGCAGTCAAATTAGATGCCTGTCTTATTCATGAACTCAAGTAACTCAAGTAACCCAAGGGGGGAGGGGAGAATACATTTACTTCATATAATTATAAGGCCTACTCTTTATTTGGTTACATTTGGGTATGTACCTTTTGTGACAATATGCAAAAGAAACAGTATGCCTAACGGTAAGGTTAAAGTTCATTAAAAAAATTTCAAGTGGAAAAAGAAAACAAAAAACGACCGCAACATTTTTGTTAGCCTAATGATCACACTACTCCCCCCCCCCCCGCTATATTTTCTTTTTTAAAAATAACTATCCCTGAGGCTTTTTTAGCATATGTAATTAAGCATTATTTCCCCAAGATTTTCTTTTAAGATTGATGAAAGGTTACATTTGAGGAAATTCCTGTCAATCCCGACTTAAGAAACGTGTCACCAATTCAAGAAAACTTTTTAGCCGCCCTTGTCAAAAGCATCATCTGCCAATAATATACTGGTTCAATTACATCAGACTGATGTAAAATGTAGATAGGTAAAATGAATAAGTTTGCACTATGAACAGTGCCACCTAGAGTAAGATGGTGTCCAACCCAGCACTTCACCAATCTTGTTGAGAAATTGTCCCCTTTCTGGACAGGTCATGAAATTTAGGATATGGGTTGAAAAAACTCAACCAGTGAAAGAAGAAGGCTGATGCCCATCACTTGCTTGAGAAACTCAAAAAAAAAACCGAACAAACAAACAAACAAACAAACCAGGAGACTGGAGAACGAAGGCAACTTCTTTTAGAAACTTAGCAGGACTGTCCGTATCAGAACTAAAAACTACTTAGCGAAAGTTGATAATAAGCAGGACAAGTTCTTATCAGAACGAAGCAGCTACTGAGCGACAGTAGTTGTTACCACATGGTGTTACCACAAACTGCAACAATACTGATACTCCACCATACAATGCCTACAATCTTATAGAAGATACTCATGTCAAACAAACTCACCTCCAACGTCAGTAAAAGCCCTGAGTGTTATCGGAGGTCCATCCCCGATCCTGTTCACTGGAGTCAGACGGAACTCGTACTCGGTGTAGATTTCTACAACAACAAAACCAAAACGAAACAAAATGGACCAAAATTGTCAACCTTCTCTATGGCAATGTGAGGGGCTCTGAGGACTGAACTCCTTTCTGAAGAGAAATAACAGACACAATATTTGAAACGTCAAGTTGACCTACTGACAATTTAAAAAGAATTTCTAACATTTACCCAAGAAGTTAAGGCTAGCTTTTAAGAGTTGACTGAAGTCCATCACAGGTCAAATTGAAAGTTACTAGCAAGTTACAGGGGTACATGATGACAAAAAGGGCCTTTGTCACAATTCACTTGGACAACCTGTATATTGAGACGAAGTAACTTGTGATTTGCTTCTTGTTTGACTTGTGATAACTTACGGTGGTCTTAGATTAACTTGTGAGGAGTCGACTAAAACCCTTGCTTGAAAACAAAAAAAATCAGGAGTTTTGGGGGCTCAGAGTGTGACTCTAATGAGGAACAATTTCTATTCCGCAAGTCTACAAATCAGACTTGGTGCACTCACCCAGGCCCGTCGTAGTTTGGTAAACCAGCGTTGTGTTTGTGGTTATCCTCATCCAGTCGGGAGCTCCACTCTTTCTGAAGTCAACGTTATAGGTGACCGCCACTGAGTTGATGTATATCGGTGATTTCCAGAAGATTGTGATGCTGGTCTCATCCTGAAAGACTGTCTTGATTTCTTCTGGTTGACTGGGGACTGAAGCAAATTTTATAAAAAATAACAAACATTATTAAATTGCAAAGGGAAACCGCAGTGTTGTTGAGTCCATTACCAGTCCGGTTACAAGTAACTTACAAGACTTGCAAAGACTTAAAAGGACTTGTAAGGACTTATAAGGACTTATAAGGACTTGTAAGGACTTGTAAGGACTTGTAAGGACTTGTGAGGACTTGTGAAGACTTGTAAGGACTTGTAAGGACTTGTAAGGACTTGTAAGGACTTGTGAGGACTTGTGAAGACTTGTAAGGACTTGTGAGGACTTGCCAGGACTTGTGAAGATTTGTGAGGACTTGCAAAGGCTTGAGGACTATTGTATGTATAACACTTGAAAAACTGACTTACTTTAGTTTCCATCATTATTAGAAAGAACAAAGAAATTATCTAGAGCACCATTTGAACCTGTGACCTCCAAAACATCGTAATGGTGCACTACCAACTGAGCCTACAAGCTCAAAGTTGGTCAATTAATGCTAGAGCAGCATCTGAACCTGAGACCTCCAGAACACTGTACTGGTGCACTACCAACTGAGCCTACAAGCTCAAAGTTGGTCAATTAATGCTAGAGCAGCATCTGAACCTGTGACCTCCAGAACACTGAACTGGTGCACTACCAACTGAACCTACAAGCTCAAAGTTGGTCAATTAATGCTAGAGCAGCATCTGAACCTGTGACCTCCAGAACACTGAACTGGTGCACTACCAACTGAACCTACAAGCTCAAAGTTGGTCAATTAATGCTAGAGCAGCATCTGAACCCGTGACCTCCAGAACACTGTACTGGTGCACTACCAACTGAGCCTACAAGCTCAAAGTTGGTCAATTAATGCTAGAGCAGCATCTGAACCTGAGACCTCCAGAACACTGAACTGGTGCACTACCAACTGAACCTACAAGCTCAAAGTTGGTAAATTAATGCTAGAGCAGCATTTGAACCTGTGACCTCCAAAACACCATACTGGTGCACTACCAACTGAACCTACAAGCTCAAAGTTGGTCAATTAATGCTAGAGCAGCATTTGAACCTGTGACCTCCAGAACACCGTACTGGTGCACTACCAACTGAACCTACAAGCTCAAAGTTGGTCAATTAATGCTAGAGCAGCATTTGAACCTGTGACCTCGAGAACACCGTACTGGTGCACTACCAACTGAACCTACAAGCTCAAAGTTGATAAATTAATGCTAGAGCACCATTTGAACCTGTGACCTCCAAAACACCGTACTGGTGCACTACCAACTGAGCCTACATGCTCAAAGTTGGTCAATTAATGCTAGAGCAGCATCTGAACCTGTGACCTCCAGAACACCGTACTGGTGCACCACCAACTGAACCTATAAGCTCAAAGTTGGTCAATTAATGCTAGAGCAGCATTTGAACCTGTGACCTCCAAAACACTGACTGGTGCACTACCAACTGAACCTACAAGCTCAAAGTTGGTCAATTAATGCTAGAGCACCATTTGAACCTGTGACCTCCAAAACACCGTACTGGTGCACTACCAACTGAGCCTACAAGCTCAAAGTTGATAAATTAATGCTAGAGCAGCATCTGAACCTGTGACCTCCAAAACACCATACTGGTGCACTACCAACTGAGCCTACATGCTCAAAGTTGGTCAATTAATGCTAGAGCAGCATTTGAACCTGTGACCTCCAGAACACCGTACTGGTGCACTACCAACTGAACCTACAAGCTCAAAGTTGGTAAATTAATGCTAGAGCAGCATTTGAACCTGTGACCTCCAGAACACCGTACTGGTGCACCACCAACTGAGCCTACAAGCTCAAAGTTGGTCAATTAATGCTAGAGCAGCATTTGAACCTGTGACCTCCAAAACACCGTACTGGTGCACTACCAACTGAGCCTACATGCTCAAAGTTGGTCAATTTATGGCTTTTGGCTTCCGCGCATTCCACATGTGCGCGCTTAAGCTTGTATTCTGAAGAATTCCTCAAAATCCCGAAAAGTGGCCCTGATTCATCTTGTCATCAAGCGATGCCTACCTTGACTGCCCTTGCCACAGACCGGCGGCATGAGGGAAATAAACAAGTGCGAATGCGCAATAAGCTCTGGCCGTCTTGCATGAAATCTACGCTGTGTTACACAGACCCATATGAACAGCGACCTCTGTAGTCACATTGGCCTGTAGCTTGGGAGTTCCCTTTCATATGAAACACCATACTTCAGATGTATACCTAGCTTTATAACAATTTGTGATAAATACCACGTGACTATAATATTACTGCACATACATGTATTTTGCCTCCATTTACAAACTTTTTATAAACATCTTTCCGAATTGTCACAAATACTTTTTAAGTATTTAATTCTGTTTCCTTTTTTTTGAAAATTTAAAATTGGTAGTTGTATTTTGTGGGAAAGTGATGGGACCTTATTTTGGTAAATTTTCCGGGGACAGACAGACCAACCGACCAAGAAATGTAATGTAGAATGAAGAAGCTCCAGCCAGAGCTTAAAAGCCCAATTCCAGTCTTGAAACAAGACTAACATTCAAGCAGTGTGCTGGGAACAATTTCATGGCTCTGCTTACAGTTAGCGGAATTTTTTTCGCTTTATAGCAGAAAACTCTGTGCTTACCCTATTTCACAGGTTAGCGAGGAATTCTGGCTTCTGCGCATGCGTACATCCCGTAACTGAGGATACTGTGCTTACAGGGTTAGCACAGAATTTTTCTGCTAGCACGGTTACCACAGCATAGTGATCCTAAGCGCGGAATTTTGTGGTAAACAAAGCCGTGAAATTGGGCCCTGATGTTTCTTACCGTCTTCAAGTGTCTGTGCAAACACTTCCATGCTGTATGGCCCAATAGCAGCGTCCCCCATCGCATTGTTGTACACTGCCACTGTGATGTTGTAGTTGGTGTAGGACAGTAGACCCATGACATCTTTACTCTGTCACACACACGGTGATACAAAGGGGACAAGAAAGGGAGATGTAAGGCTGTGACAACCTTGTGAGGAGGTCTGAGTTATGCAGGAGGCCCTCTAGTGGCAGGCCCTGTCAAGGTTCTACTACAGGACATTTGCAACTCTACCTGCTACGGTGGACCTGAATAAATACATTTCTCAGGCCATAATCAAAAACAACAAAAGTGTTATTTTTATTTAGTAAGCTCACAATTTTACAAGTTATCTTGTATTTATAGTGTGAATGCATACATTGTCGTCAATTTTTATCTGGTAATTTCATGACTTTTTTTCCTATAATGCCACACATTGTTTTCCCTGATATCAAAAATATTTTCATAAAGTCACAATAGAAATTCAGAATGCATTGTTCCTTCATTTTTCCTTCATTTCTTGCAATATGCTTGGGTCACATCAAAATCAGTTGTTTTGTACCAATACGTTTGGTTCTTTTTTCAGTAATGACATGCTATGGTAAATATCCCAAGGGGGGAAAAACCCATCTTTTCACAATGAACCTCCTTCTTCTTCTTCATTCATTCATTTTCATGATGACTTGATGAGTTGGGCCCAACTGCCACTGTCGAGCATAGTGTTGGGAAAGAGATGGACCGCTCAGACCATCCAGTTAGAAAGAACCTTAGTACAAGTTTAGTATGCATGTGAAACGTTAATTGTTGAGGTTCAACGGTCTTCTTTCTGGTCTAAGCTGTAAACCATTTGATGGAACATCTGATGATGTTGAAGTCAAGGTACTTGCGAACTATAATAACAAATCTATCACAGGTCAACCAGTCCCAAGTCAACTCACAAGCTGTGTACATGAGCTTTGACAAAGACCCTCCTTAGTTATTGCTCATCCTCTGATACTTGTGACACGAATTAGTGAGTTACTTGTGACTGGACTTGTGATGTACTTGTGAATGGACTTGTGATGTACTTGTGAATGGACTTGTGATGTTCTTGTGACTGGACTTGTTTTGTACTTGTGACTGGACTTGTTTTGTACTTGTGACTGGACTTATGATGAACTTGTGATGAACTTGTGATGTACTTGTGACGGGACTTGAGATGTGCTTGTGATGTACATGTGATTTACCTGTGATGTACTTGTGACTGGACATGTGATTCACTTGTGACTGGAAATATGATGTACTTATGACTGGACTTGTGACTGAACTTGTGATTTACTTGTGACTGGAATTGTGATGTACTTATGACTGGACTTGTGACTGAACTTGCAATGTACTTGTGATGTACTTGTGATTTACTTGTGATGTACTTGTGACTGGACTTGTGATTTACTTGTGATTGGAATTGTGATGTCCTTGTGACTGGACTTGTGATGAACTTGTGACTGGACTTGTGATGTACTTGTGACTGGAATTGTGACTAGGCTTATATTGTACTTGTGACTGGACTTGTGACGTACTTGTGACTGTACTTGTGACTAGACTTGTGATGTACCATTACTTATAACTGGACTTGTAATGTACTTGAGACTGTACTCGTGACTGGACTTCTGACTGGACTTCTGACTGAACTTTTGATCGATTGCCAGTACCTCAACTACAACAATGGCTCTTTGTAAATCAAAGGCCAGATATCTCACCGTGGCGGTGCCCATTGACAGCAAAGACATGTCCATTCCTTCCGAGCGCAGAAGGATTTTGTAGCCGATCAGATCTCCCTTGACTGAGTCAATAGAGGGCGCCATCCATGTGACCTGGATGCTGGATGCACTACTGGCTACTGCAGCAACATTCAGCGGTGGTGCTGTTGGAGCTGCCAAGCGATAACAAAGAAGACAGATTCAAAAATGAAAATAAAAATTATGTAATTTCAAATTTTTCAAAAGTTGTGGAGTGCAGCTTCTGCTGCTACCAGATGTTTTCACAACAATAAAAAAAAAATGTTTGAAACCTTTTGGGCTCCGTGCACAAGCAGCCCTCAATGGTAAGAAAGGAAGAGTTAGGATTGGAATCATTCGCCTGGCTATCAGTCATCATGGCAAGACCTCAGTTTAATGCTCAAGGGCAAATGATTCCAATCCCAAACCACATCAGCCTTTTTTTCACAACATGCAGGATTTTACACAGCTTACATAACACAGCACTGAAATTGATTAAGGCAAGGAACTTGGTCACAGCGTCCAAAAATGTTGCTGTGATCAATTGACCATTGTGCAGTGAGGCGTGATGGAAATAAAGTGAAACTCATAGGGATTGAGGCCAAGGTTAAGAGGTATCTGCACAATCGAATATTTTCAAAATCGCCTTTGTGGTTTTGTAGTAATTTCAAAAACAGTCAGACGGACAATTTTTTGTGGACATCATGTTGATCGTGTAGGGAGCCCACAAAGTGTTGTCTACAAAAATGACAACAGTGAACTACATGTTGTTGGTTTTTTCTTGGTCTTTGCATTTAGCCTACTAGCCACTTTCTACAACCCACTGCCAGACCCTTTCAGACGACGACACTGACAGCGTAATTTCTTGTTCAGTTCCAATAAAATTACTCCTACAGATCATTCCCAGCAAACTAACACTGTACACTCAGGGGGCCCACTCAACGGCCAAAGCATTGTGTTAGCTATTGTACAGATAATTCATCACGGGCAGTTGCTGTGTACACAAGCTGCCACAATGCTTTCACCATGATAGGGGGCCCCTGTGGATGTACACGGACAGCGTGTTTGGTATTGGTCTAAAGGTCAGATTTTGACCAATCATTTTGTGATCACGACTTACTCCCGGGTGCAGTACGGAACACGGCCACCCCGCTTGTCTTGGTATAATCCCCACGGTATCTGGCTTCCACCCAGAAGCTATAGTCTGTGTAGGCTTGCAGGCCGGATACCAGGAGGGAGGTCTGTAGGCCTGGGGAGATGGGCACCCTCATGGGGACTGCCCCTGGGGTGGGGGTCGTTGTACCCTCACTGGTGGAAAGCAATAACAAAGATCAAATCTTGAGTCCAACAACTCAAAACAAACAACCACATAAACTGTAACCAAGTACAAAGGAGTGTTACAATCTAATGGGGTAATATAAGGTTAGGTGTTTTAATCGTACTCGACCCTCCCCCTCCCCCCTTCCCAAAAAAATGTATCACTTCTGAGCATTCATATTTACTCATGTTTCAGGTTTGCCCTACCCCCCCCCCCCCTCTATTATTAACTCATTAGTTCCTTTGCTGGACTAAACTGCCCTGCCTGTCACTCCTTGTACAGCCAAGTTCACCTGGCACTGCATGGTTTATGGATTTAATGTAGTTCAGGTGCTAATGGGTTACGCCAAATGGTGATATATTGTTGGAGATCCAAGATTGTGGTCAGAACATTATTCATTGACAGTAATTTGGAAAGTAACAGCTTACAGATTTGTAACAGAATTAAATTGACTTAATTCTTCGCAAATTCTTGTCTATCAAAATGTCTGCACCGATCATTTCTTGCATCATCGTTGCTTAATATCTCATAAAGACTTGGCAAAATATTCCTTATTTTTAAGATAATGAATGACTTAAGTTGTTTTGACTGGAGAGAGAAAATGTCTTTCAAGACACAGAAATGGAAGAGAACGCAAACTTCATCTTCAAGGCCTTACTCATTATTTCCAATTCTGAAGTCGGACAAATCGGATCCGTCACATTCAATCTAAATTGTTAATATACCATTTCATGTTTCCTTACATTCTAAATGTCTGACACAGAGTTACTTCTCAATGAAGTGAAGTTATGACTCACTTCTTGGAGCCTTTTTATAATCCTCTATTCTCTCCGACACTTAATGTCTTAAAAGAAAAAGATATTTTCCCTCAGACCCTTAGCTTTTTAGTCATTTATTTATTGCAGTTTAATTCGTTTTTGTTGTCGTCGGGTGCACCATTGTGCACACAATACATCACTTTGTGGTGCGACCGACGTTGTGTTGAAACCAAGGATGTTCGAAAAAACACTGACACTGCTGTTTGGAAATCGTAAATTTATTATTTTCTCAAAGAACTCTCCCTTAAGGTTTCTTCAGTGCCTTTGTAAATTGAGAAACCTTTGGTTTTCTTACCAGAAATATTTAAAATATTTTCTTTCTTAATTGCAATCAATCCACAACTTTCTGCAACTAGAATTTTTTTAAAAGGGAAGGATTATCTTGGAACTGCGTGGTTCATCCATTTTTTTTTTAGTCTGCCCTACCCAACAAACCTGTATAGAACGGAGTAAGAGGTGACTGGTCCATTGGTCCCCATCCACGAGATGTCGATGGAATTCTTAGTGATTACCCTGGAAATAGGATCCCCAGGAGATGTTGGTTCTGCAAAGATCAAAACATAAACAAATAAAAGCAATTTAATTGGCATTACAAATGATTTTCCAAAGGGATATTTCTCTTTTGCATTCAAAAATTGGGGGGGGGGGGGACGCAAGGAAACCTCTTGAAAAATATTCAAAACCTCAGGAATTATCTGGAACAGTTTCACATTCCAAATGTAAACATCTGATCCCAAAATCATAGTTATTGGGAACAATTCTTCGGCATGATATCAATTCCCCATTCCATTTTCTTAGCTCATTTGATGCCGTTTGAGTCACATTTTTAGAAAAGTGAAGAAATTAATGCACTTTTAATGGCCACTCTCCTCAGTGAGGATGTGAACCCCAAACCCCAAATTTCCTGCACATGTATGAAATTCAAGTTTACGAAGAAACCCACATCCCACCACCCAAAAAAATTGCATTCTTAGATCCCCTCCTTATTAACAATCCTTGTGCTCCAAGAGCTCCCATAAAATAAAAGTTACATGACAGTGCCTGAGGACCACCTTATGAATTCCAGAGACCGCTACCAATGCTGTACTCTGTCAGTAGTGCACAAAGGAAGGAAATCAAAATAAGGGTCTAGAGTGACAGGTCAGGGAAGGAAACAGGTGAAATAGGATGACACACAGGTGCATGGACAGGGAAGTACACCAATGATGAACAGTCTCATACTAGTCAACCAGTGGTCATGGGATATGAGGGGCTGTCTGTGAAAAGTGCTGGAGTGTTGACTGCTACATGTACATGCACATGACGAAAAACATGAACATGTAAGTCAACATGTCCTGACACATGTAGGTGAACATGTACAGAACATGTACCGGTACATGTACGTGAACATGTACATGTAGGTGAACATGTGCGTACTCGGCAAGGAGCACACACACAACACTTTGGTTTTGAATGAAATTAATAAATTCAGAGCGCAATTCCAGCATTATGAAATGTCCATGACAGAGCTTTGACATGTACATGTATGTAAGAGTTCATTGAACAAACCTGAAAATGTATTTTTTCAATCTTTAATAGAGCCATTGGTCCAGTTGATTACAGATTACATAATGCAGGAGTTTTGGATCATTTCTCCTAATCATCAATTAGATGTCATGGCTAATTGGCTCTGTCACAGACATTACACAGCCTTTCATAATGCTGGAATTGCTTAAGAGATTTAATGAATGTTAGAAGTTGGCATGCAAAAATCATGCAGAAATGAGATTACATAATGTTGAAGAAATGTGACCTGTTCCCACACAACCAAGAGTAACACATGATTCATATACATGTAGGGTATTTCTTTATTCTCCGACACTTTTGTCATTCAGTTTTCACATGCTACGCAAAATGCTCTCTGCAAGGCAATATTAGCAAGTACATTACAATGTTTCTGTAGTAATTTAATAATGTAAAAGTGCACATATCTCCATCCTGAGATGTCTATGGGCACTTTTTGTTTTGTGGAAATGGGTCAAATATCTTGTACATGCAAAACCATAAAACACAAGGGAAAAACACCAGTAGTAAACTATTCAAGTAACAATTCATAACAGGCCTTACTCTTGAACAAACGAGGGCGCCGTAACAAGTACCGCTTTGGTGTTATAAACAGACTTGCCTGCAAGGATATTGACGTGAGTTTACAAACTCCAACATGTTAAAAAACTGCATGTTTACAACATGCAGTTTTCAAATTTAAATAGTTACAAATAGCTTCAAAGCTAGTGTTTGTACCCAGAAAATGGAATAGTAACAGCGCCCTCACTTGCTCAAAAATACATGGCCTATTACCATGGTTACAGATGGATACTTCACGACTAACACCAACTCTGTCATTGTTAATAAACAGTTGCTAACTGAACGTCTACTCAGTGCTTTCCAAACCAGTGTACATTGTGTAATGTCGATATGAATTTATCTTCAAGCAAACTTGAATCCTGGATCCTGATTGGTTGATTTAAGGCAACAACAGTGTGGTAAATGTATTATCCTGTATACAACGGTCCATATCGCACTTTACATATCCCGCTATTCTGAGATTTAGCATTGTACCTACTGCATGCACATGTACATGTGTAGTAGGAAAACCGTTGAGAAGTTTGTGTATAGCATACATGTTCCATCTTAACTGTGTGTCATGTTTGCTTGAAGATAAATTCGTTATCCCACTCGTGCTCATGAACACGGAAAATGTAGTGCATCCGTGTCTCATATGTTTGACCAAGTGCATGGGACAGACGCACTACATTATTCTGTGAAACTCCTATGGAAAATCTTACAGCTTGATCAGTACATGTATGCTCAAAACCTCGCTAGTCTGGTCAGTGGTCAGTGTTTTAATATATTAATTTGCTAGAACTTTATTAAATATCTCACAGAAGTCTGTGAATTAAATGCAAAGGAACTTTCCCAACTGAAATGAAAGCCTGCATGACTGTAGGCTTGTCAGAGAGTCCAATGACTAGGCAAAAACTCTGGATTATCGGCTGACATTGTAACACTGATAGTCCACTGTCATCCGTTGTGACAATGTCAGAATGAGATTCAATGGGCCATGACAAGCACACAGCAATTGTTGCCCTGACCTGCCCTCAATAGACTTCAGCGTACATTTACGTACAATTATATTTCCAAGAATCCGTACAAATGATAGTTGAATAGTGTCAATACAAACTTGTACATGTAGGTTATTCAAAGGTTGAAGTGAAGGTTCTAATGTAGGATGTGTTCCAGAATTTTGCTAAATCTTACAATTGACACAAATTTCCTTAAAAAATTGACAGACCTCTGATGAAACAGACATTTCTTGGCTTGGTTTATTTTGTGTTTGGGTTATATAAAACTCAAGTTAGATTTTGTTGTGGGATATTTTACAGTTGGGTCGTTCTATAAATTTAGAATCCGAAATGTGACATTTTCCCTGTCCCTGTTACCTTGGTACAGTACTTTGTAATTTTCATTCAAATATTATTACGAATGACTTCAAATGATGTCATATTTGTTGGGTGGGTACATGTAGTTTGCTTGTCATAATAGGGAGGTTTCGCAAGCGAACGGATACGCTTACACTTACGCTTAGCTATCCGTATCCGTTTTTTACCTACGTGTAGCGAGCGAGATATATGCGTGTCGTCTGCACGTTTAGCTGATAGTGAGTGGCGTATGACGTCATACGTGCAGACGACACGCATATCTCGCTCGCTACACGTAAGTAAAAAACGAATACGAATAGCTAAACGTAAGTGTAAGCGTATCCGTTCGCTTGCGAAACCTCCCTAATCACTCTTGGAGGACGACTACATTAAGGAGTGCATCAGAATTATAAAATCATAGATGTCAGATGTACATGTAACAGGGACAGCAAAAAAAGTGGACCCCAAATTTTAGTTTACAGTTTAGTAGACACAATGATCACTCTAAAATTAGCTAACAACATTACACTGAAACAGCTTGACGGACAAGTGTTGACAAATTACATCCAGATGAAACCCAATAAAGATGTGTGTACCTTGTTACCATGGTTACTGGAGAGAAATTTTGAATTGGAGGTTTTGCCAATTGATTACAAGTTTCAAGAAATATGCCCTTTCATGTAAAAACCATTACAGTACATTGTAGATAAGGAAGTATTTAAAAGAAAAACGAAATGTAAACTGCACATGTACAATACAGAAAAGAAAGTGCAATGCAAACTGTTTTCTTGAGGCCTAAATTCTGATTTGTTTAGACAGGAGTAGTTCCAAGACCAATTTGCACAATGTACAGCAAGACAGCTGAAGTAGCCAGACCAATATAATTAGGTTTCAGCCCAGCGTACTGCTCCATTTTATATCTTATTACCCGGAACGCTCATTGATTTACACACGTTGATCCAGTGCTGCGGGATATGGTTGAGATTTTCAAGTTGGTAAATGTCCAGTTAAACTCAAACTGACACATGGCGATCACATGCCTACTATTTTTCTTTCGGGAGGTATTACCTGAAGTGCAACAGGCACGCATTTGTGGAAAGCTGACTAAAGAACTGCTTTTGCTTCAAATTTAAATCAACTGGTTTTTTTTCTGTTATCCTCATCAACTGTTTTTTTTCTTCCTGTTATCCTCATATATTGTAAGTTTTAAACACAGCATGCTCCGTGTAAAGTCTTCACAGTTTAACTTGGGTTGGACTCGAACCCATGACCTCCTGCATGAAATGATTCTTATTATCGCTGAACAACTCAGAAATAAATGTATCTTTTGATTTGAAATCTTCCACAACCATTTTGGCTCCCGGAACTGAAAGAAAAAATAAATTGTTTCCTTTTGTTTTGTGCAGAAAAAGATATTCCATGAAACTTGGAATCTCCTTTGGCAAAATCAACAATATCAGAAAGTCCACTTACAAAAAACTCCACAAATTGTCCACATTAATTAAATGGAAACAAAACATGTTACAAGTTGTCAGTAAATTAATAAAAAAATAAAGTATAATTGTAATAAATGACTTACCTTCAACAGATAATGTAACATTAGACTCCTCGAACAAAATACTGTCAGCTAGGGAAACAGTGTATGAATGCTTATTATTACAACAATTAACACCATGCATATCAATTTAACTTGTTCTGGACAGACTTTTACTTGTCACTTGTACAGGTATCTCCAAAAGAATACCCCCCAAAAACAATGGATATCGCAAAACAGAATGTGATCAGTTATGCAATGTCTGTAATTGTTGGGTTTTCCTTAGGGTACAGTTAGAGAAGTACGTTGTACATACCGGTCTGTACGACCGGGACAGAATTACTTGGAAAAGCCATACTCGAGCCCGCCTGTGGGCGAGCGAGTGAGTGAGTCTGTACGATGTACATGTACATGTACGGCAAAATGAATGTATGTACATAACAAAAAAATTAATATTTTCAAAAAAATCTTCTTTTTTTTTAAATTGCTGAATATTCAGGCAGTGACTACATGTACGCCCTTACCGGGTTAATCAGTGTTGAGAAAGCATAAAAATAAACCTTGACAGCGTACATTAACCATGTACATGTAATCTGTTTACGGGAGGGGATGAGTTCAGTCAGATGAGGATACGCCCAAAAGATTTGCTTTCTCGCTTCATGCACTTAATTTCAACGGGACGGAGCAATCAACTGCTTAATGCAAAAACCATTATCTTCCAGTTGGGCAAACAGGCATTTTTTGTGAATTTTTATTAATATTTTGATATGGCTTGAGAATACAAAGTTATGTTGAATGTATTGAGTGTAAATGTATCCCCAAAATGTACAAATATTCATGGTGAACAAGTACATGTACATGTACATGTACATGTATGTACATGAGAGTGGAAAAATATGTAAGAAAACCTTTCAAAAATGTTTACTTAGTTCAGAGGGTGAAAATTTCAGACAGAAATTGGACTTTTTACCATTTTGTCCAAATGAAGCGATGTACAGTCAAATTTTATCCTGCAAGTGCAGTCTACGTGTAATTTAGTGAAGGAGTTTGGCATGCTGTGTGTGACGGCTTCAAATTGATCAAGCTCGTTCATTTTGCCCGAGCGGATTCTGCGTCTAATTTCACCCAAGCTGCATTTGAAATGTGATTCAATGTAAACTATCTGTCAGTTGTATTGACCTGGCTTTAAATTAAAACCTTACTGCTTTAACTCTCAACGTACGGCGAGCCATCGACTTGAGACGGCGCTCACTTGAGAGGGTCTGAAAAATTGGCTTGAAAGATACTGCGCATTGGATTAATTCTGTTTCTTAAGCTAAGGCAATTACTGAAATTCCAATGCTGAGACTGACATTGTTCGATCAGTAAAGAAGGATTTTTTTCCAGTTGTATTCAAAAGGCTTCATACTTTTAGTATGGGATTAGGATTCCAATGGGATTAGGATTCCAATGGATTTAGCAAGGAATAGCGTGGGATAATTTTTTACAACAGACACAATTCTCAGGGTTTGGTAAAGAATACTACACTTGTAGCTGCGGGATAGCAGCTCAACAAATCGTCATGTCTCTCCGTTAGTTAGTAACAAATGGTGACATTGTTGACATATTTTTACCAATTTCAACCAAACTTTGTCAAAGTAATCAGTAGCCGAGCCCCAACATGTCACATGACCAAACTGGGGCACAGGTAATCATGGGACCTGATTTTTTTTAGCACAAATTTGTTGGCCTGCAGCTTCCAAGATATTTCCAATCGAGCTTGTTCCATATCGGAGTCATTCCACACTTAGTACATGTACCGGTACATGTACATGTACATGTATGGGAAAGGAGATTTTTACCGAAGTCTTCAATGTTAATAAATGTACATGTAGGGAGCAAACTGCTGGGGGTACATCTACATGTAAATGGCCCGGTTCATTTAAAAATTCCACATCATTTTAAAATCGGCCTGACATAATAAGCTGTCTGAGGCACCCTCTAAAGTCCAAGATCAGTTCTAGGAGCATGACTCATGAAGTTGATTAAAACAGTTCATGACATATCTGGAGTGCTGGGGGCAACCTGGCTGACGGTAGGATGAATGGAATTTGACTCATTGTGGTCTTCTTTAGCTGCAGACTGCAAATTTTAAGTTGGGAATTTTAGGCTTGCCTAAAGCCTTCAGAAATCAGACCATCTCTCTAGGAATCTTCCCAAAGTTCAGTATTAAGGTCAAAAGGTGGTTTGTTCTGTCTGAATGTTTGACCTTTTCAGCTCAGCCAACTTTACATTCGTATTGTTATCTCTTTTTCATGTACATGTAGACCCTAAAAATTGCAATTCTTCATGTATACATGAAACTCATGCATTTGGAATACAATGAGACTTATTATTCTGTAGTGTAGCAAGCCTGTAAATAAATGATGGCTATTAATGAAGTTCCTGAAATAAACAGCATTAAGAGAATTGCAGTATTCACATGTGCAATGTGTACACAGCGACAGTTCCATTCTAATACGCTCTGTTCTTTTAAAAAATACGTCCCGTTTTGATACAACAGGTACATGTACATGTACACAAAAGTACCTCTTGTTTCCACATCCTGTCAGTTCCAACTCAAGAACTCGTAAACAACTCAAACGGAGGGCAATTCTTGTCAGGGAAATGTCAAGTCAAAACCCAGCAGAGTTGAGGGACTGAGATAACAATTCACCTGTTTCACTGTTAAAACAATCCCAATTCACCAGTCAACAATGTCAGGGGTGGTTGCGCCTTGTGCATAGTAAATCCAGTACTTAATGCTCTGCTTAAATTAAAGGTACATTTGTATATTAAGATCATTTGCTTTGTGTCCATTCTTATTTATTTGAAGCAACAGCATTTCTCAAAATCTCAAGAAGGGTGAATAAAACAACTACACGTACACAAAATTACACGGTAGGGGCTCCTAGTTTTAATTTACCTTCACAGGTTTTTTTTTTCAAACTGGTTCATAAGTAATGAATATATTTAAAGGTTTTGTTCATTGCTGAAATAATCATGACTGGGGGGGGGGGGGGCATTTTGGAGAAATTTCCACTTGATGAATCACCCCAAGCTCAAGACCGAATTGCAAATGACTGCGTGAGGGCTGTCGTCCGTGATGAGTTCAGTCCAATGACAGCCAGGCATCCTGGAGACTTGTGTATTATTGTAATCATTGGCAATTCGGTTAAAGGCACCGAGCCTAGGTTAATGAATTAATGGATGCCATATTATGCTTCATTTTGGAGACTGACTACATGTAGTCTGTATGAATGTGGAGTTGCCTAAATTAAAAGGTTTGTGGGGAAATCTGGCAACAACAAACAAACTGTTCCATGTTCACTACTTGTGCAGTACTGCAGGTTGCAGTGACTAATGAGGATGTGACATTTCATGTTTATAAATTAAAACAATGAAAACAAAAAAATCTAATGCGCTACATTTTCCGAAACGTTTAAAGCAAAAACCTCATTAAAAAAAGTGACATTAATTAAGTTTACTTGATCTTCTCTCAAAGTTTTACGGAGAATCGAAAACTCCTTAAACTCTTTAAATTTTAGCATTAGCAGCACCGCAATACTTGATCACATTCTGGGCAGGTAAGTATTACTGGAAGGTTTTCAATAACTGGTGGCTGTCGATTGTTTCAATTTATATAAAATGTATACAACTTTATCTTGTTTTGTGTTTTCAAAAACAATTTTTTCAACAATTGTATGTCCGAGTGCAAACACACTGGGACAGGCTTCAGCCTTTGTGAAGTGGCTAAACTTTTTAATGGTACTTCATTGTTTTGCTAAACGTTTACAGAATTACAGGCTCAGTCCCATCTTATAGCAGTGACAGTGCTTTGGAACTGCATATATACATCACTGTACATATGGGACGTGTACGACACATGGGTGCACTATGTAATGCTAATGTCTTGTGTCAGCTTCTTATGTAGTTCATGACAAGACATTTGGACCCAGTCTTAACATGTCTACTCATGGTACATTAGCTGTACATACAGACAGCCCTTCACCTGTAGGTGATCATATTACATGGCTTTCAGATGAGGTTGGTTGTCAACCGCACACTGTGTCTCAAGCCAACCAGTTGAAAACGGATTCTAATCAATAAATGATTTGCACATGTATCTTGGAGGGTTCTTGGGGAACATTCAGCATATTGAATGGATTTTATGCACCGAGAGGTTCATGTTGATGTACAGTACATGTACGTTAATTAATGTTATGGTGTACAGAGCCTTATCGTGTAATATTTTACATGTAATACATGTGTATGTTGCCATCAAAGTTTATGTACATGATCATTTTATGGTAACTTTCTCAAGGGCAATGTATGAAACTTTGCACTATTTTTATTTAACAATAAAAGGTACGGTATATGCAATCCTGTACAGTGTAAGCCAATGTTTTGTCTGTCATATGATTTTGCATGTTGTATGTTTGTTTTTGGGGAATAAACAATGTTCTTTTCAAGCAAAATGCAAGCCTAATAATAGATCCAAAACCACAATTGTTTCATATGAATCTTTACAAATCAACCAATCTCATACCACAATGCACAAAATTGCCAAAATGAAAGAAGAAAATGAATGGAGTGCAACTTGTCAGCATTTAGTCCCTGTGTTTAACCAACCTGTTGTTGTCAAGGTAACGCGTGTGGTCATCATCAACAGCGGACTGGAGGTGCTAGGTGTGCTTGGTTCCCCTTCAGCCCGACAGGTGTACAATCCCTGGTCCCCTGGTGCGGTTACTGAGATGGTCAGGCCGTAGTTACCCGCGTCCAGTCGCATCCGGCCGTTGACCGTTTGGCCGGTTTCCACCAGCGTGTTGGTGCCCTTGATCCATTCCACCATGACGGTGGACGGGTCGATCTTGGAGGAGATGGCGTAGTAGGCCTGGCAAGGCAGAGAGATGTCATCACCTCGTATGATCGTCACAGGAGTGGAGAGGGCATTGCTACCTGTCATGATTAAAGCTGGTAGTAGAAAAGAACAAATCCCAATTATTTCAAAATACTACATGTAACTCAACTTAAGTACGTACATGTAAGTTTGTATATATGTACATAAACTTGTGCCAGATGCAACAATTCCCAAACTAGCCCTGGGTCATTCCATGCCAACTCAACAAATGTTGCACACCATCACCTCTTGGATTTTTTTCTTTTTTGGTGTACTGAAAGATACTTAGGAGAAATGCAAATTCTGAAAATTTGGGGTCTCTACGACTTTTCGTTCTTGCACAACAGCATTTTGAAATTTGAGGTGGGCGGGGCCAAAAGCGCGTCGCGTCACGAAATTCAATGTTGAAAGGGCCATATATTTAAAACTATACCCCCCAGACATTTCAAACTTGGTAATCTGGGCTATTTTTTGCTGTAGATTTCAAATATTTAAACAGAAAGAAAGTAGCTTGTTTCATTTTTAAGTTAGAGGGGCCCCAAAATGGCCCAAAACTCATCTGGACCAATGTTCGGGGGGGTGTAAGTCAAAAATTGAAAATATTTTTTTCACCAATTTTTTTGCCTGTAATAGCCCCCAATTGAAACTACTTTCGTGTAAAATCTTACACTTATATTAACTTCATTGAATGAGATATAGCCCTTGCAAAAAGCAAATTGTTTATTTTTACGATAACTTGACCCCCCAAAAAACCAACGTCAGACATTCCGCACCAAATTTTGCTTCACATATGTTTGAGGTTGGTCCTTAGTGAAGTCCAAAAAATCCAAGAGGTGATGGTGTGCACCATTTGTTGAGTTGGCATGGAATGACCCCCCTGCAATTTCTGAGGGCATTTTGTGGGAGGGCATTCCAGTATCACAGAACTACATGTACAAATCATACAATTTGTTTGTCTTTTCAGGAGCTCAATGAATATGTAAAACGTATTTTTCAAATCATATACTGTAGATGATATCCATCATCTCCAGTAAGGCCAAACCCCCCCCTCCCAAAAAAAGTCCAATCTCTGGTCAGACAAAAGTTCCGGAATTGGTGCGGCGATGCATTTTTTTTTCTTCCCAAGCTTGGATTGTATGGGCAAGGTGGGTACTCTTTGTTTGTTTGTGTCCTTGGTGTCCTCAATCATTGCCTTGGTGCCCTTCCCCATTAGTTGGTGCTCCTTGGTACCAACATTTGAGGTGGTGCAGCAATAGTGGGCGCTGTTGTAGCTATCGCGGAAAATTTGGGAAAAAATGGACACGCATGATCAAAATCGACGCGCGCGCTGACCAGTGGCCGACTATTTTGTTTTTGCATTGTGGTCAAGATTACACACTAGGAGTTTTGGATCATTTCTATGGATCATTAATTAGATATCATGGTTAATTGGCTCAGTCACGGACAACACACACACACAAATTGTCTAATTTATAATCTGTTTCCGTGACGCTTGAATTGCCCAAGGATCTGCTCAATTCAACGATGCTAGTAAACTGCTCTTCATTTGTAATTAAACAGAATGAAAGTGATTCACTTATTGTAGAACAATGCACATTTACTGAACATGAGATAGACAATAAGATAGTAAAAGATGTGCCTCATTTATGTACAAGTCAGGTCATATACATGTACATTCATAAGTTGCACAAAATATGTTCCCAAGTAAGATGAATGTTATAGGCCCTTTAACTCATTATCTGTACTACATTGTATTACATTGTGTTTATTCACTGATGAATCAAGAAAGCCGCAGAGAGTTAGGGCGGTTCAGGGCGCTACAGTGAGTAAAAGGAAGAACGGTTTCAGGTGCTACAGTGAGTAAACTAAAGAGGTATGTGTACATGTATTTTTAGCATAAAAATAAATACTTGTAGCTCATTAAAAAAATTCCATTGGTGCTGCCATGTATACACATGTAAATGCATTTTAGACATTCCTGTGTGCATGTACATGTACATTTACAATATGTACATGATCCTTTTTTTAAATTGTCCATGCTCATTGTTCATATTCCCACACTTGAAAGGACAGTAAGACAGTAAGCACCGGCACATATAAAAGATGGATACACCCATCCACCCTGTAAATAATTTTTCCATTTGCAATCCACATTCTCGTAATTTACAAAAATGTATTAATATTAAACATAGAGAGCTACATGTAGTGGTCTCACGAGTCAGGATTCCACATGTACCGGTTCGGTATGTAATGACGGATCAATGGCCGTGGGGAGAATCGCATTTCATCCATGCAATCTGACCCCAATGGGAACGGCCGACCAAACCTCACATGGGAATGCGGAAACAGATTTTTTATATTTTGACCGACACAACCCCTGAGCTGGACTTGGCTTTTCCTTGTTTATCCCAGGAAGCGCCACAACCGTGTGATAATCAATTGAGTGTTTGCAAACCTTCTTATTGAGGCCTCAAGACATGGACTACGAACACTTTACGCTCCGGCATCAATGCAATAGGGATAAGATTTACAAAATGCACATGTGTGTACCGGTATATGTTGAGAGCATTTATTCAGAAAGTTACACTGTGTAAATATACATGTACATGTACATGTACAACATTATGCACAAAATACTAACCATTAGATGATGCGGGTGCGTACATGTAGCTCAAAAAATTTACTTGATGTTATTGTTAATTACAATCTTGCCTGTTTATTTCATATGGCAATGTGCATGTGTGTAAATGTCACATAAACAGGTACGTGGACCTGTTAAAAAAAAATGCATTTATGGTCCAAGTAGGAATCAGTAAGTACATCCCATATGGGGAGTCAGGTTGGCGTAGCGGTACTTTCCTCGCCTTCCACCGCTGTGACCCGGGTTCGAATCCCGCCTGGGCCAATATGTGGATTGGGTTTTCAGTCCCTACCTGATTCCGTGGGTTTTCCTCAGAATATTCTTCTGGGCTTTTCCTCCCACCTCTAAACCTGTAATTTCTTCTCATTGTCTTCTCTCCACAGGTTTCTTCAGGCTTGCAAGCTGCAGTGCCTAGGGCGCTTTCGAGGAATCCTTGGTTTCATTACCAAAAATGATTAATAATAATAATAATAATAATAATAAAAATACGCATCATTTCTGATGGTCCATAATGTGCGCTGTACATGGGCCAAGTGCAGTACATTATTGTGTACATTGTACATAAAATCAATGTTTGTGTCCCAATTACACTAGTACTATGGCCAGATTCTTGTGTGTACTGGTACATGTACACTTATGCACAGATCTGTGTGTTTTAAGACATTCATTTTACCCTGAGACACACGTGCTGTGCATTCAATATACACAGCCAAAAGGCGTGCTCAATTGCTCATCTGATTGGAAAAAATGTTATTACTCTCAATTGTCAACAGGGGAATTGCCCACAGTACCATGCCTGTGTGGACTGAATCTTGAACAGAAATTGTGCCCACATGGTACATGGATAGTGCTACATCATGTAGCGCACACTGAAACAGGCCACCCATAGAAGCCAGGATATCATGAATGATGTCATAAAAAGAAAATATGCGCTACAGGGAAAGATATTCATCACCCAGGTGATATACATCATCTACAAATCAGCCATTCCATGTAAGGGTCATCACCAAACTCAAAAATTGAAGTGAAAGGAATAAATTTTTGTCAGTTATATTTGATAAGAGGAATATTGAAACCATCTAAATCTCAAAAGATTTTTTAAAATAAATCATTTGAATTAAAATTTCAGCCTCCTGAACATGGATGAATTTTGTGGGCGAAACGGAGGGTCAGGGGTATAAATCACAAACTGAGGAAGTAATTGAAGCTCATTCATAAGATTGTGCTTTATCTGCATACATTTGGTAGCTATTCCAGTCTATTTGATAAAACATTGAGAATTTTTCGAAATGTCTTCAGTATTTTCCCACTATTTCATCGTGAAAACACCCTCAAAAATGTGTCACGCGAGTCACAAAAAAGGACTTTTTTTCAGATTACTTAATAACTAGAGAGGGATTCAGCTAGTGTTTGATATTTGTAAATGAAATAGTGGTGGTCTATCAATAAAAGTATGAATATTCTTATTTGCTCTACATTCCTTGTAGAAAAAACTATCTCAAGAATGTCACGCGAGTCACACATGATGTATGTCACGCGAGTCACCAGGGGTGGATCCAGGAATTTTCGCAGGGGGGGGGGGTTTTCATCAGCCAAAAAATTTGAAAATGTACACACGTTTTTTGCTCTGGACACTCGCTTCCGTAAAATACAAAAACTGGGGGGGGGGGGGGGGGGGGGGACGGGACGGGGGGTGGGGGGGGGGGGGCTGGTACCAATTTCAATCGGGGGCGCTGTTCAAATTCGACGATTAACACATTACAGAATGGTGTACCGTATTTTGAACAGGCGGACATTAGACCAGTATAATGTTTTTGGGGGTGTCACGCGGGGGGGGGGGGGGGTCGACTTATTCTTCAGGAATTTGTATGAGAATTTTTTTTTTGACAGAGCTGGGGGGGGGGGGGGTTGACCCTCCAAAAAAACCCTCTGGATCCGCGCCTGGTCACAAGCCAGGGATGTTTCATTTACATGTAATACAAAGAAACAATGCCATAGGCCCTATTAAATTATAGAATTCGAATTAAGTCTTTAAAAGCATTAGTTATGTAACAAGAAATTGAATCAGTTTTTTACAAATGTATATACAGTCGAGTCTCGTTAATACAAAACTCGTTCGGACCTAGCCAAATTGTTTGTTATATCAGAATTTTGTACTAAGAGGAACATCAGTCCCATTCATTGTGCACATAAATGTACAGTCGGGACTAAGGCTTTATGTTTGTTATAACCAGAATTTCGTATTAACAGAGTTTGTACAAACGAGATTCGAATGTACTGTATACATTCCGATACAACTGCATCATTAATTGCAGCTCGATCTTACCATTTAAGGAAACTGTCACTCTACATGACCAAGAATTACAACTGTTTTCCTGAAATAATCACCCGTGGATTGATGACATCACTTCGTAACTAAAATTCCAAAACATT